TCTGAAAACATGAAAACTGTTTGTGGAATCCGAAAGCTTCGAAGTTAATTATCCCCGCCTTCGGGAGTTAATTAAGTTACCGACTTATCTTGCCTGCTGCTTGTTCGGACTGCTTCTGATTGTCAGCTGTTTTGCTACAGCGAATCTTAATAAGATTGTGCATTTATTCTATTATATAACAACAAAATAAAATTACGTTCAACTTAGAAAAACTCTGATAATAAATTTTAAATTTTTGTATAAAAACGAAGGAAGTAATAAAAAATATAGCATAAAGTGGTAACGCATATATTATGAGGTTGTGAAAGTAATATATGGTTTGATACCTTTTTCAACCGGCTTCAGAATGAAAGAGGTTTTGAATTCCGTTTTATTTTATTTTTTTCTTTGTTAACTTATAACTCCGTCAGTTATAAACTAATTTAGTGTATTTTTTTTTCATCTGAAAGGATAGGTATACTTACAGATTAGTTCCTTAACATTTTTTATAAAAATCGGTTCAGTAGTTTAGTTTTTAGATAAAAATAACTGGTTTTGCCACGATTAAAGTAGAATATTTTTTAAACATAATCTTAAATTATTGAAATGTTAAAACATGTTACTAAGGTCGTATTTATAAAATATAATACCATAGTTGTAAGGAATAATGCATGCCGCATAGGTCACGTAAGTAATGTAAGTTATGACGCCTAATTTGTAAGTTGTAGTAATGCATACTACTGAGTATTACTACTAAGTTACAAATATGTAAGTAATGCGAGGCATCTTAATTTTAAGGAGTGGACGAAAGCAACTGATGTCACGGTTCTAAATAGACGACATCTAATGGACAACATATAAATGATGAAATAACAATAACAAACATTTTTAAACAGTAATGAGCATAAACTTGCGACTGTCATTTTAGTGAGGACAACACTGACTGTGAATCTTGTTACTGCAAATCAAAGGTAAAATTAGAAAATTATGAAAGGAGAATTTTGGAAAAATATACAATAAACTAGTTTATTACCTACTACTTCGTACACATAATTTCTAAAGTAGGAAATCCAATATTCAGGAATACAAATGGAAAAAACTCATTTAATTTTCATGTTGCGTTCTGCAGGAACAAATATGCAGGCAAGAACAAAATTTCTAAAAACTATTGTTTTGACCTCTATTAGTATCATTAATCCTATGAGAGATCTTTATATGAATTTAATCTTTATTTTATCTCTGAAATTAATTATTCTTAAATATTTCCAATAATTGGCAAACGTTGTTTAGCTACAATAAGATTACTATGTCAATGTTCAAAATAAATGAATTCACTATCTATGTCGTGATTTTTTAATGGAACTTTATTATACATTTAAGAAATGAAATTAGTTACTGTTAGGTAGATACATACCTACATCTATTTTGCGTGTCCATTTTTTGTTAAAACTAAGTCCAAAATGAAATCATCTACTCAGACACCAGACTTTCAACTAGGACTCATAGTTCTTACTAATAATATGTTGAAAATAGTTTATAAGAATAAGCTATTTTAGTAGCTAAATAATGTATCATCGAATCTTTACGAAGCGACAATTCGTCATCATCATAATTATTAGCCGTTATCTGTCTACTCCTGAATATAGCCCTCCCTCATAGACTGTCATAAGAAACGAGGCCGTTCCCTACCGTTCCGTTCCATTGGCAGTTACCATTGGGAGAATTTTACCAGTAGTCGCCACGTTTGGCAGACGAGTTGGCAACCGCAGTACGACTTTTGGTGATGTTTCAAAAGGGACGCTATTGCCCATCCCGCGACCATCAAGTTCCCTTTGTCACCTCTTACGATATCCACGAGAAAGGAAAGGGTGGACAATTCTATGCCGGGACCACACGCCAATTATTTACTTTTTTTTTTATACAACTTAGAATGGCAAACAAGCTGACGGAAAGTGATAACCGTCGCCTATAGACATAAGCAGTACCATGGACGTAACAGAGAGTACTGTTTCGCCCATGATACCCCCCATGCGTTGCCATTCCTATGGATTCAGGTGTTATTCCTCAGGTGTTATTTACTATTAATAAACAATTATACTGTAGTAAATAGAAAAAAAATGGCATGCTTGGTTTTCATATTATAAAACTTTTCTACTCAACTCTTATAATAGCGTCACAGTTGCACTGGACACGAGTAACAACGCATGTCCAGATTAATTCGTGCCCCAGTCGCTGCGAGAGTTTTATTGAAAGAAATTGGCGGATGCGAAAGTTAAGCAGTTCGACTAGCAACTTGTAAAAAGTTCTTTCATTACTCAACCGTAGTGTTGCCTCCATACCCCCCCCCCCCCCCGCCCCTCCTTCCCTGTTTTGACAGCATATCTCCGCAGACAATATTCATCGAAAAACTTTCTTATTTTACTTAAAATATGCTGTTTTAGAAGTGAAATATAACTAACATCTGTCTCAATGTTTCTACACAAATAAGTACATTATAAAAGTATTCTGATACATCGACACAAAAGGTTGAAATTTTTAACTTTATTAATACTTACACTGTAACTCCATGGTATATATATGATATAATGACCTGTAATTTCAAAGCTATACCTCACTCATACGCTTCAAAGCAAAACGTAGATAATATTCGAATAGCTGGCTGAACTAAAGGTGCCCATACAGATAATTGAGCATAACATCAAAATTATAAAGCAATTGTTTTATTTAAATTAATTAAAAACTATACTTTAAAACCAACTTATAAATCATATAGTATCATATAGTCAGATTTATTCTAACTATACTACTACTATTTTCCTGGATGTTTTTATTTTATACCACAAAGATGGCAAACAAGCATACAGCCCGTCTGGTGGTAAACGATCACTGTACCCTATGGACACCTGCAACACTAAGGGCAACACTTAATATACCCTTTTTAAAGAACTCCATACTGTTCCTTCTAGGGTAAACCTCGGCAGGGAGCTTATTACACAGACTGAGCATTCATGGGAGACAATTTCTCTGAAATCGCACTGTACACGACCATTTAGGACCAACCGTGTGAGGATGAATTCCCTGTCGATTGCGAGCGGTGCGATGATAAAAGATGACTGTAGGTTTCATTTCAAACAATTCATCAGCACTCAATTCGTTATACAGGCGTGGTGAACCAGGAACACACAAAAGAGTGGTGGTACGTGTAGGGAAACGATAATTCTTGCCTGTTTTATTTCCATCGGCTTGCAAACATATAATAATTTTATCTATTGCCGCTAATATATCAACCTATTCTAATGGTGGTAGAGTTGTCACAATAATTTATTACATTTTTCCTGGAAATAAATAAAGATGTTTCCTTAAGAACTACCAACTTGATTATTCGGTATCGGTAGGTACAAAGTGTATGTTTCTTAGTTTTAAACTAAGTACCTATTCAAGCGATTAAAAACTACTTAAATTTAATATAGTATCTAAAAATTAATTGAGGTGTTTAAATAATTATACATTTACCTTAAAATTGTTGAGCTCTGTAGATACAATAACGTATAGAATACCATAGAAGATAATTATCTCAAAGTCAGTTGTTCGATCTCCGCCTCTTTCACATCTACTCTAACGTCATCTGTTGCAACCATGGATAGCAAATGTGCCCCAGTGCAAACAAATACAAATGTATCAGTCCACATTTCCGCCAATACTGTTTTATTAGTATTAATACTAAATCATGATATTTTCAACCAACATCAAAAAAGGAAAAGGTTCTGGAATGTCATTTTTTTATGTTTATTATCTCATTTATAAACCGATTTGGAAATTTCTTTTTTTTTTATCTAAAAGGATACACCTACTTTCAGATTTATTCCATAGAAAATTTATTGAAACTGATTTAGTTGGTTACTTTTAATATCAAAATAACTGGTTTTGACAAAATTGAAGTCGGTGTTCTTTTTTGTAGACTTTGTTCCGCACTATCATAATATTGATTATAGATTATATAATCTGTCTGGTAACATGTTTACTATGAACGTGAATTTTAGCTATCTACAATTTTAGCTACTTACTATTTTAACATGTGCGTTACGAGGCAAAATTCACCGCACACTGTTTTTTTCCGTTCTTTTTGATTTGGCAAATACAAATATTATGACAAGGTAACTATTTTTTTTCGTAAATATGACCATTCGGTTAATAAGAACCTCTTTTTTTAAACAATATAAGTAGTCAAACTGAATCTCATGATTTGTTTGATTGACCATAATAAAACATACACCAGAACGCTTCTTCTCAAGTTAATGCTTAGGTATATTTATATTAAACCAACAAGGCTCTACAGCCCATTCATTTTTTCCTTAATCTCGTAATAATTTCCGGATATTCTTTTTTAGTGCTCATTTAAGTTATATAAGAACCGCTCTGCAAAAATTAATGACTATTCGCAACAGTTACGTCTATATGTTTTTTTTCTTAAAAGAAAAAAATCTGCTTGTCTTAAACAATCAGCTTTTAACAATCCGCTTAGTTAATTTTAAACTTTTGTGTTGTTTACATATATTCTAAAAACAGAATCGGGACTTCGTGCGATAAAAAAAACTTACAAGAGTCCTGTCGTGACTACGATGTGGTGCAATCCATATTGAAATGTCGGCAATAAAGAAGCAGGTATGTAGGTACTATTTACCTGAAAAGATTTATCATCACGTCAAGTCCCGATTGTGTATTTAAAGTCAAGGTTTCTCTTTAGATTTAATAAATTATTTATTTTAATATTAACGATAGTAAATACTACTAAAAAATGTACTTACATAATACATATAGAATAGAAAAGATAACTTTATTTGAAGCGATAGTAACAGTTTTAATTGTCATCATGACATCATTATGCAAGTCATGATGACTGTAATATCGTATTAAAAATAATTGATAACCGAAACCTGCGTGTATACCTATGAAATATTAAGTAAAAAAAAACAAATGAAGTATTAAAGATAAAGTGACACCTTCGAAAAAAAAAATGGATGTTCAAAATCACTATTATCGAATACTTTTATCATTCTTAAACAGAGTATAAAAAAAACTGTAATCCAAAAACTAGGCTTTAAAACTGCTTAGAGGGTGGCATCGGCGGTGTTGCGGGAGGCCGATAGTATTGCTCGTAGATAGCATCCCAGAAACGGACTCGTTCCTCAAGCAGTATACCTTTTAGCTTCAGCTCCTTCCCTATTTCCATATACGGAGAGACATCGGCGTTTGCAGGAGGCCACGCTGGATATGATGACCCCTCCGGCACTGGATTACTGTTTGACAAATATTATTATACTGTTTTATATACAAAAACTTCTCGTAATCAAAATACTGAAATCTCTCAGTGACATTATTATATTAGTAACCAGTCCCAACTTAGCACAGGTAGACAGGTAGAAAAATACGTTATTAAGGTTTAAAAAATATAGCCCCTACTACCCACTGCTAGTACAGCTTTCTGGGGGAAAGGGATTGTTAGTAACGGAGACTAAGAATCCCATTGCTAACAATATACCCAACCAGGTCGACCTCCTCACGGTTCCCCCTGGAAACTATCATGTTTAATTCCTGATGAATTCATCATGATGGGCTAATTGGCCTGTTTTTATTCTCATCTATCACTCTTCACTGGTGCTCCGTCAGCGTATCCCGTTAGCGCAGGCGGGGTTACCATATCATTTTCACCTATCAAAAAAAAAGTACAGCTTTCTATAATTAAAAGAATTTTTAATAACGATTAAAAATTTTGTGAGTTTATCCATTAACATACATCAAAACAAATCTTTTCTCTATATAATAGAAATATAGATTTCGGCAATAGTACCTAATATATTAAATTTATTTTCTTATCATTAATCATCTTCTGTATTGTTAGTTTTGCATAAGTATTTCATCAAATATAAAGTTATTTGAGATATTACGACAAACATAAGTTACCTACCTAAATAAAAACAACAAGTAGCCAGTGTGCTATTAAAAAAAATGAAGAAAAAGTGAAAGTCCTTGCTCAGTAATGAAACGTTAATGAGCTTTTAAAATATATAAATGTATATGTATATCTGTGTATAACGAGTAAACACTTAATGTTGCCAAATTTAAAAATAATAAAAGAAGGGTTTGAACAAGATAAACGTTCAAATTAACAACCCGTACGGCCCCTATTAAAGAAATGAATTACGCCCATTGTTTATTAATACTTATACTCAACACTAACAACAGAAACTTTTCTAATAGTACAAAGAGGAAAATTATTGCTTACCCAGTTTTAAAAAAATTAGACCATAAATCTCTTACAGAACCTTTAACTTTCCAAAAATCGTCACTAATATTTTTTTCTTCTGTACCTATAGAGAATGTTCCATCCAGTACAGCCAATGTTTGAGCACAATGATCTGCTCCTCGGAGACTTGGGTATTGTTTCGGAATATTGCCCTCTTCTGAGTATGAGTATTCGTACAAGAATATTTTGTCATTACCAGCTTCAATTTGTAACTTTACAGACCTTAGTGCTGGATAAGCAAACATTATATCAGTGAAATAATCGACATAACCAGTTATAGTATCTGAAGTTACTGAACTATCTTTAAAATAGAATTTCTTAATCTGCTCAGCTACTTTTTCCTTTTGCTTTTCATTCTCAAACCGCAAATCAGCTGGTAGAAAGTCAGAAAATTTGTCATTCATTCTGTCCTTCCATAGTTCAAAAAATGGTAAACGGAATAAACCTTCCATATTAGCAAATCCATATAACAAGGGTACTTTATTATATTTTCCTGTTTTCAAAATATTAACAGGAGTATCATCAAGAAACTTGTCTTCCCCTGTATCACGTTCGACACATAAAGTAAATCCAAAAGTTGAATCAGGAATATCTAAGAATGATTTAGATGCTAATATTTCATAAGGTGCCGTCTTATAGAATTCTTCTAAAGCATAGAAATCTTCAACATTTGTAAAATTTAGCAACTTTGCGTAATCTTTTGCGGTTTTAAGTGGATCTTGTTGTAACGACCATACTGCTATACTGGAGCCACTCTCCAGTATTGCTTTAGTAAAAAGTCCTTTGGTTAATGGTGATATTAATAAAAGATCAACAGATGCAGAACCTGCACTATAACCAGCTACGGTGACGTCATCTGGATTGCCCCCAAAGCTAGCAATATTTTTCTTTACCCATTGCAATAATGCTACCTGGTCTTTCATACCAGCATTACCAGGAGCATATTCTGTACCCAGGCATAAAAAACCGCGTACACCAAGCCGGTAATTAAATGTCACAACTATTACATCTTTAGTTCTTACTAGATTTTTTGGAGTTACTAAATTACCATAGCCCAAGTGGAAAGCACCTCCGTGTACATAAACTACAACAGGAAGATTCTTATTAATTGTATTGGGTACGTATATATTTGCAATAAGGCAATCTTCTTGCACAGTTTTATCCTGCCCATACGTTTGATAAATTTCTTTAGGTTGATGGCAAATTATCCCTTTATTAACTGCATCCAGAGTGTCTAACCAAATTGTTGCAGGTAGAGGTGCCTAAAAATTGTATTTTTTTAAGAATAATTCAGAATCAAACTAAAATATTAAAGTTTAATGTATTTTATTCAAATAAAGAAACTGAAAAATAGCTAAATATTTTTTACTTTTTAATCTTTTACATTTCATTATTGGCCCTATATGTTTTAAATAAAGAATGGAAGAAGTTGTAGTGAAATATGTTACTCTGATATTATAATATATGAAAAAATATATTTTATAAATACTTTTTAATTCATCGGTAAAAGTTTATCTCATTTGCTTTTATTTATTATGATTTTACTAACATTATTCGTAATGTCCTGTAAATATGTAATATTAACGACGTTTGAAATATTGTAATGCTTAGATTTTTACTAAATTTCATTTGTAATTAAATTAATATTTAAATTTTATAGTCGTTAAATTATAATACGAGATTGTTCTTATCTTCGCATTTTACTTAAACAGCCTTTTTTAAAATGAAAAATAGATTACAAAGCTACGATAGATGTCGCATAAAAAGATAACGACAAAAAACAGAAGTTTAGAGATATATATATATATATATATATATATATATATATATATATATATATATATATATATATATATATATATATATATATATATATAAAACAGGATTTTGAACTCACTTTAAACTTATTTGGTCCTGTCGGTGCCTTAGCATATGGGATTCCGTAGAAGACAAAGATGTCCGCTTCTGGGTCCTTATACCCACGGACAGATCCTTGTAAAATACGAACAATCTTTGATTCTGCTTCATCACCTTTCTGATCACAAACTACGCCTGCTACGAGGCACACGCATAGACACAACTTCCACATCCTGCTGTCAAACATTGCACACTTAACAAGCAATTGGGTAACCCAAGCTTTAAATAGTTATGGTATAATACTGATTTGCTATGCAGTCATATAATTATATCTAATAACATATAATAATGTAAGATATTCCACTCCTATATCATGATACCTAAATAAAAAAATGACCGCTATAGATGGCGATGTTAAATATAATGTTAAATTGTAATATAATAATATGTGTTTACGTCGCGTCTGTTTCTCCATTTACTTTTTTACACAACACGACGGATTTTGATACGGGTTTTCCTGTCAATTATATATTAAACTGAATGTTTGTATATCTACCTACAACTTGCACCCGTACAAAGCCGGGGCGAATAACAAATACAACAAATTATGAAAGGTCATACTGTTTAAATTTGTGTTATTTCCATTAATATGTACATTTAATATCGAATCATATTAGCTGATAATAAATGATAATGACTGCTTCGTATATCTTGTTCACCTTGGTCATCCAAGTCATTGTTACAACTTCCTCCGGTCTCCCGTGACATAGGGTAAACATATTATTAAATCTGTATAGTATACAATAACAGGTATATAAATAACGTATAGATGGTGTAATAATTTATATTATACCTTCATGTACTTTACATATTGGGGTTGATAAAAAAGCATGTTACTTTACTTTACCAGAGGGAGACTTTATACAAAAGTCGATTGCTTGGGTTCCACTGTCCAATTCGTGTTTCTACCGTGAAGCAGTTGTGTTTGCATGGCTGTGTTTAGATTTGAATGGTGGGATATGGCGTGAATTTACAGGGTACAGAGAAATAACACCTGAGTCCTCAGAAATGGCAACGCATGGGGACCCCCCATGCGTTGCCATTCCTCATCATGGGCGAAACAGTATACTCTGTTATGTCCAGGGCACTGCTCATGTCTATAGGCGACGGTTACCACTTTCCAACAGTGGGTGGGCCGTCAGATTGGTTGCCATTCTAAGTTGTATAAAAAAAAATGTTGCGTTATACAATCACAATATCTAGTACCCTTATTAATTAATAGTTGTAGTCCTGTACATAGGTATCTAGTGGGCCTACTGTATGCAGGTACTTGTATTAGTACTTCTTTTTGTTGTGTGTCCTTTATTTAGGTATAATGTAACTTGACAATGGAAATTTAATGTACTTATTATGATCGCCATTTCCAACAATTGTTTCGACTGATGTTTTCTATTTCCGTGTGCTTACAAAGTAAGAATAAAAGACACCCAGTGCTTTTAAAACGTTCACGTGTACGATATTGGTATGACGTTATCATCGAAGAAAATTCAGAGCATGTTTATGCAGTTGCATACATTTTGCCTGAATTTCGACGTCTAATGTAATGTTGAAAGTGTTAACATAACCCATACTAGAGTAAATTACAAAAGCAATTAAATTACGGAAATAACAATACAAGAAAAACTCGTTACTTTTATTATCTTTCTTCGGCCTAAAACTATTCATATTCTCTGGTCGACAATAAAACCAGCAGTAAATGCAATCTTAACACGCCACCGTAGCGAAACTCGAAATTTAAAATTACAAGATGGAAATAACACCCTCAGAAGGAAATTTAACCTTTTGTTGCATTTATCCATCTAGAAAGCCGCTTCTTCACATCTTCGCGTTATTTCTGTTTCATCATTCAAGTTATTAAATACTGAAATGTGCTGCCTATATATATCTTGACTTACCAAACCAAATTATGGATTCAATTCTTTCAAAACTTGTACTCTAAACTAAATATTTAGTTTTGTTTTTATTTTACTGCTATTTTCTTTTTTCTTCGTGCTTCAATTTTGGATAGATATCTCATTTTATTTATATATTTTTTTCTGTTATATCTCAGAATAATGAATTAATATATATTGTTTTGTATATATATATATATATATATATATATATATATATATATACATATACGTACATACGTTATGATACGTAATCACCTAGTTGCATGTATATATTACAAAAAAAATGGATGAATAACCTAACAGAATTATATATTTACCTAAAAAAATTAATTATCTGATAATGCCTCCGCCTATGAAATCTTTGTGTGTCCCATATTAATTTACCTGTGTCATAAATGACTCAAATAAAATGTTTATCTATGATTAACTAATAGAGAATGCCGTGAGGAAAATGTACATTTATTTATATATTTGTGTATTCAAATTTAATTAAACTTTGTGTAAATTTCATTACACACTCTACACTTGGCTGCACTTATAATCCTTTTCTATCCTTAACTGGGGTCATAAATAGATGCTCTCAATTATAACAATAACAAGGCTCTGAATAATTTATTCAAGTTTATAAAAATTTTGAAAATATTTAAATTATCTCTATTTCTCTCTAGAATTCAGTTTTTAAATTATGGAGAGAATTGACAGGCACGGTACCAACGAACGAACGTTACTTCTAGAGCTCGTATAGAATGCTGACGTTGTTCTTTTATATTCTACTAATTTTGTACTTGTAAAACTTTGAAAAGATGTTTGGATATTTGTTACTCAATTAAGCTTAAACGGCTGAACGGATTTATATAAAGTTTGATACACGTATAGATTACATCTTAACTTAATACATCGGATATTTTATCGATTCACGCAGGTAATTTTATGAGCACTTATGCAGTGCTCATTAAATGTGTCACATACACATGCCAGCTACATAAATTAGCTTTTGACAAAAACTATGCAATTTTAGGGTGATTATTGTACATACTTAATTACTCATTGTTATGTCGTTGTAAATAATATGTAAATGTAAACGGGTAGCTGCCTAACTTTTTTTATTAACTCAGTAAATTGCACTTCTTTTTTTGTAATAACTTAAAATAACATAAACCTATGTTCATACGTAAAAGACACTTGTTTTATCAACTGTATTGTTTGTAGGTACTCATTAGATTAACTGGAAGAAATTAATTTTATGGAATAAGTCTATCATTATCATCGTTATAAGAATTTTATAGGAGCTGAGTATTTTTAATAACATATTATACTTCAAAATAAAGATCTGTGAAGCATCTACCCATGCGACATATTTTTATTTAATTATATAAAACAACAGATAATAAAAATTAAAAACAACTAAATTATAATCTAAAAAAATCTAAAGCTCGCTGTGCTTGGCAGGCGGCGCCGGTGGTGCTACGGGAGGCCGATAGTATTGCTCATAGATAGCATCCCAGAAACGCACTCGTTCCTCCAATAATGCCTCTCTCAGCTCCAGCTCCCTTCCTATCTCCATGTACGGGGAGCCACCAGCATTTGCAGGAGGCCACACTGGATACGATGACCCCTTTGGCACCGGATTACTGTTTGAAAAGTATTTCTCGGTTTATACTCTATATTAAACCAACTAAGTAATATTTTATGTACATTATGCATTTAATAAGTATTAATAGACACATTAGAAACAGAAAAGTTAGTATAGAAAGAAAACCATTTACCGGACTTTAAAGGCATTTGGTATTATTTTGATCTATTTCTGTCCATAGATACACTTAAACTATGCAAATAATGAATACCACAACTTTAAAAATGTGCTCTATCTCCCCAACAAGCACACATTCTTTTATAATCCCAAATAAAACACGACCATAGGTATATTGTAATATATACAATGTAAATTACATACTTCTAGACTACGAAATGACTATTGAGTAATCAGTCATTTCATTATTAAAAACAAGAATATTTTATTTTAGTGCTTTAGATTTATATATGAGTATCACTTACCCAGTTTTAATAAAATTAGACCACAGATCTCTCACAGTAGCTTTAACATTCCGTAAATCATCACTAATATTTTTTTCATCTCTATCTGCAAAGAAAGTTCCATCAAACACAGCCATTGTTTGAGCACAATGATTTGCTCCTCGGAGATTTGGATATTGTTCCGGAACATTAACTTCTTCTACGAATGAATATTCATACAAGTATATTTTGTCATTACCAGCTTCGACTTGTAACTTTATAGACCTCAGTGCTGGATATGCAAAAACAATATCAGTGAAATAATCGACAAAACCAGTTATTGTGTCTGAACTTACTGGACTATCTTTAAAATAGATTTTTTTAATCTGCTCAGCTACTTCATCTCTCTGTTTCTCATTCTCAAATTGTAAATCAGCTGGTAAAAAATCTGAAAATTTTTCATTCATTTTGTCTCTCCATTGTTCAAAAAGCGGTAAACGAAACAATCCTTCCATGTTAGTAAATCCATATAATAATGGCACTTTTTTATATTTTCCTCTTTTCAATAAATTAACAGGGGTATCATCAAGAAACTTATCTTCTCCCGTATCGCGTTCAACACATAAAGTAAATCCAAAAGTTGAATCAGTATTATCTAAGAATGCATAAGATACTAACATATCATAAGACGCCGTCTTATAGAATTCTTCTAAAGCATAAAAATCATCAACATTCGTAAAATTTAGAAGTTTTGCATAATCTTTTGCAATCTTGAGAGGGTCTTGCTGTAAGGACCACACCGCCGTGTTAGAACCACTCTCAGGTATTGCTTTCGTAAAAAGCCCTTCTGTTAATGGTGATAGTAATAAAAGATCGATGGCTGCAGATCCAGCACTGCAACCATCTAAAGTGACGTCATATGGATTGCCTCCAAAGCTGGCAATGTTTTTCTTTACCCATTGCAGTAATGCAACCTGGTCTTTCATACCGGCATTACCTGGAGCATATTCTGTACCTAAGCACAAAAAGCCTTGTACTCCAAGTCGGTAATTAAAGGTCACGACTATCACATCTTTACGTTTTACCAAATTTTTTGGAGTTACTAAATCACCAAAACCTATTTGGAAACCACCTCCGTGTACATAAACTACAACAGGGAGATTATTATTGTTTGTGTTAGGAACGTATACATTTGCAATTAGACAATCTTCTTGAATATTTTTGTCTGTAAAATTATACATTTGAAGAAATTCTTTGGATTGATGGCAAATTATATCCTTATTTACTGCCTCTAGGGTTTCTGACCATATTGGTGCTGGTAGAGGTGCCTAAAAATGATAATATATTAGTTCTGCAGTCAACAATCTCCTATTATGAACAACAATGAGAGTTGATACTACTGCACCACTTTATGTGACCCTCTATAATTTTATCAATTAATTTAACAACGTATATTCGAACTATAGTGATGCAGTACCGTTTTTCATAGAAGAAGAAAACAGTAAAGGATTATTAATACATACATCGATTTATCAAACATACATATCTTAGAACGGAGTCGTTCGTGTCTATATTAATATGATTAAGAGAAAGGCTTTAATGTTTTTGTACTTGTTTGTAATTTCAATTGTATATATTTTTTTGTGAAAGTTTTCATCTGTATAATTTGTACTGTTCGAGGTAAGGGTCCTGGTGACTTGTAATACAGGTTTAATACCTAGTACAGGCACCATCTCCCACAAATAATATTGTTAAAATGTTTTGCAAGTTATAGATATTAAGTCTTTAATTGTTTGTGGTGAGAAATAATAATAATAAATAAATAAATATTATTAACACGTAAAGTAGGCTATACTTTAATTGTTAACTAATTCAAACCATTCCTTAAAACTAGTGGCAGTATTTATTAATAGGGCCTCAAATTTTTTTTTTTACTAAAAATAAATATTTCATATAATAAAAAAAAAATAAAAATCTCGAAAAAATTTACAATTGCATCTGTATTAACGACTGTACACAGTACAAAATGTATAGGTACATACTTATTATTACGTAATGCTGTTAATACAGATACAGATAGTTAGTTTTTTCGAAAATTTTAAATTGTATTGTTTGAAAATGAAATCTTATTTAAGAAAAAATAAATTTTGAGTCCTTATTAATGAATACTAACACCAGTTTTAAGGAATGGGTTATGTTAGTTAACATACTGTATATTATTAAATTTATTATTTTGTATTTACAAAAAATTAGAGATCTCTAATTTGCCTATAAAAGTTATTCGGCGTGCGCTGCGTAAACTATTGACGATATATAAAATAATGTAGGTATATATATGTAGATATTTTTTCATGTATTTATATAATTATTTATGTTATTTTGTTTTTCTTGTGCCTGTAATTATAATATATGTATTTGTTCTAGTAAGGTACATATTCAACTTATAGGTATGTATAGATATTTTAAATATGTACATATTTGCATTATACAATATATAAACATATATTGTATAATGTAAATAAAGTATACTCATTATTCATGCATATATGTATATATATACACATTTACTCATCATTTGTCACAAAAAAATACACGAGGCTATATATCTAATTATAATGAAATCACAATAACCATTTTTTGTTTAACAAATTATTATTAGTTAATCAAAATACGAGTAGAATTAAAAGATGTTTTTTTTTTTTAATTTAAAGACGAGATTCGTATCATGATATTAATACTTATCCAAACAAAATAGTTTCATAATTAAAGTTGATTATGTACATGTAAATTCTTCTTTAAATTATTCGAATCGGACCTTTCATTTATAAGTTACAACGACTACGAAAATATTTATAGTAAGAAAAACACCTAGATTTCAGTGAACAGACTTAAGCTTAATATTATTGTTATCTTTTGTTGGTCCAAGTAAAGTATTTATTTAAAATATGAGTATTAATTTATCTTTTTATGCGAAGCCCAGGCGGGTCGCTAGTAATAAATAAATCAAACTTCACAGATAAGTTCGTTGCGTCACATACTTGCTAGGTACCGATTACTTAATTTTTATATGTTTGTAAAATACTAAATTTTGTAAAATTTTCTAAAAGCTCTAATAAGTCACATGAATTAAAGTATTTCTGGTTTTCTTTTTTCGCTAACGCAATAGCAAAAAAAAAATTTATGACCTGTAGTATGATAATAATATGTTCTAAATCGTACTTTAAATTTGTTGGGTCCTGTCGGTGCCTTGGCATATGGAATTCCGTAGAAGACAAAAATGTCCACTTCGGGGTCCTTATATCCACGAACAGATCCTTGGGAAATATGAACAACCTTAGACTCATTCTCGTCATTTTTCCGGTCACAGATTACGCCTACTACGAGGCACCAATACAAAAACAATCTACGCATTGCTCCGGTAAACAGCTACTAACAATACGAACACAAACTAGATACTGGTAATGGACGAATAACTCCAAGATATATTATGCTATTATTAGCACTGTATCGTAAAGCTCATATCTATTTTTATTAATTATATAAGTACCTATATATTTATATCTTTTGCATTATCAGATTTGTTTTAGTTGATATAGTATCAAATTAAGGTTGCGATGTAGATATTTTTTTTTATTTAAACAGTTATTTAATTAGATGACATATTTTGTTAAGATTTCAAATTACAACAAAATTCGTTAAAACCTTTTGTTGAATAAGATTCTTTCATATTATGCCGACCTCAAATAATTGGGATATGAGCAGCAAAATAAATATGATAGTCTTTCAGACTTGTGTTAAATATATTCTGATCCATAAATTAATTATTTAATCGCATATGTATTTAAGCTAGCATTAATTTTTAAGCACTGCAGGGAGTCAGTGGATGCAAATGGCTCAGCACCAATTCTTATGACAGTCTATGCGGAAGGCCTATATTCAGAAGTGGATAGTTATCGGCTAAAATTATGAATGATAATAATCCTAAACTAATATAATCACTACATAGTATAAAACAAAGTCGCTTCCCGTCTGTCCGTCCCTTAGATCTTTAAAACTGCGCAATGGATTTTGAAGCGGTTTTTTTTTTAATAGATAGAGTGATTCAAGAGGGAGGTTTATATGTGTAATACATAGTAGAAAAACACTGATAAATTTAGAGGTTTCTAATATGATGTGATGTAATGTGCACACGTGCGAAGCCGGGGCGGGTCGCTAGTAAATACTAAATTAGACTGTAAATTTTTCATCTTATGTTATCGCCATCATCAGAACAGCCACTACTAAATGTCCACTACTAAACACATGGCTACTGGCAAAGCCAATTGGCATGCTTAGCAAGCGGATTGACAATCGCAGTTAGGCTTTAGAGATGTTTTAAGAGAGGCGCTACTGCCCATCCTTGGCCTTCCTTAGTCGCCTATTACGACACCCATGGGAAAGGTAGAGGTGGGATATTCTATACCGGTACCATACAGCCAATCTTCAATTTTATGTTATATGGACGTCAAATTCGTAAATTCGTGCACTCATTTCCATTGTTTGATTTTAGGCATTTATGATCTAGATGGTTCTTAATCGTTTCTATGAAAATTGAAATTTATTGGGTTATTATAGTTACTGACATTAGTAGATAAGTTAAGACATTTATTTTCCTAAATATTTTGAATTAATTATGTTAATAATATAATAAATTTAACAATATAGGCAGCAGACTAGCCTATATAGACATATGTATATACATATGTAACGGGAAATTAATGAACTCATAATAATAAATAAACGAATATTGTAATGAATTGGTCTGTATGTTCTAAATATACCAAAGAGGGGGGAAAGGGATTGTTAGTAATAGGGTCTAATTAACCCATTGCTAGCAATACACCCAATCAGGTCGACCTCCACGCGGTTTCCCCTGGAAACCATCGTGGTTAATTCTAGTGGAATTCGTCACGATGGGCTAACTGACCTGCCTTTTCATCCTCACTGGTGCTCCGCCAGTGTATCCCGATAGCGCAGGCGGGGTTACCATTCCATTATCACTCATTAAAAAAAGCCATACCAAAGAGTATTGCATATAATTATTTTTTCCTTATTTTATAATGTCATTATTCTACTATCTACTTATTATATATACGAATAAACTTTGTACTACTTACAAAAAGTGCCATCAGAGCGTTTTCACGAGCACTTTCCGTACCATTTCACGCTATAAATATGAATTTTCTGTTGAAACTGCAGCTGTCTGTTGCACTTCTATCCCTACAGGTCGAAGTATAACCATTTATTTGGATAATGGATCGCTTTTATGAAGAAATTATTTATGGTTTTATAAAATAACGTGGCATGTTTAACGGGAGTCTTCTTTTTTATCATAGCTTATCGTTATTTATTAAGAATTTCATTTACTAAAAAGATACTAAAATGATACTAAAATTGTACACGTATCCTTCTATTTTCGCTTTGTATAAGAACTTTTGCTACAAGCCAAAATCAACGTAGTTCTGAAACACGAAACCTGTTCTTATTATCTCTTGAAAGGTATATATAGTTTATTTATTTATCTACTTCAGATTTATACAATATAAAAAGTAAATCAATAAAACCGTGCAAGCTCAATGCAATATCCGCTGGAGTGCTTCGCTTGTATAAAGCAAATCCCATCGAAACGATGCTTTCGTTCATTTGTTTGAATATCCATTCTCCCCTCAGCTTTGGAGCTTAAAGTTAATTGTGTATGGGGCAGAACAGCCAGGCGTTAGCTCGAAACATTTATTGACTCGAGTCACTCAACAATCTGTAATTCTGTACTACGTATTTTCATCAGATTTGAAAGGAATTCACGGAAATACGTTGTCTTGGGAACATCACATTAGTAACAAAATATAATTTCACTTAGTCTTTTTATCTCTCTATGTATCTTCATGTTATATTATTTTCATGTTTATCCCACTAATATAATGAACATATAATATATAATTTATTGCACTTGTAAAATACATAGATAATATATAAATTTTAATGAATGTGATAATTTAAAGACATGAAGAGCACCATGGTCTTCACAGAAAACAATGGACCTCTTACGTATTGCCATTTCATTTCTGATAACCAAAAACTAAACAGCAATCTAAAGACTAAAGCAGATAGAATTTGAAAAAGACTTATAACGACATTTAAAAAATAAACTTCATTCATCAAATACATTTAACCTGTTTAAGTTAAACTTTGTAACAGATCATACATTACACCCAAAAAACTTTACATCCCTTCTTCAGCAGTCGGCTAAATAAATGTAGTGCAATACCAACTTTTTCTATTGTTTACAGGAATCCCTTGTTTATCAATTGTGATAAAGTACTCCAATTTAAAAGAGCTTCGTAGCAATTTATATACAAGTATTGATATATCAAACTGCAATAAAACTCTTGGAGCGAACTTATTTAGAGGGGGAACAGCGTACTGGGGATTATTTTAACAGACAAACTTAGATCAGATTCTGTGATATACGAGTCAACTAGCTCCATAAGCGGCAATAGCTGAAATAAATAATCGAGTTATTGTAAGGATACCGCTATTATCTTCCATAATTTACTTAGTCAGGCATCGCTTTGATAGTCTTAATCTTAACATATTTGGAAAATCTATTTGCATTATCCTTTAATTGAAAATGTTCTTCTAAAAAAAGAACCATGAATCTAATTTTTTAAACCTCCATCTATCGAGTTGGTATGCCTATAAAACACTCCCTTCAATGGAAACCAACGAACTAAATTTAAAGAACACTGCCACTATATGCTTTATAATAGTTAGTTTAATAATTTTTCTTTTTTCTTTCCTATGCTTCAAAATAAAGACCCATGAAACATGTTCCCATTGGAAATATCGTTCTAAGGAGCGTTATTGCAATAACATAGACTGTTTGTTATAATTATATTATTAGTAAATAAAACAACTGACAATAAAAATAAAAGCAATTAAATTATAATCTAAAATCTAAAGCTCGCTGTGCTTGGCAGGCGGCGCTGGTGGTGCCGCGGGAGGGCGATAGTATTGCTCGTAGATAGCATCCCAGAAACGAATTCGCTCCTCCAGTAGTGTTCCTCTCAGTTGCAGCTCCCTTCCTATCTCCATGTAAGGGAAACCATTTGCGTTTGTAGGGGGCCATGCTGGATATGATGATCCTTCTGGCACCGGATTACTGTATAAAAAACATTATTTGATTCAATATAATAGTATATAAGTAAACTATACTTCTATTTTTATTTACCTACTAATTAATATTATCAATTATTAGTCAACAAAATATTACCTATAATGTATCTAATACATTACCTACTTTTTCTCTTTCCAAGTTTTTAAAAAAACTATATAAAATAAAAGAACTATACAATAGAACAACTATATAAAATAGAAGAACTATATAAACTAAACTAAAACACTTTTTTGAGCACAGAGTGTATTCGAACATTATATTATGATAGTGGAATAGTCCTTTTTAAACGAAATATGAGTTACCATTAATAATAACACATCTAAATATTTATTAAAATATCATACATTTTTAGTAAATATTGTCAGATCTATAATATAAACTAATAAAAGGCACAAGTAACTACACATAAGTATCATAATTCCTCATTCTTAGCCCCAGTATAAAGAACGTAAGTATTGCTTACCCAGTCTTAATAAAATTAGACCACAGATCTCTCACAGTAGCTTTAACTTTCCGTAAATCATCACTAATATTTTTCTCATCTCTACCAGCAATGAACGTTCCATCAAGTACAGCCATTGTTTGAGAGCAATGATTTGCTCCTCGGAGACTTGGATATTGTTCCGGAACATTAACTTCTTCAATAAATGAATATTCGTATAAATATATTTTATCATTACCAGCTTCGACTTGTAACTTTATAGACCTCAGTGCTGGATATGCAAAAAGAATATCAGTGAAATAATCGACATAACCAGTTACAGTGTCTGAACTTATTGGACTATCTTTAAAATAGAATTTTTTAATCTGCTCAGCTACTTCATCCTTCTGATTTTCATTTTCAAATTGCAAATCAGCTGGTAGAAAGTCAGAAAATTTCTCATTTATTCTGTCCTTCCATAGTTCAAAAAGTGGCAAACGGAATAGACCTTCCATGTTAGCAAATCCATATAGCAACGGTACTTTATTATATTTTCCATTTTTCAAAATATTAACAGGGGTATCATCAAGAAACTTCTCTTCCCCTGTATCACGTTCGACACATAAAGTAAATCCAAAAGTGGAATCAGGAACATCTAAGAATGGTTTAGAAGCTATTATTTCATAAGGCACCGTTTTATAGAATTCTTCCAAAGCATAAAAATCTTCAACATTTGTGAAATTCAACAATTTTGCGTAATCTTTTGCATTCTGAAGAGGATCTTGTTGCAACGACCATACGGCTGTATTAGAACCACTCTCAGGTATTGCTTTAGTAAAAAGTCCCTTGGCTAGAGGTGAAAGCAATAAAAGATCAACAGATGCAGAACCTGCACTGTAACCAGCTATAGTGACATCATCCGGATTACCCCCAAAGCTGCCAATGTTTTTTTTTACCCATCGCAGTAATGCAACCTGGTCTTTCATACCGGCATTCCCGGGAGCATATTCTGTACCCAAGCATAGGAAACCTTGTACACCAAGTCGGTAATTAAATGTTACGACTATCACATCTTTAGTTTTAACCAATTTTTTTGGAGTTACTAAATCCCCATAACCCACGTGGAAAGCACCTCCATGTACATAAACCACAACAGGAATATTTTTATTGTTTGTTTTGGGTACATATATATTTGCAATCAGACAATCTTCTTGCATAATTTTCTCTATCCCATATGTTCCAATAAATTCTTTAGGTTGATGGCATATTATGCCTTTATCTACTGCATCTAATGTTTCTAACCAAATTGGTGCAGGAAGAGGGGCCTGAAAATTAAAGGAAAATATAGTTTTTAGGACTTAATTTTACATTTCAACTATAGTTAAGATATTTAAAATCAACATTTCTTAAAACGTGACTCAAAATATAGGTGGGTAATATACAGTAATATCTATATATCATAGTTACAATGTCTATATTAGTCAAATCTCGAATATGTTAAATGTCTTTTATCCAATATATTCAATGTTAGATAACAGGAAAAATTAGGAATAAAGAACTGGTTCAAAATTAAATAGACATTCAACTGTTACTACTGAGTGATATCCTTTTTCCGCTGTTAATTTCCGAAAGAACCCAATATATAGATATTGGAGCAATACTAATATTAACCATGTCTAGTTCAAAAGCTCAGCGCCTCAAACTCGAAATCTTAGAAGTAGCAAATAATAGCTAGCTCTTGTTGCCAGGATTAAATCATTTAAAAGCCTTGATTAAGAGGTTCTGAGAAAATTACTCTAAGAAATTTATTCTTTTGAGTAAAAATAATACGCGTGTACTAACAAGAGCTCTTACTGGACACTGCAAACTAAACAAGCAAATGGCTCAACTAAATTTATGCCCAAAAATTGTTTGCAGATTTTGTCACAATCAAGAAGAAACATCGCAGCACTTAATTTATGAATGTGGCCCACGCATGTGTTAGATATTTATTTTAAATTATATTAATTTTCTTAAACCTCTTGTGTTAAAATGTGTACCTACATTTATTAATAAAAATCAGACTAATTACTTTAAATATAATAAAATATTAAAATTGTTATTATACCAAATTTTGTAATGAATTATTCTTGTAATGTATATAAAACAATAATTTATATTTTAATTAATTTTATAATTATTTATTATCATGATAATTAAATAAAAAGTAATGAAATTCTAAGTACACGTGGTCTCACTAACTTGTTCACTCTAATTCGGTCCTGTGGATATAAAAGATTGTTATTGGGGTGGAGAGACACTTCTTGTCCAACCGTTGAACAGAGCGGAGCTCCCTGACGTATCAAGAGTGAACAAGTATAGTAAACCACGTAGTCATTATATAAAATATATCACAATTATTGTTGATGGAAGTCCTAAAGAAGATATAGTTAAATAAGTGTCAATGGATTAACAGAAGTTGGGTATTTATGTTATATATTATCTGTTATATATTATATGCAAAGTAAAATAAGTAAATATATGATTTAATAGTATGATATCTAAATTAAATAAACTAAGTGAACTTGTACTTCATTTCTATTTATCACTAAGAGGCTTACAACCTTTATATTGCTAAAGAATATATTATATACATATATGTAAAGTTAGTATTACGTAGTACCCCACACATATATTATATATATAATAAATAAATAATAACTGCCTACCCTAATGGGAGACAGGCGTGACAGATGTAAATAATGATTGAAAAATGGAGATTACCATTTTTAAGACATGCATAAACGATATATCTACTTTGAAAAATACACTTTATATCCAGAAGAACAAACTTCACTACAAAAAAATCTTAAAATTCCTATCATTGATAGTAATTAGCAGCGACCTTAAAAAATACGAGCACGAAAGATCATGAAAAGGTCCCAGTGGAAAAAAACTCATCTTTCCATAGTAATAATAATAAATGCCTAGTTCAAAATACCTAACGAAAATATTACATAAGACAGACATAAAAAATTCATACCAATTGATAATCTCCTCTTTTTTTAAGTCAATTTAAAACTAATTGAAAAATGATGATAATGATTATACTTATTTCAATAAAGTAAAAGTCAAACATTAACTATAAAATTTTATAATTTATATGAAATTGTTGGTAATATATTTTTATGTTATTTAAAAAAACTTTTAACATTTACCTTAAATTTATTTGGTCCTGTCGGTGCCCTAGCATATGGGACTCCATAGAAAATGAAGATATCCTCTTCGGGGTCTCTAAATCCACGAATAGATCCTTGGGAAATACGAACAATCCTGGACTCTGCCTCATCACTTGTCTGATCACAAACTACGCCTGCTACGAGGCACACACATAGAAGCAACCTCCGCATCGTGATGACATGCAATAACTGAGCACTTAATAAACAATCAGGTAAGTCGAGGTGTAAAGAATAATAGTATGATATCTAAATGACTACACCCAATAAAAAATATATAAGATATATTATTCTTTATCGTAGTAGATAAGAATATTATTTACTGCAGTAAAGTACAAAATCAAATTATCGATATTGTCAATTTATTTATTTTTTCACTTAAAAGACACAAATATGTGTACAAACATTGTGACCTTCCGAAGTGAACAAGGTTTACGAAGTAATTGCTGTTACAACTTCCTCCTTATAAACATAATATTAAGTATATGTATACAATGCAACGCAACAATATAAATTTATATTACTATTATAAAGAGGAAAGATTCGATTTATTGTTTGTAATAGATACACTCAAAAACTACATAATGGATTTTAAAAATTCTTTTGCAGCATAGGTTATGTAGTAATTTCGTAAATTGTATATACTCGTGCGAAGCCAGGCTCGATGTTTAGTAAAATAGGTATATCCAGATTATGCGAGTGACGGCGTTTAATTTAATACATCAGATACTTTTTATTTGTCGGACATAGATTTGTCACTCAAATGAATATTTAACTGGCTGATCTTTCACTCGAATGAATATTTAACTGACTGTCTGATCCTCCCTGGAAAAGCTAAGCATTGAGGAGTGTGGCTTGGCTTGGTCTTGGTTGACAGCGGTCGCATAGCTCCACTCGGCTTGGCTCACTTAGCTAGTTCGTTCGGAAAAAAAATTAAGTTGTCGTCTACTCGCTTTTGTATTATTGAATACTCACTCAAGTTCATTTGTAACTGAAAATGAAAATATTGATGTGCAATTAGATTTAGTATCATCAAGCTGTCGATTATGTGTAAAATTAATAAATATTTTTTTCTATTTTCAGTGTTCGCTTAAGTACAAGGTAGATAAAAATATAAAAGGAAGATAATATATATACGGGCGATAACCTCGCCCGGGCTACTGGTTTCAGATGTCGGGAAACCAGTGCGGAATGCTAGGTAAAAATGAATTCACTTTAGTTAATTAGGGCACAAATAATATAATACTATATTGTTAGGGGGAAAGGGATTGTAAATAATGGGGTCTAACTTCCTCATTGATAGCAATATCAGATCGACCTCCACGCGGTTCCCCCTGAAAAACATCGTAGTTAATTTTAGTAGAATTTTTCAAATACTAGTAAAATGTATTTTATAATTGTAAACTTTTTTTTTCTTGTTTATTCTATGGTTCGAAAAAAATTTCATCTCGAGTCTAATACCAATACTAGCGTCTGTGACGAACATGCTTGTTGTTTACTTCGGTAACATATTAATTTTATCCCATCCTGCGGTCTCCTGATAATAAAGTAATTTTTTTTTGTTTAAATGTGATTTCTATTATGTTTTTCTATTATATATATTATGTTTATCATATGCACCTATATTACTCGTACCTATGAAATATTATTTGTAATGATTGTTCAATAAAAAAATCTCATATTAATTTATAAATACTAATTATAAATAATGTGGTCTATTAAAGCAGTTAAAAATATTTGAAATTAAAATGTTAATATTTTTAATAAATATCTACGTTAAGTCCTGTATCTTCGATGTATAGTACCTATATATCTCCCAAAGGATGTACCCTCATCAAAACGAGGTAGTACTGGTCTGACAACTAACTCTCTCGACATGAACTTTCAGGTCGTGGGATCCGAAGTATTAGTCCACAGGGATATTGATCTAGTCATTCTCGAAAAAAATATATTGTCGCTAAGGCTAAAAGTTTGGTGTACTAGCAAATATTGTGCTACTGCAGCTACTTAGTGTAACTAATTTACTACACTACTAGCAGTACACATAGTAATTTAATAATTATTATATGTCAGCCACACCACGGATAATAGTTCTAGCTACACGCCCTGGCTTCGCACGGGTATATTAATTTTGTATTTTTCCGTACGATTTTTTAAACATTTCCTTTCATACAAATCTCGTCCTGATATTTACAAATAAAGCAGAAAAAGAATAAGCCAAATATTTTTTAAAAAAATTATTGTTAAAAAGTTTTTATTAGATCACAACTGTTAATAGGAAGTGGTTTTAACCACAGGCACTATCCTTAATCGGCGGTGGTTTCATTCTAAACATGACATCGCTACTTGGGTATATCTAGCGAAAAAGTTCATCTGAACTACTTTTTACAAACTAAACAGGTCTGTTGTTCTACTGTAAAATTTTATTATAATTCAAATATTCATAGTAATATGCTATGCTTCAAAATAAAGACCTATGAAGCATATTCCCATTCGAAATATCGTTTTAAGGAACGTTTTTGCAATAAAATCGATTAGTTATTATAATTATATTATTAGTAAATTAAACAACCGATAATAAAAATAAAAGCAAATAAATTATAATCTAAAATCTAAAGCTCGCTGTGCTTGGCAGGCGGCGCTGGTGGTGCCGCGGGAGGGCGATAGTATTGCTCGTAGATAGCATCCCAGAAACGAATTCGCTTCTCCAGTAGTGTTCCTCTCAGTTGCAGCTCCCTCCCTATCTCCATGTAAGGGAAACCATTTGCGTTTGTAGGGGGCCATGCTGGATATGATGATCCTTCTGGCACCGGATTACTGTATAAAAAACATTATTTGATTCATATATAATAGAATATAAGTATATCATACTTCTATTTTAATTTATCTACTGATTAATATTATCAGATTATTATTAGCCATTAAAGATATTACTTATAATGTATCTAATACATTACCTACTTTTTCTCTTTACTAGAATAAAAAAAAACTATATAGAATAAAAAAAAAACTACATATTGTATGGCTTGAAAATAGCAATGGTTCAGCTCACCCATTGGCATCGTAACAAACAACCAAATTGTGAATAAATATCTATAAACTGAACTTAAACACTTCCTCGAACATTATATTATAATACTAGAATTGTCCTTTTTAAACGAAATTTGACTTACCACTAATAATAAGATCTACATATCCATCAAAATATCATACATTTCCAGTACATGATTCGATCAGCGATTAATGCTCTACAAATCGCAAATTCGGTCCCAGATGAAGTATTGCTGTCACTTATATAGTCACTGTCACTAGAGCGAGAGCACCTAGATATCAGCTTGAACGCTTCGACTCAGTGCAACGACGAGCTATGAGAATTGTCGAAGATACCAGGCTTGCAAGCGGTATCGAACCCTTAAGTCTTAGGAGAGACTTTGCCCCACTCTGCGTCTTCTACCGCTTGTACAACGGATTGTGCTCAGAGGAATTATTCAATATGATTCCCACGGCCATTTTCTATCATCGTACGGCTCGAAATCGACAGAGTTCATCCTAATATCCTACAGCCTAAATGGCCGCGTACAAGGCGGTTTTAGAGATGTTTTCTCCCACAAACACTCAGGTTATGGAATGAGCTCCCTGCCGAGGTTTTCCCAAGAGACTACAGCATGGAGTTCTTCAAAAGGGGGGTAAAGACGTTTCTTCAAGGTCGGCAACGCGCGCGTAATACCTCTGGTATTACAGGCGTTCATAGGCTACGGTAACCGCTTACCATCGGGTGGGCTATATGCTTGTTTACCACCTCAGTGGTATAAAAAAAAATGCTGTCAAATCCATAACTTGAACAATTAAAACGCACAAGTAAAGGCCACACATAAGTACTATAATTATAGGTTTACCTCATTCTTAGCTCTAGGATAAAGAACAAAAGCATTGCTTACCCAGTCTTAATAAAATTTGACCACAGGTCTCTCACAGTTGCTTTAATTTCTGTAAGTCGTCACTAATATTTTTTTCATCTCTACCATCAATGAATGTTCCATCAAGTACAGCCACTGTTTGAGCGCAATGATTTGCTCCTCGAAGACTTGGATATTGTTCCGGAACATTAACTTCTTCAATAAATGAATATTCATATAAATATATTTCGTCATTACCAGCTTCGACTTGTAACTTTATAGACCTCAGTGCTGGATATGCAAAAAGAATATCAGTGAAATAATCGACATAACCAGTTACAGTGTCTGAACTTATTGGACTATCTTTAAAATAGAATTTTTTAATCTGCTCAACTACTTCATCCTTCTCATTTTCATTTTCGAATTGCAAATCAGCTGGTAGAAAGTCAGAAAATTTCTCATTTATTCTGTCCTTCCATAGTTCAAAAAGTGGCAAACGGAATAGACCTTCCATGTTAGCAAATCCATATAGCAACGGTACTTTATTATATTTTCCATTTTTCAAAATATTAACAGGGGTATCATCAAGAAACTTCTCTTCCCCTGTATCACGTTCGACACATAAAGTAAATCCAAAAGTGGAATCAGGAACATCTAAGAATGGTTTAGAAGCTATTATTTCATAAGGCACCGTTTTATAGAATTCTTCCAAAGCATAAAAATCTTCAACATTTGTGAAATTCAACAATTTTGCGTAATCTTTTGCATTCTGAAGAGGATCTTGTTGCAACGACCATACGGCTGTATTGGAACCACTCTCAGGTATTGCTTTAGTAAAAAGTCCTTTGGTTAGGGGTGAAAGCAATAAAAGATCAACAGATGCAGAACCTGCACTGTAACCAGCTATAGTGACATCATCCGGATTACCCCCAAAGCTGCCAATGTTTTTCTTTACCCATCGCAGTAATGCAACCTGGTCTTTCATACCGGCATTCCCGGGAGCATATTCTGTACCCAAGCATAGGAAACCTTGTACACCAAGTCGGTAATTAAATGTTACGACTATCACATCTTTAGTTTTAACCAATTTTTTTGGAGTTACTAAATCCCCATAACCCACGTGGAAAGCACCTCCATGTACATAAACCACAACAGGAATATTTTTATTGTTTGTTTTTGGTACATATATATTTGCAATCAGACAATCTTCTTGCATAATTTTCTCTATCCCATATGTTCCAACAAATTCTTTAGGTTGATGGCATATTATGCCTTTATCTACTGCATCTAATGTTTCTAACCAAATTGGTGCAGGAAGAGGGGCCTGAAAATTAAAGGAAAATATAAATATAGTTTTCAGGACTTAATTTTACAATTCAACTATAGTTAAGATATTTAAAATCAACATTTCTTAAAACGTGACTCAAAATATAGGTGGGTAATATACAGTAATATCTATATATCATAGTTACAATGTCTATATTGGCCAAATCTCGAATATGTTAAATATCTTTTATCCAATATATTCAATGTTAGATAACAGGAAAAATTAGGAATAAAGAACTCGTTTAAAATTAAATAGATATTCAACTGGTACTACTGAGTGATGTCCTTTTTCCGCAATTTTTTATCAATTTCCAAAAGAAACCAATTTATAAATATTGGAACAATACTAATATTAACTATGTCTAGTTCTAAAGCTCAGCACCTTAAACTCGAAATCTTAGAAGTAGCAAATAATAGCTAGCTCTTGTTGCCAGGATTAAATCATTTAAAAGCCTTGATTAAGAGGTTCTGAGAAAATTACTCTAAGAAATTAATTCTTTTGAGTAAAAATAATACGCGTGTACTAACAAGAGTTCTTACTGGACACTGCAAACTAAACAAGCAAATGGCTCAACTAAATTTATGCCCAAAAAGTGTTTGCAGGTTTTGTCACAATCAAGAAGAAACGCCGCAGCACTTATTTTATGAATGTAGCCCACGCATGTGTTAGATATTTATTTTAAATTATATTAATTTTCTTAAACATCTTGTGTTAAAATGTGTACCTGCATTTATTAATAAAAATGAGACTAATTACTTTAAATATAATAAAATATTAAAATTGTTATTATACCAAATTTTGTAATGAATTATTCTTGTAATGTATATAAAACACTAATTTATATTTTAATTGATTTTATAATTATTTGTTATCATGATACTTAAATAAAAAGTAATGAAATTGTAAGTACACGTGGTCTCACTAACTTGTTCACTCGAATTCGGTCCTGTGGATATAAAAGATTGTTATTTGGGTGGGGAGACACTTCTTGTCCAACCGTTGAACAGAGCGGAGCTCCCTGACGTATCAAGAGTGAACAAGTATAGTAAACCACGTAGTCATTATATAAAATATATCACAATTATTGTTGATGGAAGTCCTAAAGAAGCTATAGTTAAATAAGTGTCAATGGATTAACAGTAGTTGGGTATTTATGTTATATATTCCTAACTCTATTCGGTGCGCTCAAACTCTTACTACTTACTTACTCTTTCTTATAACTACCTCTCACTTTAGTACTATTTTCCTGTGTTCTCTCTTCGTTTTCCTTCGTCATTTTTTTTCTGTTGTATGTGTGCTGTAAAGTATGTGTATGTTATGTATATATTTAATTGTGTATATATTATATATGTGTATATATATGTATGTGTACATATGTATGTATGTATCTATATGTTTGTATATGATAATATTTATGTAATAGTACGCCACCTACTCTTTGTCTTTTTCTCAATGTCCTCTACCCAAAGGTTGTCTGGAAGAGATTGCTTAGCGATAAGGCCGCCTTTTGTATCACTTCTCATTAATATTTACTGTATTTGTTATTTCTCTTTTTACTCGGTGCAATAAAGTGTAAATAAATAAATAAATAAATAAAATATTATCTGTTATATATTATATACATATATGTAAAGTTAGTATTACGTAGTACCTCACACATATCATATATATATATATATATATATATATATATATATATATATATATATATATATATATATATATATATAATCTCCATTTTTAAGACATTCATAAACGATATATCTACTTTGCTTTACTAAAAATACACTTTATATAAGAACAAACTTCACTACAAAAAACATCTTAAAATTCCTATCATTGATAGTAATTAGCAGCGACCTTAAAAAATACGACGAGCACGAAAGATCATGAAGGTTCCACTGTCACTTTTTTTTCTGCGTGGAAAAAACTTATCTTTCAATAGTAATAATAATAAATGCCTAGTTCAAAATACCTAACGAAAATATCACATAAGACAGACATAAAAAAATCATACCAATTGATAATCTCCTCTTTTTTTAAGTCAATTTAAAACTAATTGAAAAATGATGATAATGATTATACTTATTTCAATAAAGTAAAAGTCAAACATTAACTATAAGTTTTTAAAATTTATATGAAATTGTTGGTAACATACTTTTATGTTATTTAAAAAAAACTTTTAACATTTACCTTAAATTTATTTGGTCCTGTCGGTGCCCTAGCATATGGGACTCCATAGAAAATGAAGATATCCTCTTCGGGGTCTCTAAATCCACGAATAGATCCTTGGGAAATACGAACAATCCTGGACTCTGCCTCATCACTTGTCTGATCACAAACTACGCCTGCTACGAGGCACACACATAGAAGCAACCTCCGCATCGTGATGACATGCAATAACTGAGCACTTAATAAACAATCAGGTAAGTCGACATATAAATAATAATAGTATGATATCTAAATGACTACACCCAATAAAAAATATATAAGATATATTATTCTTTATCGTAGTAGATAAGAATATTATTTACTGCAGTAAAGTACAAAATCAAATTATCGATATTGTCAATTTATTTATTTTTTCACTTAAAAGACACAAATATGTGTACAAACATTGTGACCTTCCGAAGTGAACAAGGTTTACGAAGTAATTGCTGTTACAACTTCCTCCTTATAAACATAATATTAAGTATATGTATACAATGCAACGCAACAATATAAATTTATATTACTATTATAAAGAGGAAAGATTCGATTTATTGTTTGTAATAGATACACTCAAAAACTACATAATGGATTTTAAAAATTCTTTTGCAGCATAGGTTATGTAGTAATTTCGTAAATTGTATATACTCGTGCGAAGCCAGGCTCGATGTTTAGTAAAATAGGTATATCCAGATTATGCGAGTGACGGCGTTTAATTTAATACATCAGATACTTTTTATTTGTCGGACATAGATTTGTCACTCAAATGAATATTTAACTGGCTGATCTTTCACTCGAATGAATATTTAACTGACTGTCTGATCCTCCCTGGAAAAGCTAAGCATTGAGGAGTGTGGCTTGGCTTGGTCTTGGTTGACAGCGGTCGCATAGCTCCACTCGGCTTGGCTCACTTAGCTAGTTCGTTCGGAAAAAAAATTAAGTTGTCGTCTACTCGCTTTTGTATTATTGAATACTCACTCAAGTTCATTTGTAACTGAAAATGAAAATATTGATGTGCAATTAGATTTAGTATCATCAAGCTGTCGATTATGTGTAAAATTAATAAATATTTTTTTCTATTTTCAGTGTTCGCTTAAGTACAAGGTAGATAAAAATATAAAAGGAAGATAATATATATACGGGCGATAACCTCGCCCGGGCTACTGGTTTCAGATGTCGGGAAACCAGTGCGGAATGCTAGGTAAAAATGAATTCACTTTAGTTAATTAGGGCACAAATAATATAATACTATATTGTTAGGGGGAAAGGGATTGTAAATAATGGGGTCTAACTTCCTCATTGATAGCAATATCAGATCGACCTCTACGCGGTTCCCCCTGAAAAACATCGTAGTTAATTTTAGTAGAATTTTTCAAATACTAGTAAAATGTATTTTATAATTGTAAACTTTTTTTTTCTTGTTTATTCTATGGTTCGAAAAAAATTTCATCTCGAGTCTAATACCAATACTAGCGTCTGTGACGAACATGCTTGTTGTTTACTTCGGTAACATATTAATTTTATCCCATCCTGCGGTCTCCTGATAATAAAGTAATTTTTTTTTGTTTAAATGTGATTTCTATTATGTTTTTCTATTATATATATTATGTTTATCATATGCACCTATATTACTCGTACCTATGAAATATTATTTGTAATGATTGTTCAATAAAAAAATCTCATATTAATTTATAAATACTAATTATAAATAATGTGGTCTATTAAAGCAGTTAAAAATATTTGAAATTAAAATGTTAATATTTTTAATAAATATCTACGTTAAGTCCTGTATCTTCGATGTATAGTACCTATACATCTCCCAAAGGATGTACCCTCATCAAAACGAGGTAGTACTGGTCTGACAACTAACTCTCTCGACATGAACTTTCAGGTCGTGGGATCCGAAGTATTAGTCCACAGGGATATTGATCTAGTCATTCTCGAAAAAAATATATTGTCGCTAAGGCTAAAAGTTTGGTGTACTAGCAAATATTGTGCTACTGCAGCTACTTAGTGTAACTAATTTACTACACTACTAGCAGTACACATAGTAATTTAATAATTATTATATGTCAGCCACACCACGGATAATAGTTCTAGCTACACGCCCTGGCTTCGCACGGGTATATTAATTTTGTATTTTTCCGTACGATTTTTTAAACATTTCCTTTCATACAAATCTCGTCCTGATATTTACAAATAAAGCAGAAAAAGAATAAGCCAAATATTTTTTAAAAAAATTATTGTTAAAAAGTTTTTATTAGATCACAACTGTTAATAGGAAGTGGTTTTAACCACAGGCACTATCCTTAATCGGCGGTGGTTTCATTCTAAACATGACATCGCTACTTGGGTATATCTAGCGAAAAAGTTCATCTGAACTACTTTTTACAAACTAAACAGGTCTGTTGTTCTACTGTAAAATTTTATTATAATTCAAATATTCATAGTAATATGCTATGCTTCAAAATAAAGACCTATGAAGCATATTCCCATTCGAAATATCGTTTTAAGGAACGTTTTTGCAATAAAATCGATTAGTTATTATAATTATATTATTAGTAAATTAAACAACCGATAATAAAAATAAAAGCAAATAAATTATAATCTAAAATCTAAAGCTCGCTGTGCTTGGCAGGCGGCGCTGGTGGTGCCGCGGGAGGGCGATAGTATTGCTCGTAGATAGCATCCCAGAAACGAATTCGCTTCTCCAGTAGTGTTCCTCTCAGTTGCAGCTCCCTCCCTATCTCCATGTAAGGGAAACCATTTGCGTTTGTAGGGGGCCATGCTGGATATGATGATCCTTCTGGCACCGGATTACTGTATAAAAAACATTATTTGATTCATATATAATAGAATATAAGTATATCATACTTCTATTTTAATTTATCTACTGATTAATATTATCAGATTATTATTAGCCATTAAAGATATTACTTATAATGTATCTAATACATTACCTACTTTTTCTCTTTACTAGAATAAAAAAAAACTATATAGAATAAAAAAAAAAACTACATATTGTATGGCTTGAAAATAGCAATGGTTCAGCTCACCCATTGGCATCGTAACAAACAACCAAATTGTGAATAAATATCTATAAACTGAACTTAAACACTTCCTCGAACATTATATTATAATACTAGAATTGTCCTTTTTAAACGAAATTTGACTTACCACTAATAATAAGATCTACATATCCATCAAAATATCATACATTTCCAGTACATGATTCGATCAGCGATTAATGCTCTACAAATCGCAAATTCGGTCCCAGATGAAGTATTGCTGTCACTTATATAGTCACTGTCACTAGAGCGAGAGCACCTAGATATCAGCTTGAACGCTTCGACTCAGTGCAACGACGAGCTATGAGAATTGTCGAAGATACCAGGCTTGCAAGCGGTATCGAACCCTTAAGTCTTAGGAGAGACTTTGCCCCACTCTGCGTCTTCTACCGCTTGTACAACGGATTGTGCTCAGAGGAATTATTCAATATGATTCCCACGGCCATTTTCTATCATCGTACGGCTCGAAATCGACAGAGTTCATCCTAATATCCTACAGCCTAAATGGCCGCGTACAAGGCGGTTTTAGAGATGTTTTCTCCCACAAACACTCAGGTTATGGAATGAGCTCCCTGCCGAGGTTTTCCCAAGAGACTACAGCATGGAGTTCTTCAAAAGGGGGGTAAAGACGTTTCTTCAAGGTCGGCAACGCGCGCGTAATACCTCTGGTATTACAGGCGTTCATAGACTACGGTAACCGCTTACCATCGGGTGGGCTATATGCTTGTTTACCACCTCAGTGGTATAAAAAAAAATGCTGTCAAATCCATAACTTGAACAATTAAAACGCACAAGTAAAGGCCACACATAAGTACTATAATTATAGGTTTACCTCATTCTTAGCTCTAGGATAAAGAACAAAAGCATTGCTTACCCAGTCTTAATAAAATTTGACCACAGGTCTCTCACAGTTGCTTTAACTTTCTGTAAGTCGTCACTAATATTTTTTTCATCTCTACCATCAATGAATGTTCCATCAAGTACAGCCACTGTTTGAGCGCAATGATTTGCTCCTCGAAGACTTGGATATTGTTCCGGAACATTAACTTCTTCAATAAATGAATATTCATATAAATATATTTCGTCATTACCAGCTTCGACTTGTAACTTTATAGACCTCAGTGCTGGATATGCAAAAAGAATATCAGTGAAATAATCGACATAACCAGTTACAGTGTCTGAACTTATTGGACTATCTTTAAAATAGAATTTTTTAATCTGCTCAACTACTTCATCCTTCTCATTTTCATTTTCGAATTGCAAATCAGCTGGTAGAAAGTCAGAAAATTTCTCATTTATTCTGTCCTTCCATAGTTCAAAAAGTGGCAAACGGAATAGACCTTCCATGTTAGCAAATCCATATAGCAACGGTACTTTATTATATTTTCCTTTTTTTAAAATATTAACAGGGGTATCATCAAGAAACTTCTCTTCCCCTGTATCACGTTCGACACATAAAGTAAATCCAAAAGTGGAATCAGGAACATCTAAGAATAGTTCAGATTCTAATATTTCTAAAGGCGCCGTTTTATAGAATTCTTCCAAAGCATAAAAATCTTCAACATTTGTGAAATTCAGCAACTTTGCGTAATCTTTTGCATTCTGAAGAGGATCTTGTTGCAACGACCATACGGCTGTATTAGAACCACTCTCAGGTATTGCTTTAGTAAAAAGTCCCTTGGCTAGAGGTGAAAGCAATAAAAGATCAACAGATGCAGAACCTGCACTGTAACCAGCTATAGTGACATCATCCGGATTACCCCCGAAGCTGGCAATGTTTTTCTTTACCCATCGCAGTAATGCAACCTGGTCTTTCATACCGGCATTCCCGGGAGCATATTCTGTACCCAAGCATAGGAAACCTTGTACACCAAGTCGGTAATTAAATGTTACGACTATTACATCTTTAGTTTTAACCAATTTTTTTGGAGTTGCTAAATCCCCATAACCCACGTGGAAAGCACCACCATGTACATAAACCACAACAGGAATATTTTTATTGTTTGTTTTGGGTACATATATATTTGCAATCAGACAATCTTCTTGCATAATTTTCTCCATCCTATACGCTCCAACAACTTCTTTAGGTTGGTAACATATTATACCTTTATCTACTGCATCTAATGTTTCTAACCAAATTGGTGCAGGAAGAGGTGCCTGAAATTTAAAGAAAAATATGAATATAGTTTTAAGGACTTAATTTTAAATTTCAACTGTAATTAAAATATTTAAAATTAACGTTTCTTAAAACATGGTTGTAAAATGCCTAACGAAAATACCATATAAGATGGACATAAAAAATGTAAAAGAATTAACAATTTCCTCTTCTTTGAAATCAATTTAAAATTAATTGCATGATGATGATAATAATTATACCTATTTCAATATAACAAAAGTTAAATATTAACTTTTACATTTACATTACATTAATAAAATGTAATAATTTTTAGAAGATTGCTCGTAACGTATCCTACTTAAAGTTTTAAAATTTACCTTAAACTTATTTGGTCCTGTCGGTGCCCTAGCATATGGGACTCCATAGAAAATGAAGATATCCTCTTCGGGGTCTCTAAATCCACGAATAGATCCTTGGGAAATACGAACAATCCTGGACTCTGCCTCATCACTTGTCTGATCACAAACTACGCCTGCTACGAGGCACACACATAGAAGCAACCTCCGCATCGTGATGACATGCAATAACTGAGCACTTAATAAACAATCAGGTCAGTCGAGGTGTAAAGAATAATAGTATGATATCTACATTATTCTACCAAATGACTACACCCAATAAAAATTATATAAGATATGTCACTCATTATCGTAGTAGATAAAAACATTATTTACTGCAGTAAAGCACAAATTGAAATTATCGATATTCCCAATGTATTTCTTCATTAAAAAGACAGATTTACGAAGTAATTACTGCTACAACTTCCTCCTTATAATAACATCCAAACATAATATTAGGTAAATGTATAAAGAAACAACAATATTAATCTATACTAATGTTATAAAGAGGAAAGATTTGATTGATCGTTTGAAATGGATAAATAACACTCAAAAATTATTTAACCGATTTTAAAAGTACTTTTGCAGCATAGGCTTTGTATTATTTTCGAAAACTGTATCTACCCGTGCAAAGTCGATGATATCAAATGATAACATTATTTTCTACAGATAATAATTTGCACCTGTTACATTTTTAACCGTACACCGTACATACAGAAGCTATGCTACTTTTAAGAATTACAGAACAACTAAATTAACTATGTACTATACTGTTGACTAAAATTGCGTGCTCCTATCAATTTATTTCCGTGATATGTACTCAAGAAAGAATCGCCGACAATCAATTAATAAATTGCACTAACTTAAATTTTCTTTATGCAACTTAAAATTGCAAACAAACTGACGGTCCACCTGATGGAAAGTGGTAACCGTCGCCTATAGACATGAGCAGTCTCATGGACATAACGGAGTATACTGTTTCACCCATGATACCCCCGATGCATTGCTATTCCTGAGAACTCAGACGTTATTCCTCTGTACCCTGTAAATTAACTGCCATACCCCACCCTTCAAACCGAAACACAGCCATGCGAACATAACTGATTCACGGTAAAACACGAATAAATACTTACACAATGCTTTCACCGCAAATAAAATAAGTACTCACCAATATGCTCAGATGATTTCAGAAAAGAGAAAATTCTTAAAAATAATTTATTGGATTCTGTTTTTTTAACGTATACGAAATTAAACCATGTATGTGAAATAAGACCAAATAACATGTTTTTCTTATCAAACTAGGGTGTAAAAACGACATGAAAGGTATCATAAGCGAGTATTGTTAATGTATATAGGTGATGGTGACCACTTTTACATCAATCAAATGAAATCAGCTGAGTAAAGTCAACACCCGAAGCGTACGAAAACTACCTACGAAAAAGCACTACTGAGCGCGCCTTGTGCATATCACGCGTCATGTGGATCGTAAAATTTCAAATACATTGCGCGGAGTCAAATCTAAGAATTGTTAAATTTATGGCTGTAGTGCATTTCCGATGGGAAAATAATGTCCTGTCCCTTCTACTATGTATAGAGCTTATGGCTCATACTTTACAGTGTCCTTTCACCCTGTATATCGATAGCGTGTGCGACGCCAAGATTACAGGCTGCACTAACTGATTTTCCAATTTTCCACTATTAACCGCGCGATCGCCGCATTCGTCAGTGGCGCCGCACGTCAACGTAACAGATTGGCGTAATAAAGCGACGGAAACAATGCCATTGGTGCGGAAAAGAAAACTGTAAATGGTCCTGTCAGGCACATTCTACATCAGGGTTTCTCAAAGTTATAGATTAAAAATAGCCGAGAGTTCGGACAAAACTGCAGATGCAAAACTGCAAACAGTTTCAATTTTTTTAAATAATTCTTTGTTAGATTTTAAAACAAAGGAGACGGTTCCCACTTATGTCTTCATGTTTTTCCCGAAATTGAAATAAATATTGTAGAAGCAAATAATAATGCGAGTAACTAACGGGTGACATACAATAACATAATAAAACTTATGTAATAAGCCAGCTGCCAAACTGTGGACCGTGGGGTCCACTGTTTGAGAAACTCTGCTCAAAGCCAAGAATGGTCCAGTGGACACTACCCAGTCTCCCTTCTAAGCGTACTTGACGAGTTGCAGTTGAAAGAATATTTATATAAACTTATACAACGACAGTCGAGTATAATTTTTATAAAGGTTTGTATTGTTACATGTATGTGCGTATATTTTATACACACAACAGGAATGTCAACGACAGTCGAGTATTATTTTTACCCACTAAAGCAGCAATTAATCGTTTTTATTGTGCGGGAAACCATAATCAGAAAGGCAATGTGTTTAGGTACATCGCTATGGTCAATAAATACTAATACTAAAGATAACTCACAACTTATACACAAAAAAAATACGATCAAGTTAAAAATAGGCTTCAACAGTACTACTTACCAATTAATATCCTCGATAGGTTTAAACATTTGATGTGCATAATAATTCCATCAATACTTCAGTGACACTCCACTGAAGCACACGTAAAAACCGGAGTGGGCTTCAATCGATCGGACGACCAACACAGCGAAATTTCTAAATACCATGAAAAAGAGAAAGGTATTATTGGTAACATTTTTTAAACTTTTACCTTGCATTGTTATATAACATATGGTTTAGGTTCAAAAATAATTGAAATTTTTACAATTCATAGTACCACTTCTGCGTGGTTTGTAAAATTGTAAAAGAGAACAAGGTTTGAGTCCTGCCGTCAAAATCTTTTCAATCAAGATGTAACAATTCTCGTATCATACTAAGTATTGTAAAACTTTAACCAGGTAACTGAGGAAATACGTTTATGTACTGACGGAGGAATAACTGTAATAATTTATAACACATTACAATTTTTCTAACGTTCATTTAAATAAAGTTAATACCTCAGCGTTATTAACGATAAATATATGGGTAGGTATTTGTCATGTTTTATGTTTCGTAAATTAATATTGCCAGGGAGAAATTAAATTAGCCCTTGCTAATGAATATTAATTGGACGCTCCACTGCCAACCGTTCAGGATAAGGGAAGTACCTAATCATTAAAAAGTAAGGTATTTGTGATTTTAGCTGCGGTAATTTTTTATCGGTCTGCGGCTTTCCACAAACAAAAAGGTCATTAACTTTTGCAATACCTCACGTTCTCTATTTCCCGGATAATGTTAAAAAATATATTAACATCTTTTTGAAACATCTATGTATATTTATTATTTACTTTCCATTACTTGGCATTTCATAACAGAAATAAAATTCTGTATTCTAAAGTAGTATTTAGAAGGAAAGATTTTTTGTTTATAGTTGATAAACTCAAAAAATTACCTAAAAGATCACATTAATTCCCATATCTTACAATCTATAAATAAAGAGTCAGGTTAAAAAGTTAGTAGTTTGTATGTAAAATGTATTATATTATACGTTAGTTCATCAAACAAGTTTTATTCAAAGGAGAAGGTTCTCAACCCGTCTGTATGTATATTGTGAATTTGCTATGCAATAAGATCGTCAATTCATGCTCTGAAAGTTAATCCCAAAAAACAGTAATTTTAATTTGGTGACAATTAAAACTACTGTTTTTTTTTTTTTGCGAAACAGAACATGTAGATAATTCCAAAAATTCTATGAAAATTTCTAAATGAAAATATTATTAGTGTATTATTGCTGTTTTTGCAGAGCAAAATGTAGTCTATTCATTTAACTTATTAAAAAATCTTCAATTATTTTCTATAGTTTTCCATTAAATTCAGAATATAGATACACAGAATAGACAAATTACAATTTAAGAGCAATACATATCTAGCCTAGCTACCTACTTACGAGAGCTATTTCCATTTTCAGTTTTCCATTTATTTGCGTCAGCGAATTCTGAACAAAGGTTTAGCGTTTATGGTCAGCAAAATACCGCCACAGATAGTCGAGAAAAAGCTTCAACTATTTCCAACAACATCTGGCCGATATTGCAATTTCGTTTTCCAATAGGCCGTTTTTGTTCAGTTACCACAAATATGTATTGCATGAAAAACGCAATATGTATTGCAGCACCAACTTCGATTGTTTTTTTTTTTTTACCAACAACTGCAAAAAAGCTGATCACGTTGATTGTGATCAGTCTGTTATTAATAGACATAGAAAAATATATTATGCCTTTAGGATCATTTTTACGCTCGCCATCGAAAGAAAGTTCACTCTCATATCTTAGAATCTAGACCAGTGATTCTCAACCTTTTTTTTTTTGTTGCGGCACATATTTAACGATTTCAAAATTTGGCGGCACACAAAGAAAAAGATAAAAATTATTTACTTACTGCAACACACTGCATAAATAGTTTATGACAAAAATTTTAAATATTTGCAAAATTTGGCGGCACACAAAAGTGCCGCGGCACAGTGGTTGAGAATCACTGATCTAGACGGTCGTGTACAATATACAATAGTTCTTCTTCCTACAGACGCTCAGCTTATGAAATGATACCAAGGTTTTCCAAAGACGATACAGCATGAAGATCTTAAAAAAGTGTAAAAAAAGGATCTTCTGAGGGTCACTGCGCGTGCTATACGCCTGCTATTCCAACACTACCATTACACTGGCGAGGTACCATTAAATGATGATAGATGAGAAAAAAGACAGGTTAGTCAGCCTATTGTGATAAAAATACACCAGGCCCTCTAGACAAGTGGCAAGCGAACTCGTCGACGAAATCGACATCGCTCACGAATCCGTCAGCTGAAGTGAGACGTCCAACGTTGGTATCTCATTCTGTCTCACGAATCCGCCAGCAATGTCCATTCTTTCGATGATCTCGCCTACCACTTGTCTAGAAGGCCTGGTTTTCAGCACGATGGTTTCCAAGGTGGACCAAGTAGACGTCGACTTGGTTGAATATATTGCTAGCGATGGGATCCTTAGTTTCCATTATTAACAATCCCTTTCTTCCCGAAATGCGGTTTTTGTGTTATCTATCTTCACGCCGGTTTCCTACACATTATACTATACCTACCTACTATAAAGGAGAAAGAGGTTGTTAGTAAAGAAGACCTAGCGGTTCCATTGCTAACAATATGCCTCGTCAGGTCGTCCTCTTCACGGTGCCCTCTGGAAACGAACATGGTGAATTCTTATAATACATAAATATTCATCACATCAGATCAAATGAACTGCTTTCTCATCACATTTCATCCCTCACTAGTGAAGTGCCAGTGTATATCGATAGCTCAAATGGGGTTACCTCCTCCATTCCATTATCATGCATTAAAAAAGACCTACTACTATAATATCAATACATGTTTATTTGTAAATATTTATCTAGGTACTACAATTAGATACAAAATATACTCGTAAATGTTTAATAAATACTATAAAATTTATATTAACTGTGGACATTTCAATCGATACGATAATACAATCGTTTTATCAAATTTATATCTTTCTCCCGGGCAAGTCATGGATATTAACATAATATTTCAGTCCCTAGGTCGTTCGGTTCGTAAAATAAATCTCAGCTGTCTAATGAAACGGAAGCTTTCAATAATTTCTACAGAATTTAATGAATAAAATCTTTTGTTTTCATTTCCTCCGCTTTGTTTTATGGCCACTTTAATTTCCCGAAAGACAATGGTGACCCTTCAGAATGTGTTAGTGGGTTTCCCCAAAAGCTATCCTGAATTCCCGATATCCCTTCTCTTTGTTTACGTAAATCGAGTTCAAACAATGGCCTCAATACGTTACTGTTAACTATTTATATAAGCACTTATTTATATATGACTAGCTTTAAGCCGCGACGTCGTCTGCGAAATCGGAATAGCCTTATATATATTGACAGGGTTACAAAGTAGCCTATGTCCTTCTCTGTCCGAAATAATACGCGTATACCAAATTTCATGACGATTGGTGTAGCAAACAAACTTAACAAAATGGACTAATTTTTACTCGCAACTTCTTTTGTATAACCGGAATAAGTCAATTGACCAAGAAAAATATTATCCTACATTCTTTTGCCAACCCAAATACTGAGTGCATCAAATTTCAGTGTAGTTTGTAAAGCTTTTAACAGCTTTGAAGTGCTAAGAAGTAACAAACAAAATATAAAAATATCACTTTCACATTTATAATACTATACGTATATTTTTTTTATGGGTGAAAATGGTATAGTAACCCCGCCTGCGCTAACGGGATACGCTGGCGGAGCACCAGTGAAGGGTGATCGATGAGAATGAAAACAGGCCAGTTAGCCCATCGTGACGAATTCAATGATAAATTAGTCACGATGGTTTCCAGGGGGAACCGCGTGGAGGTCGACCTGATACAGTATATTATTAGCAATAGGAACTAACCTTCTTATCTTTAACAATCCCTTCCCCCCTATATACGTATATTAGTCAATACATGGTAGATGAGAGGAATATCATAGAATTTGAAATGGAAATATCCGCAAAGAAATTAAAGTAATCGATATAGCCTTATTTTTTTATCTGAAAGGATTAATATTTGTACACAATCTAACTACTATACTTACAAAATGGGTCCATAGAAAATTTATCAAAATCTGTTCAGTAATTGAGTTTTTAAATTAAAGTAACTGGTTTTGAACACAATCTTATTTTTCTTATCGGTACAGTACCTATATAAATCTAGTCAACAGTTCTTATTAAAGTGACGTTTACAACATTCTAGTTCAGGTCGACCTTCTCGCGGTGCCTTCTGAAAACAGTCATAATTAAATTATTATATTAATATATATTAATATTCATCACAATAGGCTAACTAATATGACTTCATTCTTACCTAGTATTTCACATTGATTCCCCGACATCTTAAACCAGTAGCCTAGGCGAGATTATTATTCCATTTTCATTCATTTTTCAATTACCTTTTTCCATTAGATAAGCCGTCAGCTTATTTGTCATAGCTAAGTATCGCAAAAAATAATGCATCATCTATTTGAAACATTATACACACCTTTAATCGGTTCACGAATTTGTGGCTGAAATACGTCACGCTGAACAGCGACGTAACTCGAAAATAATTAATCACTGGTGTTGACGACAGAGCGACGCGACACTTCATTAAAGAAATATCCCTACTGGTAGGGGTATTATAAGTAGGCACTACGAAAACATACCATTTTCTATTTTCTTACTCTGTTGTCAATACGACTATCAGTGATTAATACCCAGTATTCACTATACGAGCCTCAAGGAATATTTATTTATTTAAAACAAAAAGTTTATTTTGGGGAAAATCATAGAACAATAATCTGCCATGTGATTATGTTGAGTTAAGTATGACATGTTATACATATCAGTAGCGTAACTATACCATTTGGGGCCTGTGGTAAATTCTTTTGATGGGGCCCTATCATTTATTTTCAAGTAAAATAAAATACTCAGGTACAAGGTAAAATAAAAATTCTGAGCTCGCGGCCTCTTGAGCCGGGGCCCTTTTGGGTCGGGGGCCCGTGGCATTTTGCCAGTCCTGCCACCCTATTGTTACGCCACTGCTAAGCATGGTAACTACGTGCAAAACTCCCCTTATGAGGAAGGCTTATAAGCAATGGCCAGTCAACAGCTGATATGATGACGATTCAATATACGAGCCTCAAGTCACACCACGCGCCTTCCTAATTCTACTAAACCCGCCTCTACTACTTTTTTTTTTAACTAAAATACAACCCATGTAACGTGCTGATAATGTAACTTTCGATAAATGAAAGAATGAGTTTATCCATTTTATATACAAAAAAAAAATCAAATCTTCACATTTTGTATTAGTTTAGATTTTATATGTACCTTATCCTTCATAGAGATAACCATCATCTTGCCGGGGATCTTTTTAAGACTACGCTACAAGTTCCACTGTAGGATGAAGTTAAATTTCGCACTGGAATCAGTCTCAAAATTAGTCGGGTGATAGACCGGATTTTTTAATGGGTGATAATGGAATACTTACCCCGCCTGCGCTATTGGTTTACACTGGCGGGGTACCAGTGAGTGATGATAAAAACGACGATAAAAAGACGATGACGATGAAAAGACAGATCAGTTAGGCCACCGTGGTGAATACGCTTGGAATTCAGTAAGATGGTTTCCAGGGGGTACCACGTGGAGGTCGACCTGGTCGGGTATATTGCTAGCAATGGAGCCCTTCGTCGTCATTATTAACAATCCCTCCCCCCCCCCCCCCTTTTCTTTATGCGCCATAGTTGCATCTAACGTCAAAGAGATAGTTTTTTGACAGCAAATATAATGGCAAACTTGGTTTTCAATACTATTCAATTCCGAATGTGTTGAGAGGTATAGGTACAAAATAAAGCAAACATTTAGTTCAGATAATACTTTTCTTTTTTTATAAATTAAATAAATTTACACGTTACTTAAATGCAGAACATTAGATATGATTCAGAACTGTACATTTATGTAATACTTAGTTCGAAATTTTGCTTATACGATTGCATTTTACATTTAAGAAAATTTGTTATAATACCTACTTGTTCATTGAATTCGGAGTCGAAGCCTGGCTCCATGGGCCCCAATGTACACGACTTCTTTTAAAAACTATCTAAACGAGTGATCATCTCATCTGGTGACTCAGGATCTGAAGCATTTGTCTAATATGAGGTAATGTTGACAGTATCTTTACAACATTGCCACATGGAGACAATCTTCAACATTTTTTTTTTTATACATTTATTATAAATTTTAACACTATAAAGTAAGATCTCACTATTGCCATTTACTAAATCCCATATTGTTTATGATACATAATTACGTTTACTTTATGTGGGCCCTGAAGAATATTAATAAAATTTCTAAAATCCCGCCGCTGATTTCTGTAGGTATAAGACATTTTAATTAAACTCTTTAAAGAAAATCGAAAATATAATACAACGCACCCGGATTGCCTGTTCTGTGCCAGGCGACAACCCTTAATTATAGAGGAAAAAGGGATTGTTAGTAATGAAGACTCTGAATCCCATTGTTAGCAATATACCCAACTAGGTCGACCTTCTCGCGGTTTTCCCTGAAAACTATCATGGTTAATTCCTTATAAATTCATCATGATGGGCTAACTGACCTGTTTTCATTGTCATCTATCACCCTTCACTGATGCTCCGCCAGCGTATCCCGTTAGCGCAGGCGGTGTTACCATACCATTTTCACCCATCAAAAAAAAACCAAAAAAAAAAGAGTAAGAAAAAAAGAATAAACTTCCGTTCGAATTAAAAATCTTTATACCTGCAGAAATCAGGGGCAGGATCTTCCCTGGTTTCTAATAACGCTTACAAAAGATATAACATAAAACAACTAACTTAATGTAGGTACCTACAGCAATAACTTTATTAGGCTGATGGCTAGAGATAAAAGCTTAATAACTAAATATCTTACTGTACAAGCACTCCTTTCAAATTACATCTAGTTTTATGTGATTATATGTTTTTATGTATTACTATTTATGTTAGGTTTAAAAAATTTTAATGATCGAAGCTTATTTATAAAAAAAAAACACTGCTTAAACATTTTTTCGTCAAACTGTAGTCTTGTAGCAAAATATTCGAACCAAATATTTTTATTACAGATCAATCAAAATAAGAAATTGAAGCTCGTTTAAGTACATTTACCCTTATCCATAAAAATATCAAACGTGTTATAAATCTATTTTATTAGATACATGTTTAATCTTTTTCTTTTGCATTAAATTCCCAATTTGTAAGTGACAAAACACTGTAAAACAGATTTGTAAGAAGTTTTTATGAATAAGGCGTTTATCTTCATTACGACCGTATCACAATATGGTTACGTTATATTTTATTTAGTAATAGTTATTAGATTAGCAATAGAATTACATTCTCTGGTCCAATAGTTTCAGAAACAATCTCAGAGTAACTTCTACAAAGCTAAAATATTATTACATCGAAACAATTAAGGCGATACACGCCATTACAAAAATGCAGTATTTTACACTGCATACTCGTAATATTATACTTTTATACACTCACTTCTTGTGTGATTCAAGTATCATTTGAATTCTATTCATTTACAAATGCTGCAATAGAATATTAAAGTATTTGTTGTTAGCACAATTGGAACCCAGCCACTAGGTAAACCAAAAACACCAGTAGGCAAATGGCGGACCATCTTGTTTTATCTCATATATTATGTTTGTTTATTGTGGACTGCCTCTTTTTTTCATAACAGAACGAGCATGTGGCTCATCTGATTATAAGTGACTACCGCTGCTAAAGATCACCCGCAACACCAGAGGTATTGCAGGAATGCTGTCGGCTTTCTATAAGTAATATTCTCTTTTTTTAAACGTTATGATGTCGTGTCGGTTCGGAATGATCCTCTTCTTATGGAGGTACATTTTAATTATTGATATCTATAAAAATCTTGATTTATAAATAAATTATTAAAGTAAATATAATTTAGGTATGTCAATTGGTCATTTAGAATTTAAACTAGGCTAAAACATCGCTAATAAAACATGCTAATAAAACAAGCTGTACATACATATATATTTGTGTACGTGTTACAGTTTTTATAGATAATAATACAAAAATAGCCCGACTTTACGACAATAGACAACACACATTATACTTCATTAATAGATTTACAAAATTTTATGCTTGAAATACATATATTCAATAATATAAAGTAGTAAAAAAGGTAATTCGTTCACGCTTAAGTCGGCTATAAGAAGATTTGACGCCAACATTGTGGCGAAAAACAAAAAGTACATTTAGAAGAAAATCATAGAATAATCTGCCATGTGCAATGAGATTATAATTTATTTATTATACTTTTATGAATAATTTTAATAAATAGATACTTACTAGATATTTTAGGGTGCTTTTATATTTTATCGTCACGACATTTTTAACAAAAAATTAAGAGCGATTTTATATAATTGCATACACTTCACTAAGTCGTTATATGCTTATAATAATATTGGATGCATAATATATATATACATATAATAATGATGGATGGTGCTATGATAAATTATAAAAAAGCCCTCAGTTGTTCATTAACAACTATCTATCATTTCTCTATCCACAGTGAATATTCCATAATCTCTCATTTTTTTTTTATTCTATACTTTCGTGATGAAGTCGTATATTATGTTTATATTTTTAATTCGAATTTATATTTTACACACATATTCAGTGGAGATACAACAAACTCACATTTACAATATTAATAAAGATTACATTCCATTTTTTTTTTTTTTGTATATTTCACTTATAAGTGTCCCATTATAACTTACATATATTTAGTTTACAGTGAAAAAATAATTATAAAATTATATTAAAATCTTACTTTATTTCATAATTTCATTGTTTATATTATGGCTAAATTATCTCTTTTTCAGATTCATTTATATCAAAGGCAGATTAATATTTTTATTGATCTACCGAAGATTGAAAATAAAAAAAATAAATCTATTGATTTTACACATATTTGATAGTATTTTTATTTTCAGTTACAGATGACCTTGTGTGAATATCCAATAATAAAAAAGTGAGTAGACGCCATTTTAATTAAAAAACGAATAGTGTAACGCCACAACGCGAGATGTCGCTACCAACTAAGTGAGCCAAGCCAAGCGAAGCTATGCGACCACTTCAACCAAGACCGAGCCAAGCCACACTCTCCAATGCCAAACTTTTCCAGGGACGATCAGACAGTCAACTTATAATGTAGCCAAATATTCATTTGAGTAACAAATCTATGTCCGATATACAAAAAGTATCTGTTGTATTTCAATTTCAAAAGGTTCTCAATTAATTGTATTTTTATAAGTTACAATATACCTTCTGAACCGATTCCTAAACTTATTCTGACGTACGACTAAGTAACCGTTTGTCTAATAATTAGAATAGTCATGTAAGTTGAGCATTTAGTTGTTATATTTATCAAAATTAAAAATAATATCCGTATTCCTTTCTGTCTTTTTTTTTCTATATTTAATATATTTAATAAATAAATCTTCGAAATTATATAAACCGACAATTGCCTCTTTCCACCAAGTAGGTGGGCTTTCTACTTCTTGACTATCCACAGTAATATAAAAAAATAGAAACGATCACCAGTAATATTGAATTCGAACTTTACACAATCGGCATACATATCAAAATATCAATCACAAAATTTTCAATAATCACACTTTCTTAAATAAATAGAACGCAAATTATTTGCTTACAAAACATTCCACTAGCGGTCAAAGTCCTCTATCATGACTGACATTATCATCATACTCGTTTAACAAAATTCCAAATAATATTCGAACTGGGAATTGAACCCGGGATGTAGCAACTAAATTTACAAAACACCATACTAAGCTGTTAGATTCGTATACAGAAAAAATGCAGAGAAACATATACACTGAATTCTCAATACAAGAATAAGAACCGGTAAATGATGAATTGTGACGACGAAAAAAATTGCTTTATCGATGTGACGTCGCACGGCCTTTCAAACTCAAAGAGAATTTTCTAAATTCAAAGAGAACTAAAAACCTATTTCACAAACGCCTAATTACCCATATTATAGATAAATAAAATAGTAATATTTTTTTCTAAGCTTCATTTAATTAATTTAATTTTTAATTGTAACATAATTGAAATGAGAGTCCTTCTAACGTCACGTCCTCCTATTTTTCCATATATAACACCATCTAACGATAGTATAACATTATTATCGCTAGATGGAGCTGTATATAGAAATGTACACAGTATTCCAAGTCATTTGGACAGTTCTGTGAAGTGACTAGACATTTTAGTAATAAAAAAAATGTTTTTTAATACGCTGTTTATTGAGGTGCCTTAAACAGAAAATAAAAAATCTTTTTAATGTATTTTTATTTTCTGCTTGCCACCTCACAATAAATACCACATTTTAGTTTCTTTTAATAATCGCGCAATATTTAGTATTAGCAATTCATATTAATAAATTTATTTTATAAATTCTTATATAAAATGTTAATTAGTTTTAGAGCCCTATTACAACCAAATAGGCCTCAAGTTATTACAGAAAACCTGAAGCAGCCTGTGAGATACGTTCTTATATTATACAGTAGCACTGTGATATGATTTAAGACAAGTATATAAATATATATTCAAATACAATACTTAAGTAAAAGCAGTCTCATATACATATGCAGGTTAGCTCACACATGCAACCAAGTTACAGCACTCTGTTGTGACATAGTCCATTTGGTAGATGCAAAACACTCAAGTACAGTTCACACTGCATCTGTTAGAGGAGAGATTGCTCCACCATTATCTTCTCATAGCCCGCTGGAGGTGGATATAGGAAATTTTCTAGGTTTATATCTAATATTGCGCCGTCATCAACTGAAAAAAAAATACTATTAAACTGCAGATTTATGAAAGGGAGATTTAACACAAAATTCGTCTGCTTGAATACTTTCATTCCACTCGTGTTTCAGCTACATAGCAACGGCGCTTGCATGGCATTATTTCGGTTTCAAGGGTGATACGATTGTTTTTTTTTTCACTAGAATGACAAACAAGCTGACAGCCCATCTGATGAAAAATGGTAATCATTGACTACAGAGATAAACAGTACTATGGACATAACAGTATTCTGTGGCGCCCATGATACACATCATCATGAAATTTGGTATAGACATGCTAATTGGAATGGAAAAAAATATAGGCTTTTTATCCCGGTCAGTAAACATATTCCAGTTACGCGGCGGAAGTCGGGAGTGAAAGCTAGTAGAATATAAAAGAATAAGGGGTGCAGTAAAAGAGAGAGAAAGTGCGAACGATTACTGCTTAGCTCCGAGCAGCGATTAATTTGCCTGAAGATGCCTCATCTACAGTTGAAACACGTGTCACAAAACGTGCGGGGACGAAATGGCGGTCGGAGATTAATGACTAACATAGAAGGTTGTAAAACTTCTGATAATAATAATACTAGTCAAACATGGTGGCAATGGCACGCATATTAAAGTTGGCGGAATTAAACAAAATAATTTTAATGAAATAACCAGAGGTATAAGAATACAAAATCCACACATAGTATCAAACTGGGCAGGAATCCAAGGAATTCAGGTAGAAACCACAGACATAGGACAAACAAAATAAAAATTGAAATAAAATAAAATAAACACCACAAACACCTTAACTAATATGAAAACTCAGTGACAGATCAATAAAAAATATCTTATTATAGGATAATTCAGAAACATACAAAAATAACATCACAAGTTCTAATAAATTATAATATTTGATACTAACCATAAAGCGCGGGATAAACTGTGCCTTTAATATTTCTTACAGGTACTTCCATATTTTTTCCATTCAGGAAGAAATTCAGATCAACATGGTCGTACGCCACACCGATTGTGTCGCCCTCTGCTGGCATTACTGCAACAGTATTTGCTTTCTCACTTTCAGGCTTTTCATGCTCGTGACTGGGAGAACCTGTGGATACGAGCAAATCTGCTGTGGGTGACTCTCTAGGTGCTGGGGCTAAGTGGTACAATTCGACATTAGCATGCCTCACGGTCCCATCACTGTTCAAACACCAGGATTCTTTGTCCATACCACCTGAAATAAAAATAAGTACTCAATCAATAGTTTAGAAAACACAATAAATCTTATTAATATAATAAAATTATAACTAGATGATGTCTGTACATGGAAGATATTTAAGAAAAAAATATTTTATGAAAGAATTTTTTTTTATATTTTATATAAAATATATTTTAGAAAAAAATATATTATTAAATGTCTTAATAAGATAAACAGAAGCCAAAACAGTATTCTATAGAAATTTTGTCTGTCTGTATGTGTGTTCTAGCAACATGCAAACTATTGCACCAAATTGGATGCGGTTTTCTCAGTTATGTTTCTGAATATGGTGTAGCGTTTCATGTTGTTGATACATCATCTAGAAGTGGTCATTTCACTGATTTTCGTGCCTCTGAAATTGACGTATATATACGGAATAGGGAGCAAAAAGCTAATAATAAATAAAATACCTACCATGTTGGATACGAGTATGATAAGCAAAATTTCGATATGAAATAATTGTATTACGTTTCTTACAATGAGAATATTATCAATGAAATATTATCTCCCCGGAATGACCTCATTAGATATTACAATTCTGAAGACATTTAATTTTTTTCCTTAATCATAAAAAGTTAAAATTTGTATCATCATTCTTACTTTAACCCATATATATACTGCCATTAGATATTTTTATAGTTTATGGCAGCACGACACGACACGACACGACACGACACGACACGACACGACACGACACGGCACGGCACGATTTTAACGTCACAGTATAATAAAAAAAAAACTACAATGTATGCCTATAACAATGTACATTTTCCGATATCACGGACATACACGGCACGGCATTTACCGTCGATAGAACAAATTAATATGAACTAGGTACACACACAATTATAAAATGACCTCTGTCTTTGACTGATAGAAATCGTACATTCCATCTCTGGTTTTTACTGAAGGTTAAAAAAAGTATTGTTATGCCAACTGGTGCTACAACAGCGCAGGTGTTATGTCACTCGAGTCATGTGACCTTTGCAGCCTCAGACCTTCATGAATTACAGTACACATTTTGCATACTAAACTAACTACTGTGTATGTATTTTAAGAACACTTTACTGCTGACTAATTGCCTGACCTATCGACACCATCTACAGCCCTGAAAATATTGAACTGTATATTACTGCATTAAAATCTCATTACCAATCTCGCTAATTTGCCTTCATGTTTACTACATGTGATTTAAGTATCTTGATCTATTTAGTATATTTATCTTTATGTACTATTATTTATATTATACATCTATATTTATGTAAGTTAGTCCTTTTTTTTATATAAATGGCATTTAGAATAATATACATTTTATTAGGTTACTCTTTGTATTTACTGTATCTACCTTTCTCTCTGTATTTATTTACTATTTATGCCAGGTTGTCTGTAAGAGATTGCTTTTAGAGATAAGACCAGCTTTTGTATATGCACATTCTATATAAATACTCCTTGTATACATATTTTAATTAATTAAATTTAGTAATTACAATAACATTACCATGCACTTTACTGACATCTGTGTCTCTAGTGGCAACTCCAACAGCCCAAACACCTCCCTGCTGCAACTTTACTTCAAAGTATGACTTGTTCTGAACAAGGGGAGCATTCCCGAGTGCGCAACCTGAGCCACACACTCGCTGGCCTCCTTTTACAACCACCACTTCATGTCCTGTAAAATCCAGACCACACCACTTACTAATATAATAAAATTGTAACTAGATGATGTCCGTACATAGGAAATATTTAAAACAATAGATATGCGGGGTCTTAATAAAAGTAATAAAGAGTGAGGGATGGGCATTAGTGTCTCTCTTAAAACATCTCTAAAAGCTATGGTTATAATAACTATAGTTGCTAACCAGCCTGCCAAGTGTTTGCCAAGCATGGCAACTATTGGCAAAACTCACCTTATAGGGAAGACTTATGTTCAGTAGTGAGTAATTAATAGTTATTGGCTGAAATAATAATAATAATAAAAGTAATGGAATCAAGCAAAACAATCTTTTTTTTAAATTTTTATCTGTCAGTCTATAGGTTTGTTCTGGCAACATGAAAAATTACTACACCTAATTGGATGCAATTTTCCATTTGTGTTGGTGAAAATGTAACATAAAAACAGGAATATGTTCCTGAAATTTATGTGGGCAATAATCTAGTAAAATATACAAATAATAAGTTAACAACAAATCGTCATTGTCGTAGAATACTGACACATCAGACAAATATTACATATAAAGATCCATCAGTATTCTACGACTATGACGAAATGCCACCATTTTGGATTGGTTATTTTAGCAATGTCAATATTAAGAAGACAAAGGTATATTATAAACAATATGATTTTTTTGAGTAGAATAGGTAACATTTCACTTCAGATGACACTAAAGGCTTAACATAAGGACATTATATACTATATTATTACATTAATAGAAAGGGAGAACACATTATATAAAGAAAAAGTGTACCAAAGTTGAGCTTGTAGTTTTAAATTATTTACAAAGCTATTAAATAATTTTAATTTAACTGGACTAAGTTGGGATGTGAAATTAGTTTTAAAGGATGTTGTAAAATGACACATATGACAACTGATATTATAAGTCAATCTATAATTATAACTGATACTTTGTCACAATCAAATATTTTGTTGAATCCATAAATTATATTTAAGTACTTTTGTACAATGGCTTCAATATGTTACTTGAACCATATTAATATGTTGAATACTAATATGTAGTAAATTTGGTGTATTATGTTAGTATAAACATGAAAAAAATATCTTAATTTTATATATTTCTGTATCATTTCACAGGTACAGGCATAAATCTAATTCTGAAAATCTTAAATATTTATCAGTAAGCCAATTTAAAACCAAGATTAAATAAAAATAAGACTATTTTTAATGATTTATTAAATGTATAGGTAGGATGTATGAATAATGACTATTTATAACAATGATGTACATAACAAGGTTAAGATAGATGAAAATGTTTTAATGGTATATTTGTAACATTAAAAGTACCTAATAAAATATTTATTTGCAAGTTTCTGTATAATGAATATTATTATTATGTCTGTCGAGGTTTGTTAAAGATATTAAAGTTAACTACTGTTATAAGTTTCATACATAGGTACTAATTAAGGAAATACCTTTTTTTACTGCTAACAAACCATATTTAAGTTACGATTTGCGGAACCTAATAAGTATATAATAAAAATTTGAAACAGTCTCTAACATTCGATTTGACAACAGTAAAGTATATAATGAAATTATGTCCATTAGTATCATAGACTTAGTATAAACTACTTCTTGTATAAAGTCAAAAGTGATGTTGTTGCAAATGTTGCAAATTTCAAAATAATTGTAAACTATATAACTAATCTATGGAAAACAAGGGAAAGATCGCAGAAATTAAAGCATAACTACAAACCCATATGTAAAGTGTCCAGTTGCACTGGATTCTCTTTGATACGAATGGGGACGCTTGGCGTCAAAGTGAAACCACTGATACATCCTTTGAGACAACAGAACATGTTGATATTATGCACAAACAACTATAATATGAAATCAATATAAGAATTCACAATTTAATTATCGGTATGTTATTGTATAAATGTATGTCATTTTCATTCATAACTTAATTGACTGCAATTTGACACTTGAATGACGAGACGGAAACGGCTGACTGAAGGGCACCGACCAATCATAGGACAGCACAGAAAATAAATTGGTACTATGTGCACAGATAACTACATATATACAGTACTGTTCATTCAATATAAAACGGCTGCGTTCGCTTCAGCATATTAAAATTATTAAGGTTTACGCAGATGATGGTATTTGTTTTCCCTTTCCCTTAATTGTGTATCGGAGATTTTTATGATAGGAAAATGTTATTTTTATTTGTGTTGAGCTCCACGCATGGAAATCATCATAGTTAATTCTTATTGAATTCCTCACAATGGGCCAACTGATTGTTTCATCCTCACCAATCATTTCTTACTATTGCCGCACCAGCGTATACCGATTGATATTTTTTATGGATGATAATAGAATGGTAACCTTGCCTGCGCTATTGGTATACGTTAATGGAGCACCAGTAAGAGATAACAGGTGAGGATGGAAATAGGTCAGTTAGCGCATCATGATAAATTTGACAAAAATTAACCAAGATAGTTTCCAGAAGGAACCACGTAGAGGTTGACGTGACAGAGTATATTACTAGCAATTGTGCTATTAGATCCCCATTACTAACGATCATATACCCCCGATTAAAGGAATGGAATTGATTAACTGATCTGCTTTCATCCTCATATATCACTACTTACTGGTGCCCCGCCACTGTATACCTATAGCGCAGGCGGGTTTACCATTCCATTGTCATCCACTAAAATGAACTGACCAGATTTCATTTTCATCTGTCATTCACTGGTACCGCGCTAGCGTATGACCAATGACGTAAGCAGAGTTCTTATTCCATTTTTATTCCATAAAAAAGTCCTCCAAGCGGTCTGCCCTGGAAGCTATCGTGGTTAATTCCTTAGTGAATACGTCATAATGACGTCATACGCTATTATACATCATAAACCGTTAGTATAGGCGGGGTAAGGAGCAGTGATACTAGTAATTCATTTAAATAATCCTTGCTTCCTTATCTTTCTTTTAAATGATGATAATGGAATGGTCACCCCGCCTGTGCTATCAGTATACACTGGTGAGGCACCAGTAAAGGATGATAAATGATGATAAAGTAGGTTAGCCCATTGTGGCGAATTTAACAATAAATCAATCAAGTTGGTTTCCAAGGGGAACCACGTGGAGGTCGACCTGACAGGGCATCTTGCTAGTAATGGAGATTAAAGTCTTCATTACTAACAATCCTTCTCCCCCTCAACCCTTCCTTTATCCTTACTAAGATTATAAATGTAAAAAAAATGTATTACCTCTTAACACCTTAACGAGTTATTTAATATACACATACTATATGGGACGGAGAATATAGAACATAGGCTACTTTTGATCCCGGTCAATGAACATATCCCAGTAATGCGGGCAAAATCGCGAGCAAAAGCTAGCTATAAAGTATTTTCATAAACAAGAAATTCTGTCTTTTCTCTTTCAGTACTTGTCGCTATGCAATTATGTCTACTCTTTCTGTAATTTCACTATGGGTAATTAGTTGAATGGTATTAATGATTATTAAGTACTTTTATAAATATAAATAGTCAAACTACTTGAGATTGTGCTAATACAAATACATATCATGAATCGTAGTACGTTCAAATACGTACGAAACCTCGAGACATGATCTGTTTGACAAATAAAGGAGCTCTCTTATACTATACCGCTGAACAAGTAATTATTGCGTTTGCCTATACATTTTTATGGCTTATTCTAGAAAGTTCTATACGGCAACCATTTTTACTCATTGTCATACAGGTTTTTTTATAAGTAGTAATTGTTGCCAGACAGACTACATACAGAAACTAAGGACTAACATTTTATACTTTCGTATCCAGTTATTTATATTTGGAAAACAAAGACTGTATATGTAGACTAAAACAAATTAGAAATAATAAAACTACTTATAACTTTTAGTGATAGAGATAGATTACAAAATTTAACAGTACTTCCACGATCAGGTATATAATATTTATTTATAGCTACTTACATATACCGTTTGCCATCATAGTAGTATAAAAAATATTTAAAATTTTTAGAACACTTTTATTTATCTGTCGCGTATATTATATCGACCTTTTTGACATCGGAAATTGTAAAACATTTTGTCATATACGAGTAATAATGTTTGAACCAATAAAATTAACATTTTAGACATTATGTAGAAGTACCGACTTCTATAGAGGATTTCAGATTTTTCTAAAAACCTTTTATGTAATAAGAAAGTACACCTTCACATAATTACATAAAGTGTACAAGAAAATTATACGAAAGGTCTTACGTACTTATACAGTAGGACAAAATAAAAGTGTCATAGCTAGCGATATTAAGTCATGGCATGACCTCATCATTGCGGTAAAATTTCTCTCGTATACGTTTACCTGTATGTTTTATGCCAGTGCCGTAAGAGGTAACTTAGTTTAGGTCTTGATCACATGCTAGTTCACGAAGTAGTTAATATTTCACTTAGAAACCTTCACAAACTAAAGGAGAATAATTTTAAAAACATTTAGAACCTATCTTTATAGGAGGGAAAGGGATTGTTAGCAATGCAGTTTGACAGCCCCATTGCTAGCAATATGCCCTATTAGGTCGACCTCCACGTGGTTCCCCCTGGAAGCCATCGTGAACAATTCTTGATGAATTCGTCACGATGGGCTAACTGACCTGCTTCATCCTCACCTATCATCCTTCACTGGTGCCTCGCCGGTGTATACCGATAGCGCGGGTGGGGCTACCATTCCATTACCATCAATTAAAAAAAAAACCTATCTATATAATATTATACAAATTATGATAAAAAATTAAATAAATAAAATCTAAATAATTAAATAAATAAATCCTTTTTCCTTTTTAATTTAATAAATTACATCATAATTTAAGTACATCAAAAAATGGTATGAATCTAACCTATTCTCCTTATTTTTAAAAATAAAACATCAATTTTTATAAGTAATTCAGGCTAATGCGTCGAAGTATATGTAATTTCATTATACAGTCATTCACCGAGCACATTTAGGAGGGAGAGGACAAGAAGGCTAACATCATAAAATCAATGATTAATTAATGGTATTAATCATCACCATATCCTTAATTTAAAATTTAAATAATACAATGAAATTTTAGGTTTTAGTGTCTGCCAGATTTGAATCCACGATCTCTTGACCACAAGTCAAAGTAAGTAAAAATAAGTCGCAATGCAATGCTTCTAGAATTCTAAATCACATTCAATATTAATGAGTTAGAAACAAATCTTTAGTAAGTTAAATGATTAAATATCTTAAAAGTACACTCATATTTAGAGAATTTATATTAACGACGGCTAAAGTTTTCTCTGCAAATAAAAATTATTGACTTTGTTGATTAGTTCAAACTTAAGGAGGTATTAGACAGTTGATTCAACGCCAATATTTATCGTTATAATTAATTGGGTTATGCAATAATAATTGATGTAATAATGTAAATTTGGTGTCAATGTCATTGACACCAAATTTACATTTTTAAATCAGTGAGAAAAGTAAACAATTCAGCTGGCGACTCCACAGAAAGTGGTAAATATGAAGATGTCGTCACAGAAATATGATAAGCCTGTAATGCTGTTAAACACAGGCGAGGTATCAGTGAATAAATGATAAGCGAAGATGAAATCAAGTCAATTAAGCTGTCGTAAAGAATTCTCTAGCTTAGCATGTAAACTGAAGAAGCTATTTTTATTTAGATTTTTTTAAAGTGATTTAATCGAGAATGATCGATGATTCAAAAATAATTATCAGCCCATTTTTAATTGATAAAAAAATAGGTCAATCTATTATAAACCTGGTATCCTGTTACTTTAATAATATTACAAGAACATGGTATTTTAACTTGATGATTCATCATCACTTGAAATCTACAGAATACCATATCCAACTCTTCAATAAATTCAAGCAGATGTATGCATTTGTGTCCATTGTATTGGTCTCAATTAATAGATACTGATCAAAATGTAATAATGAAGTAGGAAAGAGAAATAAAAACCGATCTGTCATGAGAATTATTAATAATAATATAATCCGTCCATCAGTATTAAAAGTGTTAAATTTTTTTATTATGTATGCATGATATAACTATCTACGAGAGACGCTTCTAGTAATCACCATAGGAAAAATACCTGTTCAGAAACCAGGCCGGATAATTTAATATATTAACCGAATTTCATTTATTTTTTATCTCCAACTAAAACTATAACGGTTTTAATTGAATATTTATGGATTTAAGTTAAAAGTTTACCTATTAAATAATCACGTAGTAGGTATATATGAATACATAGTACATTATATAATCGTCAAACCTTAGAGGATGACTTCATTACCGGTGATTGCCAACTCAACAAAGCGTAAATTCTAATATGTACTTACTGTGTATGTGCGCGCGTGCTTATCAATTGGCCGAAAGTGGGTAAATTCTTGTCGGGAGTCGAGTATGGAATGCTAATAACTCCCTAAAGTAACCAAATACTTTCTATAACATAAGTTCGACATGGTAAATAAATAATCAGGCCATCATTTATCCTCATTTATATGGGCGCCGGAGGGTGGTGCGCTTATATCTTTTGGGAATTCAGGGATCAATACAAATGTATATATTACTTATATCTATTATTCATTTATTTACAGCTATTTCAATCAATCTTTATTATAAAACGGATATATAGTAAATACATATATACATAAAATTTACTATATATATATATTATATATCTGATTCACATATGGAGGAAATTATTATAATCAGGATATATAAATTGTCATAAATAATTAAAAAACGTTATATTAGGGATATGTATATTTTTTGTTCAAACCCAATAAAAAGTATGTAATTTTTAACAATTGATAGTTTTCATGAATTTAAATATAAAACATATCGTTATTACGTGGTTGCGTCGCTGATTCTGAAGCGATTTTTCTTACTCCGGTCAATCTCTTGCGATTAATAGAGTTTACTCCATATTCCTAAGTTCAATGTTTCTACAACTAAAGTTATGTTTTTTCTATGCGGAGGTAAAACTATATGCTGCAAATCAAAATTTACTTGTAGAAGCACGATTTCGCGTAGATATATATTCTCCGTGTATGAATATTCATACATTTTGTACTGAAAAGCAATGTTAACTAAATTTTTTAACCATTTCTAGAATACTAGCTTTCTAGTATGCTGTAGACGCTAGAGTAGGTATACTGAAATCACTAGAAGCATCTCGAAATAACTATTCAAAGATTAGAGGATATAGTTTCAAAAAATGCCTATGTATTTCATTTCATATTATATTATTTAAGTACCTACCTATATTAATTAGAGTAGCCATGTAAGTATTTTCGAAATTGCGAAGCCAAACGAAAAAAGACCTTGATAACAAGTAAGTAACAAAAAAAAATGTCATGAAAATAGTGCAATCTTAATGGTTTGAACACTTTACAGTAAAATTCAAAGTTAGCAGACCCGATTTTGATATGAATATATTTTGTCATGTCCAGGAAATTTGGAATTAAAGACTTTTAAATTGCGAAGAAAGACAAGTATAATACTTGGCTTCAAAACTTTGGAATTAGGTTTCACTCAGTGCAGTTGTGCCGCTGCATTATAACTTGACCTATTCTGCATGACTATAAGATAGTCAGTTTTACCTTGTACCTACATATGTGTACACATATATTTCATGTTTAAAATCAAATATAATAGTTACCAACTTGCGTACATTACGCATAATATGTCTAACAATAGAAGTTTCCAAATTCCATGCTTTGACTTAAATATACATATAAATAGAGGCATTCGTATGTTCATTGGTTTTCGTGCTAAATGCCGTACTTTCAGCATATTAAAGTCTAGCAATTAATGGGGTATTTTTTTATACAACTTAGAATGGCAAACAAGCTGACGACCCATCTGATGGAAAGTTGTAACCGTTGCCCACAGACATGAGCAGTACCATGGACATAACAGAGTATACTATTTCGCCCATGATACTCCCCATGCGTTGCCATTCCTGAGAACTTAGATGTTATTTCTCTGTACCCTGTAAATTCACGACCTCATCTCACCCTTCAAACAGAAACACAGTCATGCCAACACAACTGCTTCATGGTAGAGAACACGAATGGGACAGAGGTACCCAAGCAATCGACTTTTGTACAAAGTCTCCCTCTGGTAATTTCAAAACAATATTTACTACTTAGTTATAAAACTTCTTATAGTAAATGTAATGTAAATTGTATTACTGTGCCTAAATAAATAAATACTGCTTCTTCTTGCCTTTGGCTTATTCCCCACTTTATGTAGAGTCAGGTCACCTAATTCTGTGGCGCCAGGATCTTCTGTCCTGGGTTGTCAGGTCGAGTTGGTCATCGTCTACCCCTTTTTAGTTCAGGCAGTCGCAAGGATTTTTGACCACAGGTTCCTCATCTTTCTGCATCACCAGTGGCCATACCATCTAAGATGGCTTTCTGTTCTTCCGATATGGAAGCAGCATATACTACAAACTATAAATCATGCCTTAATTTCACATGGATATTTATAATTTATTTCAAACATAGGTTATAGTAAAGGTTTAAGATAAATAGGCACGATTAAAATAAACCTAACTTATTGATTATTACAAATACGCTATCTAAATAATTGTAAATTATTCTGATTTTGTTCCATAATAACCAAACTTTAGTTTTGACACAATTAGTATGATGTGAATACTGAACTAACACTTTCTATTAAAAAAAAATCATTAAGGTCGATTTTGAATTAGCAGAGATATCCCAAAATGATTATACAAAGAAAAATTTATTCCACAAAATCCTTGACTTCAATCAGGACAGATTAATGCAGGACCGTGAATATGTTGGCTAATGCACACAAAAATACAGTCGAGAACCTTCGATTTTTATTACAGATCAATTATAGGAAAGCACAATGAACATACATTAAAAAGATAGTCGTGCGTATCTGTAACAATTAAATTCTTTTTTCAAAATTCCTAACAAAAACTTCCTTCCTGAAGGGCAAAAGCCACCCTCCGGAGTAGTGCATGTCTTGTCACACGCAGGCTCATGTCACCGCCATATAAAACGGTCGCACCGCTCACGCGCATCAGTTTGTGACGGATCCATTGGAGAAACACACCACACGGTAAGTACACATTATATGTAATTATATTTTTTCATTGTTATTACCGACCTATATTTTAAATAAGTTAATATAGAGTAGTAAAGATAGCAGAGTTCAGTGTCTGTTTTAAATAAAATCCTTATTTTTTAATAAAATAAAAAAAGAATATGTATATACATTTAAAAAATACCCTTAATATTATAATGCGAAAGTGTGTTCATTTGTTACCTATTGCCAATAGTTACGAAATTTGGTACGCTTGTACTATTTAAGATTAAAAAGGACATTGACTCGTTTTTATCCCTGTCACGCGAACGAAGTCGCCAGCACAGCCAGTATATAAGCTTTATAAAAGTGATTACTTTTAATTTACATTAATTAACATTAACAATTTTAACGAAATATTACTGATAAATTTAGAAAATATCTTTATATGTGTATGTAAGTAAAAAATGTATTATCGAGAATGGAATTTTCATTTCGAACGGCTTATTAATAACCAGTCACAAAAATGTTAAAATGCTTATATTTATGGACACAGAAAAAATGTTTGGGATTCTACAACATAGGTCGCGGGAGGAATGAACTTACTGAGGGGCCCGGGGCAAGGTCACTTTCTAACGCCCAGGACCGGTCCGACCCCAGCGCGAGCGATAAATATCATTCCAGGGAAAGTTTGTTTGTAAACAGATATATGGGATTCCAAATTCAAATCGTGATAAAGAAAAGACAATAGAACAACCTAGGCTACGTTCGGAAAGCGGACGATAAACATCAATTCAGGAAAAGTTTGTTTGTAAAATAATTTACGGGATTCTAAATTCAAATCGTTTTAGAGAATAAACAATACAACAAGCTAGGCTAAGTAATCACCACTGACACTCCGGAACGCTAAAACGTAATGTACTTTTGACGACTTCCGCAGTGCGGTGGGTAAATAGTACTTATTTATGTTACTTTTTGTAGATCTTTTCCCAGATTCAGTTCTGAAAGGGACAAACCATGGAGTGACTACTAACTTGCATTTAGACGATCATTATATATAATATCATCATCTCGTATACCCATTACTAATCTGCTGTACTACTAGCTTTTGGGCGTGAGTTTATATGTATATAAACTGGAAATATTGCTATATCAAATTTTATTAAAATTCACAAGTATTATGAATACGCATGACTAATTTATGTATGTATGAATATCACTATCCTAATTTATACGCTTTATAGCGGTATATCAATATATTATGTATACATTATGTATTTTATTCTACTATAAGACTAACTGTAAATTTGGTAATAATAAATTATTCTTTATACATATATACAATGATTTATTATATATACATATTTGTATACATAAATATTACAAGCGCATATAGTTAACTTGCCTAGCATGCCGATTTTTGAGGCTTTCTAAATATCATTTATATCATAAATATGCAGGACTTCTTCGTTATGCAGAAAGTATTATTAGTCATAAGTAGTAAACTTAAGCAAACTATTCCCTAAAAACAGCAGCCGTTCACGAGTATGACAGATGAGCCAACTATACCAAGATAATCTTTGTAAAGTTTATCATTATTTTAACAGACTCCAAATTAATTGTGGGCTTAAAATTTAGTTTATATGAAGAATAACATTGAAATAACTAATATAGAAATATATGTAAAAGAATAATAAATAACTACCTACCTAATCATGACATAATAGTTTTGATATAATAATTATATGCAAGTCTATTTAAGATGCGATTTATATTGGAAATTCCATAACTATCAAAAAATGTAAACAACAAAAACTTAAAACTTGTTCACGATTCTATTTGTAAATATGTTGAATACCTATATCCTAGTCATATATAATCGACATAATTAGGTTCTGCTTGTATTATTAGAATGACGCTGTCTTCATTCTAATATTGTTATTTATTTTTTACTAGCTGTATCCCGCGACCTCACCGTCGTAAATCAGTAGGTACATAAAGTATCTTATGCGCTAAGTTAGGATATAACCTATCCATGTACCAATTTTCATACAAATCCGTCCAATAGCTTTTGCGTGAAAGAATAACAAACATCCATTCATCCATCCATCATTACAAACTTTCGCATTTATTGTATTAATGGGATTATTCCTACACCAACCGTAGTAGAAAAAAAAGACAAAACTAAAACTGTAAACTCTGAGAAAACAGAGGAATTTATAGGTTACTTTTTATTAATAATAATATCTACTAATTTTGTTGCTAATAATAAATTGATTACATCTTGATCTTATTTAAACCAGCTGACATAGCTTAGCTATAGTACACTTTGAAAAAACCTATATAAAAAAAATTATAATATTGCCACCCATTAAATTGCTTTTGTTTCATAAATAAATAATGTACCTAGTGTGATGTACGTACATTTGGAAATTTCAAAGTTCCGATTACGACAGGGCGGATATATCTATTAATAAATCTCTTTAATTATTACTCCAAAAAAAATTAGTATAATACTAAGAATTGATAGAGCTCTAAAATAATTGACTCTACCGTTTTACTCTAATCATGTTACTCACATATTCCTCGTTCGCTTCCTCTCGTGGTTCCACGTTGGTGCTCTTTCATATTTAAACTATGTTGTAATTGTTTAAAATAAGAAATAATAAAAAATTATAAAGCCTTTGTCCATACTATACCTATATATGTCTGTTCCCTAAGTCTTAAATCCATTATTTGCTAGCAACTAAATTTTTAGATTGTTTATTGTAATTGTAACTCAATTGATTACACATTATTAAATATTGATTATTATTGAATATATTAAATATAATTATATTCGGTCGCGTACAATGTCAGAGGAATGTCTTCCCACGCGCGCTCAACCAAAGGAATGAGCTACTTAGTTTTCCTAAGTTAACACCGATCGGTAAAAATAAATAGATATAAAAAAAAACAGATAATTAAAAAATGAAAACAACATTGAATCCTGAATTTTCAAACAAGTTTCTCGGTTTTTGCATTTCGTAACAATTCTTATAAAAAAAAATCTTAAACTTCTTTACAAATTATTTCCCTAAAATTTCAATAATGACAAACTGTTCCTAGAATAATTTATTTTAATGAATTTATGATTCATTTAGATCCTTTCATGTATTGTATCACTAAGTGCTTATTAGATTAGTGGTATGAAAAAAATAATGTACCTACATTAAATAGATTAATAAAATAGATGTATGAAATACTATTTTTATTACCCTCAGGTATTGCACAAAGACCGCAAGGCATACAGCCATAACAATAGTGAATTTTTACAATTCTTATTTGTCAGTAGCATATTTTTATAACGCAATCCTAGAATCTAAACCGTGCGAACCGTTATTCGACATTAAGACTTAAATATAATAAAATGTATTTTATTGAATTAAAACAGGTATTAAAAAATTTAAAAGTATTACAAATAATGTTTTATATGAACGTAAATACCTACTTACCGTCAATACCAAAATCGCTGATAAATTTTGAACACTTGTACACAGTGGTCTTATTTATTTTGTACTTATTTATTTTTATTGATGAAGATGGTATATAGTATCTATGCTATTGTGTACAATGGGGAAACACCAATACAGGGTAAAACGATGATGACGTCGAGCTAGTTGAACCATTATAGAGAATTCATTAGGAATTGGCCATGAAGGTTTCCAGAGATGAAAGCGACCTAACCCATATTATAGAACTAACCAACCAACTAAGCAAGGGGGAAGGGATTGTTAGTAATAGGTATCTAAAATCCTCTTCGCTAGCAATATACCCTGTCAGATCGACTGCCATGCAGTTCCTTCTGGAAACCATCCTGATTAATCCTTATAGAACTCGTTACGATGGGCTAACTGACTTGCTGTCATCCTCACCTATCGTATTTCACTGGTACCATGCCAGCGTATAATAATAGGGCTGGTGGGATTATCATTCCATTATTACCCATTAAAAAATAACAACTAGGAGGAGAGGAGGGATTGTTAGTAATGGAGTGTAATAGCCCTTTTGTTAGCATTATCCATCATCTCTGTAAGTTGCTCATTTAACATCGACAGGTTATATATTATAAATTAACAGCCATTAAATTTGTTTCAGATGATGAAACAAATAAGCACAGTGCTGTTACTGACAGTAGTGGCGGTGGCTAGAGCACAGTTCTCGAACGGTCGCATATTGGAGCCCCCAATTCCATCACAGTGCGTGCAGAGAGTGATCCACGAGAGATATGTAGACAGTAAGTATTTCTTTTTACTAGATAGGTTATATAAAATTAATAATAGAATAAATGTAAAGCCGAACAAAAATTGTAACATGAATATTTTTTCTGGATTTTGTATACCCCACAAGGACATGATTAGTACAAAAATGATCTACATTCCTTACCACCGCCATTCTAGTACCTCTGCCATACAAATATTTACTCTAAAAGTTGGAATATAGGCCATATTATTCAGTATCATGAATAGTATCACTTCCGACTTGTTACTGTCGTTCCGTCTCTACTCCACACTCTATATCTTTGAATACCACTAAACCGTTGTAAATAAAACAGCGGAACAACTAGGTATTTAAATAAATAATATCATTATACTTCTGGGACGTGAAGAGAAAATATTTTAAACATAATTAAGTAGTAATTTCAAATTTCGAACACTACCATACGTATACATATCATGCATAAGTAATATTTTAAGCAATCTCATTGGATTACTTCTAAACTACTTGGTAATATTATAAGTATATTGTAAATGTTTCGAAATAAATTTATTATATATTATTATATAGAAATATTATTGATCTAGATGTGATCACATATATGAGAACGTAATAGCCCATAAAACCTGCGGACGCACCTGACTCTATTTAAAGCAAAACCGGCTAGAATCACAGTTAGAATAGTGTGTTAAAACAGGTAATAAATAATGGGATTCCATAGATATGTTTTAAGATTTGGTCGCAAAATACGACCAATTTTTTTTTTAATAGAATGCGATATATCTTCTGCTAACTGTGTGGTCACTTAAAATAATTCGAATTCGGATTACTCGCCGAGGATTTTAAAAATGAACAAAATGCCCTTATGTCACATATTAGTTTAAATTAATTCATAAAAATTAATGGTAGATAGCTAGTAAAAGTTTATAAAATAAACGAACCTTATCAGTCTTATATACAGATGTATATACATATATGTATGTTTATAATATCATCAAGGATTTTTTAAAACAAGATACAAACCACCCACCGTAGTTGGAAATGGAATGTCACTTTGCAAACAATCAAGCTTATCTCTACTCCGTTGATAAAATCCTACCTGTTGCCTTATTGTTCCTGAACCTCTTTTGGAGAACTGTTGACATACTTTTGATAAAAAAGGATTGATTAAATTCCACAAGCTAAAGGGATACCTCATTCATATGAAAATATATTAGGAATAATTATACACGTATATCTAACTTTTTACAGGTCAAACCTACCTTGACCTAGATTGATTTTTAACTGTAAAAATCCTATTTAGGTACAAAATTTTATCGAAATCTATAAAGCCTTCCACAAATCTTCCATAACGCATTTCAGCTGGGGGGGAAAGGGATTGTTAGTAATGGAGTTTGACAGCCCCATTGCTAGCAATATGCCTTATTAGGTCGACCTCCACGTGGTTCCCCCTGGAAACCATCGTGAACAATTCTTGTTGAATTCGTCACGATGGACTAACTGACCTACTTCATCCTCACCTATCATTCTTCACTGGTGCCCCGCCGGTGTATACCGATAGCGCGGGTGGGGGCACCATTCCATTATGATCCATTAAAAAAAAATAAAAAATAAAACGCATATCAGCTCCAGATAGTCTTAACTTTACCCATGAAAGTCGAGTCTAACTTATCAAGTTAAAAAATGAGTCTAGGTTAGATATCTATGATAGTATATAGTTACGCTGTCTATCTGATCATACGCTTACAAAAACATTTACAATTATACTTAACAAATTAGAATGTTATTTATATTTACATATGATATGAACTTTATAAACATAATCTTGAGGAAATAGATTTTTATTAAGTAGGTGCCTATTAATTTTATAAGTTTTTTCGTTTACTTGTTAACGGGCAACAGTACATCTTTTGTGTTCGCTGTTTATGACTAACCGTACAAGAGCCCGGATAGCTCAGTCGGTAGAGCATTGGACTTTTAATCCAAGGGTCCAGGGTTCAAGTCCCTGTCCGGGCGATTATTATTTTGAACAAAACAAATAATTCTGTAAATGTAAAAAATTTACGATATCTGTGATCAATATAACGTAATATTATAGCAATAAACTCTGTACAGAAATTTTTTACTTGTCTAATAATTAGACCGATACAATTGCGTCTATTACAGGGGAGTACATTTGAGGAATACAGCTGATATGGATTCAATATGAAATCAATGAGAACTAAATTGGTATATATTTATAACAGCTCGAAATGTGACCACACAGTTTGAGCGAATACAGGTACAGTGTATAAAGCTAAAAAATGCGAATATTTCATTCAATATTCAGTCATACTATTCAAGCTGAACACGCGTACTCACAAACATACTCGACACTCAAAACTCACCATACTTTTTGTAGCAGTCGAATAAAAAATAATATAAATAATAAAAAAATAAAATTTGCAAATTGCTCAATTTATTTGTTTATTTATTTATTAGTACATATAGTACTTGTACACATATACAAGACAAACTTAATGTTAAAAGTATTTTCTCCCAGTCAACCAGTGAAGTGTCAAAAAAGGGAAGTATCAGAATACGGTACTAGTAATAATTGATATACGTACATACTAAAATTTACATAATATCAGTAACGTTGAGACGCCCAGCTTTATAACATAAACACACAAACATTAATATCAAAATGACAGTGAAACTCATATCAAAATCCGTAGCATACTTAGTTTAGAAAAAGTATAAGCAGACAAACAGATAGACGCAGACAGCCACTTTATTTGATAATTTAATCACTGTAAATAATTTATACTGTGGTATCAAACTTATGAAATCAATCGATGTTCTGGCAACAACTAACACTTAATTATTAACACTTAACAATAGCTAGGTAATGATTCTTTTTATCAACAAGAAAGTTAGCTTTTACCGGCGGCTAATACTCGTATCTTAGTTCCCATGAACTTATATTCACAATATAATTTCACCGTAACGTGTAATCTTCTATTTAAAAACTTATTTCGTACAAACATCGATTATTTTAATCTATATTTATTTTGTTTATATGTGTGTTTATACTTACCTTGAATTCCATTAAAATATTATAGGTATATTTTTATTTTTCATACATTTAATTTTGGGATCTTTGTATTGCAATCAAATATTCAACTAGTTCATGCTGTAGAGTCAAAACTATAATATTAAAATATAATATCTATAATAAAATTATATAGTACCATTATAAACCGGCTGTCTAAAATAGCTTAATACTTTTAAGTGAAACTGATTTATTCTTTTTACATCAATTCTTGTTAGTGGCAGAGTAAATATACAAAATGTTACCATTATATACATAGCCAAAAAAGGAAAACACTAAAGGAATAAATCACAACATCAATGCTATACAAAAAAAACACGAAATAAAATTCTATACCAAACCGCCTGTCTTGATAATAGCAGGCTAATCTCCCCCTCTAATGGAGCGAGACCCGTGTCCCGTAGTAACATGATAATGGGTTGTTATTGTGGTGATACACCAAGTTGATAACACGACAATTATTACCACCCTGGACATTTACCCGACCGATGTCGGTCAAACCAATTTTTAGTAGGTGAAGTATGTATTACATTACCTACTTAACAAACTCTTCCTTTTTAGATAAAGGTTATTTCTTCTCGTGGCGTGACCCGGCGCTCCGTGGTGTGGAGGAAGACTGGCTTAGTGCGAGGAATTACTGTCGGCAACGTTGCATGGATCTGGTCTCGTTAGAAACAAGTGACGAGAATGAATGGGTCAAAGCTAGGATTGTTCAGGATAAGGTGAGTGATGCTAATTTTATAAATAGAATATATTATTAAAAATTACTATAAAATTCCACTTCTGAATATTTTAAATATTCTGACTCCGTATTACTACTATATGTGCTAACAATGACAATATCGAATAATATTAAAATTAATAGCAAGTTCCCGCGGCTTCAAGCCGACCCATTATCTTTCATTCCAAAATCCTTAGCTAGTTCTGCTTATATACGAAGTTTCTAAAACCCAGCAATCTCTGAGTTGATCAAGTCATGACCAGTTTTACTTTTTTAGAATACTAATAGAAAGAATAATAATAGAAAAAATACCTAGGTTGAATACCTAAACCCAACCACATTCAAGGTCTGGCTACTAAAAACTAATATTTACCTACACATTGTATTATTTCCTCCCAGACAATGATAATGAGCCACGCAGCTGGCCTACGACGAATCGTTAGAAATCATTTGTACCTTTGTGAAGAAGCGTCAATTTACTATCCTTGACCTGCATAATATAAGTAAATAAATGCATCGTCTTTTCGAAAATTTAGTAAAATATTCACGCGTGACACAAATATTAATAAGAGCGAAACACCGTGACCGTAGCGTGAAAATGTAGCCTTTTTTCAAAACATACCAAATAGAAAGAGAAAGCCGTGCATACTTTAAAAGATATCTTTGACAAATTCATAACGTGGACTTTTTCGTAACATGCTCTTTGGCACATACATACCTAAACGAGGGGCCTTTGTTTAGCAGACCATTAAAGCATCTGATTAGAATTTGTCGTTCTGTTCTTTGTCACCCTACGATAACAATAGAATGCCTAATCAATTTCACTTAGATTTCACTATTGCCATTTATATTTCCTGGGAATTTTACGGTTTTGTTGTCGATACGTTAGAGACTACTTTTTATGAAATATAGAGACTGTATACAGTACAGACAGATAGCAAAGAAAAGCCTAACATTAAAAAATTAGATTACATCATTTCTCTTATGAGGGTGGCACCCACTAGTACCAAGAGTTTTTAGGCCACCTTCGTTATACACGAAGGCCTCCAATGTGGTTTACCGGACGACGGCTTTACGTGCCCTCAAAGCACTAAGCAAATAACGGGGAACCTGGACCGCAGTCGAGCGTTGTTCAAATAAGATGAATTATTCATACTAATACGTATCTACATATTATATTATTTATAATGCTGTAAAATAGAATAGCACAGTAATACAGCATTTTAAAAGTAAAAGTAGAAAAGCTTTTTGATTGCAATGGATAAACTCAAAAATTATTTAACCAACTTTAAAAATTCTTTAATCATTCATTTATTTCTACGGCACATTACCTATACACCGTAGACCTATATTCCGCAGACTCGACTACTCTATACTTAAATTATTAGTACGTAAGTACATTACACTAAGTCTATAACTCTATATAATAAGTAAATATCAATGTACTATTCAAAAATACACTTCATTTCATAGACTTAATATAACGTACTTTAATTTACGCTTTGTATGATAATTTTTCATTACCTAGATTTGTGTAACGTACTCGTACTCGTAATCGTGAGGGAAATTGAGGTGATGCCATTTGCATCGTCCATGTCTTATTGTTATGATAATGAAAACTGATACACCTTTAGATAAGTACTTACTTAGGCTTGCTTAGTAATTGTGACAAATTGTCGTATCTCCTGTCCATTGTATGCAATCAGTGGAATGTATCATGATGTTCAGTTGACTAATAATGATAATTTCTTCTTAATCACCCACAGTATAATAAATACTTAAATAAATTACATTGACCGACATAATGGTAATTCAAATGGAATGGACCACCTATACATTATACATTTTCTATTTCTAGGTGAAATATATCTGGACATCAGGTCGCCTCTGCGACTTCAAAGGCTGTAATCGTCCCGATTTACTGCCTAACGAAGTTAACGGATGGTTCTGGACTGCTGAACTGCAAAAACTAGCACCCACAACCAACCGCCAGCAGAACGACTGGTCTGAGGGCGGTGGCATCGGAAAACCACAACCAGACAACAGGGTAAGGATCTTGGCTCTTCTCTTCACCGCACCATTCAGCGTGCAGCGTTTACAGAACAATAGCGTAATTCGATATTATGAAATCAGTCATACGTTGTGATGCAACGGAACCGATTCCGCGAGCAGTTAGGTAATGTCATAAAATACTCGTCAACCGATTGATGTATGTATCCGCATGAAAACGAAAGCGACATGGAATATTTATAGGCAGGCCTGCGAAATATTCGTCGAAGGGCGTACCCGCATGCGCGCGGCATACCACTTTCTACAAACAGGCAACGCAGAGCTGAACAAAAGCTCATCGTTATTCAGAATGCGTTGGCGACATAAAATATGTTTGTGCGTCACTTTCCCCGCGGGGCGGACACGGGCGCGACTCGCGGGCGCAGGCTGTGGCCGCGGACGCGCGAGCAAATAATACGTAACCCTTTGCGGTCGCGGTCGCGAGCGGATCATCCGTATCCGCCTCGTCTTACGTTCAAGGCAATAGACACGAGTTAAGCAACAAACACCTGTATGCTCATTCAACCAATAAGTACCTGCTTATATAATAATTTAAGATTTCTATTTCTTTCCCTAATATAAACCAAATTATTTCAATTAAAAAATAATCATCGAAATCGAATCGGAACTGATGAAGATATCGCGAATCTCTGTAGCGTAATATATTACATAGATATAAAAAAAATACTTGAATTTTTTTTCTTAATGGGTGATAATGGAATGGTAACCCCACCCGCGCTGTCGGTATACACCGGCGGGGCACCAGTGAAGGATGATAGGTGAAGATGAAGCAGGTCAGTTAGCCTATCGTGACGAATTCAACAGGATAGGATAGATGAAGAGATAGACAATTGCATGGATATTTGTTACTTTTTAATGCAAAAACTACTGTACGAAATTGAATGAAATTTGATGCACAGATTGGTACACACAATACACACCTTAGCACACACACACACAGGATATTTATACACTTATTCAGGTGGACAAAACCGCCAAAAATAGCTAGTTCTTCATAAATATAGAAATTAAATCCTACTTAGTCAAGTCTAATGAAACTCGTAACACTAATAGATAGGTACTAAATAATTGTGTCAATTCGGAAACTATTGCCATTTCTAAAACTAATGTACAGTTTGATTATTCCTAAGTCCAGTTAAAACAATGTGTACCTAATAGAATTCACACTTAGGTTACGGTAGTTCAAAACATGATAATCTAAAACGCAATAATATCAATAAACTATCACAAAGTATCAAATTAAAATGAAATTTTAAAGAGAAAATTGTAGTTATGAACCGCTTCAACTCCACCCTTATCCAAGTTTCTTACAAAATAGGCATTTTTTTTCCTTTTATCATTTCTTTTTGCTTGCTTTATGCGTCTATACTAAATATAGTATGTTTTACAAATTTTATAATTTTATCCACAGGAACTAATCCAAGGCGGAGCAGCAGAACACTGTGTGGCGATCCTGAACAATTTCTACAACGACGGAGTCCACTGGCACGACGTTGCTTGCCACCATCGAAAACCCTTCGTTTGTGAAGAAAATGACGCTCTCCTCAAATACGTGCGATACACAAATCCCAACCTTAGAGTTTGAAGTTAAAGATTACAATTATTATAAAAAAGACACTATGTTACATTGTAGATTACAGAGTTTCTAAATGAGATCTCCATCTGAGCCTGTGGCTAATTATTCTATTTTTAATCGGTACGTCTAAACTTTAATTCAATAGGAATAACAACAAGAAAGCATAACACAATAAAGACTTTCAATCACTCATGAGTTCAAATCTGGGCAACGCCAAAAACATTTTCTAGAATTTTATTTCTTAAAACACGTTAACAAATATTAAATACGTCTTCCCTAACGGGAATTGACTATAGTATAGAGCCTCAAAGAAACTGAAAAAGTACATTATGCAACATACTATCATCAAGAGTTGTAGACCAATTGTGTTTTCAATGTGTAAAAAATAAAGATAATTTTAATTCGCCGTGAACTAGAGTAAACGTAGGAAAGGATAGCAATTGTCTCAACAATCTGGTCCTAAGAACAACACTGATTCTTATTTAGAAATATCCGTTATTGGACAAATTCTGTATTAAAAATCTAGTATTAGCTGGGCTCAATCTCTTTTATCTAATTGCGCTTCAGTCCCTATTCTTAGGTCTGATGATAATAAATAATAAAGCGCATCAAAACTACGACCACTGCCAGTTAGAAACTTATTAAATAGTATTAAATTTGAACAAGTATACTTCACGGAAGTTCATATGGATTCAGTGTTAATGTCTTTAACAGCGCCATTAACAGAGTGCTTTTGCGACACGAGTTTCGCCTCTAATGGGGCCATTACAACGCAATAAAACTTTTTATTATCTACGATTTCTAAATTATAACTTACCTATGGTGCTAGCTTTAAGTTTACCTCAACACATATTTATTTGAGAATTGTATATCTACAGTAGTCATACGAGAGATATTTTTTTATGATCTGTCAATAAAGACTGCTATTCCTATTCGAAATACTTTCTTTTGTTACATTTTATAACCCTTTTACTACTTATTTTCCTATTCCCAAAATCATTTTTAGTAAATACGAAGTATGCATATGCAATTATTATATTTTCTAAATATATTATTGATTTATCCATGGTGCCACTGAAAATCAATACTGGTATCTATAGTTCTATCAATATCTTGAATTATGGCCCTCATTAATTGCTACAGTAAACTGTAATCTTCATATTAAATTATTTAATTTTGCTGAGCTCTGGCATATTAATGGGATATAATGATTTTCGATATTTTTAGCTGCTGAAAGTTAAAATTAATAAAGTTCTTTGAACCTATTCTAATATGCAAATTTATTGCAAAGTATATGCTAACAACTATGTATATGCTACAGTTCATAACAATCAAGATGCTATGAAGTAACCAAATAACATTCAGATATATATAATAAAAGAAAACAGTTAAGGAAATCAGAAATAAATTTAAAAACAATAATAAAAATGTATATTATTTAAATATTTTCTGACAAATTAAGATGGAATGGTCATTTTGAATCTGTAATGCATGCTTCTAGGCGAGCCCTTTTTTGTCATCATAAACCATAGACAGATGTTACAAAAGTAGACGAGGCTCAGGAGCATTGTCACTTGCATCAGGCGACACAATCGCAGGAAGTTTAATTTCAAACCCATACTGCAACATTAGCACTTAATTTTTAATAATTTATAATTAATCTTAACTGATTAATTGTAGATATTTAAATATTTATACATCACTGTATTTGCCAATATATAATTACAAATCATCATAGTATATTACAAATTACATAATATTAATTTATTTAAAATGCATACTGTACTGGATAATGATTTTTAAAGTAAGATATGACACACTCAGAAATCAACTAAAATATATGTTCTGAACACAGCAACAGCAATCTTGGGTATTTTGCCACATTGTCAAATTATTTAAAAGGGATTTAATTTTTAAAATATTAAATATATTTCTTTTTAAATGACAAATGTTGACCATTGGTGTGAAAATAAGATTGTCAGTGTTGTAATTACCATACTGTCCTGCTTTTATTATATTAATACTTCTACATTTAAAAAAAAACTAGGCAGAAGAAAAATAGTCATCAATTAAAACGATCATCTGATTTATCAGAGCACAACAGTTTGCTACCTAACTTATATCTTATCATTAAAACCAAAAGAAAGTGACAAAATCAACATACAAAAAATTTCATTTGCTTACTCTCTATTAGAAAATTCTTCCAGCTCAGAGTTGAAAGACTCATTTGACCATTGTGAATGTGCCAACTTTGTAAAGTCCTTGTCAAATTGTTCCTGCAAACAATATATCCTCTCCATAATGAACAGCAATAATATCGCCCAGAAGTATTCAAATTCAAATACCATTCCAGTCATTTTTTCCCTTCAACCATTATTATATGGTAACCAAATTTGGTTTTTATTGGAGGATCTGTGTATACAGGATTTGTGACCGAAGATATCGGCAAGGCGAATGCCGCATCTTGGAACGGACCAACCATAGACCCTCGAGTCATCCACCCGAGGTCTCCACCTTGCCTTGCTTTGTCTTCACTATACGCGGCCGCTACATCGGGAAATTTCTGTCCGGTTTTTAATTTCTCCAGAGCTTCCAAACATTTCGATTGCTTCTCGCATAAAATGTGACGAACTTTGACAGCTGTCCCACCTTTTTTCTCTTTAGCACCAGATTCTAAATTTGAAACGAAATAAAGTTTTATTATTTTAGTCCAACGTCAATCACTAAAAGGAAGATGTATATTATAATTATAATAATATTCACTGTAATATAATACATATTTAAAAATTCTAAATCTAACCTAACCTTTTGAATCTCCTCCGGACTTTCCACCACCACTTCCTTTGCCAGTACCTTTTGATCCCTTCTCAGGTTGCTTTTTAGGAGGCATTTGTATCTTATAGAATTAGAATTGTGCTTGAAAGAAGGAATAAAATAAAATTAGAACTTTACACTTAAGTCGGTTCTTCAAAAATCCAAACAAAACAAACGTCACTGAACTCAATTGTAACCGGAAAATTGACAGTATTAGCTGTCAACAGAATTTGACTGTTTGTCATGCTCTGCTATTCTTAATCTATGGCTGTCTGTAAGAAAGAGTTCATACACAGCCATAGACTTAATATTTAATTAATTAGAAAAATAAATACTTTTGTTTTGACACTAAAATATTCTGTGTAATGTCATATGTAAGAAAATATTTAAATATAAAATAATATTATTAGTCACCCGCAAAACTCCATCTAATAGGTTATGGGCCCAGTACGTTTAATTAGAAAATAAATACTTTTGTCTTGATTTAAGAACAAAGAATTACATAATATAGGAAATTAGTAATGGCATTCACCAGTAATAAGCAACGCCGGGATCAGGATCAATATTAAGGAAAACCAAGAGTAGCATTTGGTTTAAATATTAGTCAGTTAGCAAGTTCAGTCAATATTCATAATATCTAATACAAAAGGGTAATCAGTCATTTTTATTCTATTATTTTACATTGACAGGCACTGTTGGGATGCATATCGCCTGCCATTGAAAAGAGGTTCTTAACATTACATAAAAGGAATGACGACATTAAAACTGTAAATCATAGGCAACCATATGATTTACAGTTTTTATTTTATCAGTCCTTCTATGTAATTCCTAGTTCTTAGGTCTTGACACTAAAATATTCTCTGTAATGTCTACGTAATAAAATATTTAAATATAAAATAATATTATTAGTGTCCCGCAAAACTCCATCCATCACTGTCTATTAGCAAGTAGGTGAAAAGGCAATTGAAAATCTTTTTTGAATTAAATGACCCAAAAATTTCGGAACAGAATTCCTTGTTTTAAGAAGAAAACCTGTTCTTAATAGAAACAGCTATATTAAAAAAAAAAGTATTTCAATCTCGTTTATCTTGTAGTTAATTTTCCATTTACCTAACAAAATAAGGTAACGTCTGTAAAAAGCATTAATTTCGTAAATATGACTCTTAATCTATAATTAATTAAAGCAGCCGACTGTCGCGATGTTCTTATATATATATATATATATATATATATATATATATATATATATATATATATATATATATAGCTCTGAAAGCTAGTCATTTTGAGCCCACGTTAATTTTTTTTTTAAAAGGTGTCTCCATTCATATTTTGTTTTTTATACCACTGAGGTGGCAAACGAGCATACGGTCCACCTGATGGTAAGTGATTACCGTAGCTTATGAACACCTGCAATACCAGAGGTATTACGCGTGTGTTGCCAACCCTGAAGAAACCTCTTTACCCCCCTTTTGAAGAACCCCAAACCTCGGCAGGGAGCTCATTCCACAACCTGAATGTTCATAGGAGGAAACATTTCTAAAACCGTGCAGTACGCGACCATTGAGGCTGTAGGACATCTCCACATTAATCAAGAAAGTAATACCTCTTCACCAGAATTTGCTGCAGTTGGCTAGCATAATATATAAAAATCTAACAATTAAATTAATAATATTAGTTATTACACGTCATATACATAAATATTTTATTCCAAAATCTTTGTTTTTATTGCATTTGGCCATGAAAAAGAATAGTTATTATCCATAATCTATGTAACTGAAATATATAAATATTATGACTTATGTCATGTACCTAGTCAACAGTGCATACGTCCGCTTCACTTAGAAAAAAACTAGTTAGTGTAACCAACTCACATCATAACATCGTTAGTAATAATGCCACACTCAGTTTAACAAACTGAGTCTTAAAAAATCTACTAAAATAAATATTTTAAAGAAAATTATATTATAAATAATCATATAATACTATCCCGGTCTTAAAACTATAAACCAAATCTTTTTAGAATATGGATAAAAACATATTACACCGACACCAAATAACTATTGTGATATGGATAGGAAGATGATGATGATAATGATATAACACTATACATATTTATCCAAAATACCTCAAAGTTTAAAGACGAAGGTTTTTAATCAGTGTATGTAGCCAGTGATGACCTACAGGTGAAGCTTCAAATGTTGGTATTCAATTTGAGATATCTGCTAATATCTCGTAGTGGAAGGGAACAGAATAAACATAATATAAAACTATGATAAAATTTAATATAAGAGCAAATACGGAAAGCAACGATTGTATTAAAATGAGTAAACTCGATTTAAGAAACCATATCTTTTTAAATTACAACCGGTCAATAGTTTATATTTATACCAAAATAACTATGAAGAGAGCTATGCTCGGAATTTCTTTGCCCGACAAAATCCGTAATGAGGATATCCACAGAAAAACCATAATAACCGACATAGTCCGAAGGATAAGCAATAAGGCTGGTAATAAGCTCAAAGAAACGATGACCGATAGAAAAGAAGTGTTTTTGAGTGGTACGGGTTGTATGGGGGGGAAACGCGATTTAGGGCAACTCCTGACCGCCTCCCATCCCCAGTGGCAACCTGAAATGCATTGCAGGGAGCAGGTAGCTCAGTACTGTTCCTTATGACAGTCTATGGGAGAAGCCTATGTTCAGCAATGGACAGATAACGGCTGTTATAATGATGATGTAAATTTATTACATTAATACGTGGTTGCATAGATAATTTTTTCAATTTTGACAGTTAAAAAATAGTGCCGACTCCATAGTGACTGCTTACTCTGATAGGGAATGTATTGCTTTTCTATTGTATTATAATACTATTTATTTAGTAGCTAATTAGTGTTTTTTATTAGTACAATTTAATAATTTAGTTATTTGTAGTTTGAAAAATCATGTGCGTTCTATATAATTTTTAAATGAAAGGTATTAGACTTACTCCTAATCTGAATAATGGTGCCCTAGACCTAAATTTGAGCATTCGTAATGTTTTTGTTTTTATGAGATATTATAAAATCCACAGATAAATCTCTATATCCCGATAAAATGGGAATAATGTACGAAAAACGGCCACTTAAAAGGCCTCGCCTCGGCCCACCTGATGTATATCCTCAAGAGCCTCGACAAAAAGAGGATGAACTTACATCCACCAATGTCAAACTTGGCTTCGTCATTACATCCCAGAGTGATGAATTTGGAACCGCCAGAAATTCGAATTACTCAGCATCAAAGGTACAGTTTATAAATAAAAAGAACCAGTTAGTACACTGTTAATAGTTACCAAAATTTTTATTTAATGGGTTTTAGAGATAACTTATTCTATGTGTATCTCTTGATTTATTCACACACTCACAGTGTTACATAGGCTGTAAATGAAAATTATTTCATTAGATGTTGTAAAACAATTTATTGTTAGTGATAGTGATTTTTTTTTCAGATTGGCCAATATTTTTCTGGGATATTATCTAAAAAAGAAGAGCTTAATACACTTCCAGACTGTGGACGTAAACGCCAACAAGTTAATCCTAAGGATAATTTCTGGCCAGCTACTGCTCGCACCAAGGCACAAATTGAAGCCTGGTTCAAGGATTTAGCTGGTAATCTTTGTAAAATAGTAGTTTATGCTAGTTTAAGCTTTGTATAGAACATAATAAAATTTACTTTTCTATAAAATGAAATACTAGAAAATCATATTGGCATATAATTTTTGTAAAAACAATCCCTTGCATGAAAAAAATCATAAACGCTTGTTTTATAATAAGAGAATGAAAAAGGGGATAATTTTTTTATTGTTATTGCATTTTATCTATAATAACATTATATTTTCACATTACATTATACTTTGTCTTCATTCCAAGTTTCCTGGAACATATAAAACTAATATTTTTAATAAATGTAATATAAAGTATGTTCCTAAGAGAAATTATGTTGTTTTTAATACCACTTTCTCTGTCTAGGAAGCAAACCACTATCTCAATTAGCTAAAAAAGCACCAAACTTCAATAAGAAAGAAGAAATCTTTATAACATTAACTGAATACCAAGTATCTATGCCCAGAGCTGCCTGGTTCATAAAACTAAGTTCAGCATACACTGTGGCTGTCTCAGAAGCTAAAATCAAGAAGAGGCAACTGCCTGATCCAACTACAGGTAAGAAATTGCCATAATTAGTAAAACAAATAAAAAATGTAAATGATGTAGTGGCAGCAACTATCTACATAAGTGCTCCAGACAAATTATTTAGGTGTAATTTATTTCTAAAAAAAATTATAGTTTATAACTTAATATTCCTGTTTCTAAAGCTCGATGCTAATACATGTATTACTTTTTGGTTTATTTCATGATAATAAAATGAAGTCTGCCCTTCAACATCATCATAATTGATATTTATTTGAAAAATTTCTTTGTCTCAAATAAATGTTAATAAACATTTGAGACAAAGAAACAATGTCAATATTAATTAATACAAATTAAAACATTAAATGTCTTTTAGATAAATTTACATATTGATTGACAAAAGTATGATGTGTGACTTGTTATGAAAAAGTATATATTTATATAATTTGGCACAATTTTATAAAAAAATATATGTGTCACATTTTGTTACAGAATGGACTACAACATTAATAAAATTCTTAAAGGATCAAATTCCAAAGCTTGCAGAATACTATCAAAATGCTGTACCAGGAAATGTGTCTGATAAAACGCCACCCTCACAATCAGGTGCACTATATATTATAGAGAAACTGTTTCTTACTTACTATTATAATCTACTCAAAAGAATAAGCTAAAGAATTACATTAATACTGTTTTATTATTATTACTATAAAGAACCATAGTAACATAATTAACTATTGCATGTAGCCCCAACCTAAGCAGAGCTTGTACATGGGTATTTTGGTTGAAACATAATGTGTCAAAAATAGGCATATTTAGTCGGCCAATTGACAAATTAGTTGACTTATTTTTTAAACACTTGTGTACAGTAAAGAATTAACACTACTTTTTAGTATTGCAAGTATTAAAAATTATCCACATAATGGAATAAAAATTTCCTCATATTTTGATGTTTTTTAATATGAATTGATTGTTATTTTTAATATATTGTGTTTAATGTATATTATACATTTTTCAAGCCATTTTCTTTATAATTTATCTAAATATCTTTGCATTATAGATATATTATTATCTATTTTATGTATAATATTTAATATTAAAATAGCATTGTTTTAATACAATTATTTACATTACTAATAAAACAGCCTCCATTTTCAAGCAACTTTAAAAAGGTTTTCAATTCAACTCTATATAAAATGATGTCCTGTCTACACCATTCTTCGGAATAGAATAATAAAAAAATAATAATTAAATATATTTCTTAAGTAAATAACAATACTTATATTTTATGTTACTGTATTTATTTGTTAACTTTTACCCAATTACCTTAATTTAAAGTAATAATTTATAATCTGATAACTCATACACATGAACAAAAGAGTAGACTTGTTTTTGGCAAAGCATTTATATGGATACTACCTATATATATCTAAAATAATTGAAATATTTAAATACATTTTTTAATTACTTAATCAACATATTATTTAAATAATTATAATTTATTATATTTTCTCTATACAATATATATTGCAGGTCAGGGCACTCCAAACCACAACTCATCTGGTAATCCTCCAGGAAGCTCGACTCCAAATAGCTCTACTGTTCCTAACTCTATGCACTCACCTGGGAATACTAGCAGTATGTACATTATTTGTTTATACCAAAATAAAACAAATAGATAATTAGTTATATACATATGTAGCTATTTTAATTGGAACATAATTAATATATGACTAAGTTAGGAGTAATGGATTCTAAAAAGAATTACAACAGAATTTTGTGACTCTAGTCTGCTTAAAATTATTCCTCTTCATCTAAAAGTTGCCGGGAAGAGATCACTTTTAGTGATAAAGCCCCACCCATTGTTTTCTCCGTGTAAAGTTTTTTGCAATTGTTTATATTTATAATAAGTTTACTACTGTAATCTTTTGGAGTAAACAATAAAGAGTATCTATCTATCTATAATTTGATAAAATAACAATAGTTCAGAATACTCACAATTAAAAATTGTCTAAATAAAAAACCTAATTTTTAATTAAAAAAAAATGTCTATAACTGTATCCATAAAGGGATAGTCAGAAGCATTTGTCGACTTGTGGTGCCCGTAATATTCGACCACATTTCGCCGAGCATAGAATCCTTTAAAGCAGGATGCAAGCCAACCAACATCCCTCAGACTAATTTGATTTATTGAAATAATGGTTAGATGTGTTTCCACCTATGTAAAGTACAGGGTTCCAATCTTCATTTCTACTAATAAGCTCTAGTATAAAAGTTTATTACTGAATAATTATACTGTATCTTACAAATGTAGGTTCTTCAACTCCTGGCCCATCAGAAAGTACGGACTGGCGGCACTCTCTAAAGCTCTGGAACTATTGCTGTCGGCTCGCTAAATATTTATTAGACGAAGGTTTACTCGATAGACAAGATTTTTTGACTTGGATAATCGAGCTTTTAGACAAAAGAGCCCCTGATGATGGACTTTTAAGGTATGTTAATTGTATACAGTGGGTGTTATTGTTGTTGTTATAAATCTTTTTTATATATACTTTATATTAGACACATTAAAAAGATTGAATTTTTAGAGCTCCATACAGTAATAGTAAATTCTTATTAAATAACTTTATTGTCTGTCAGTCTGTGTGGCCTTTTCTCCAGATAGATAATCAAATATAGCTACCAAGCAGACATTTTTCTTAAGTACTAATTTCTATTATTTCATGGCTCTGTAAAAAAACCAAATTTGTAACTCAATTTAAGAGTATTCATAATGAGGCTTACTGAAATGTGGTAACAACTGACTGTAATATGTATTTATCAATTATCAAAATTAATAGAACTATTTTGAGTTTTACTGACTGATTATTAAACAAGTGCTCTGATGACGAACTAAAACATTCATACATATTTCCATAGAGCATAGCCCGAAATTTGCTAGTAAATATCGTCATAGTCATAAAATAGTGACGGATCTGACAAACATTAAATATACATATCCGTCAGTATTCTACAACTATGATGATATAGACACTGTTACTCTTAAATATCTTGTATAAGTACATAATCGTAATACCTAGGACACGCTTCCTAAGATTAGAGGAATATATAGGAAATTTGTTTCAGACTGATTCTTCCGCTGGCTTTGCAACACATCTGCGAGTTTGTATGCTGCGAAGGTCTCTCGAGGCGACTAGCGACCACTTGTGCCAAGAAGGCGGCTTCCATTTGCGCCGTTCTATCAGAGAGCACGTTACGCACGCTCAACCAGCCCGCTGTATTTACAAAAGCTACTGAAAGGAATGGAGGTATAAACTTACGTATAATTTTATAATAATAAATTTATTTGTTTTAAAAATTAATTGAAAGTAATAATGTCAATATATATAGCCCCAAAGAGGGTTGACGTCAGGCAGGCGGTCGGTCGTAAAACTATAAGCTAAATCCTTTTGTAATATGGATAAAATCATATTACGCCGACCCCAAATAATAATTGGGATAAGGGTAGGAAGATGATGAATGTCAATATATAATAAATAATGTCTTATATCAGATGAAGTATAAATACTGTTGCACTGGACATAATTATATTACTTTTATGAATTTGACTTATTAAAAATGTTAAATATATGTTTATATTTCATATAGAAGTCAGAAACTATTTCTTCTGCAATACATAAACTTTTTCTTTTTTAAAACATGTTCACTTTTATTTCTTTAAAATTTTCTTCATACTTTCAATAAAAATTAATGTTAATATGAGGATCAATTTAAAAAGTTTATAATGATTTTTTTATTTGTTTTCATTTTGTGCCTTTTAAAATGTACTTAAACGTAATGTATAACTTCTGTTCTGCCATCACTTGTAGTGTATTTTTAAAACCTTGTATTTCCTTACATGAGAAAAAAATTACTTGTATTTCCTTTAGAAAATAAATATCTTAAACGATTATTTCTTACTTTTGCTCAAATTGTAGAGACGAACGCCGCACCAATGTCACCCGCACCAGAAACAAGCAACGGCGATGTCAAACCTAACATATCACAGATAAAACGTTCCACCACACCAGCGGACCAAAATCAGGGCACACCGAACCCCAACCACTCGCTTGGTACCCCTAATCCTAATCACTCTTTAGGTACCCCTAACCCTAATCATTCCTTGGGTACCCCAAACCCATCACAACCCATAGACGTGCAAGTAAAGGAAGAAAATGGACCTCCGCCGATGGACGCAAAAACAACCCTAACTACAGTTATAACGGCGGCGTTAAACCCAATTCAAGTTGGATTCGGGGAGATATTAAACTGTTCATTTCATAGAGATGTAATTATACAACTGTCTACTATACTTCAGGTTGGTTTATTCATGTATTTACACTTTATTACCCCATTTATAAAAATATTAAATACAGTAACTTACTTTGTATGGTTATTGATAGAAAAAAAAACCCAATTGCACACAAAGTCGTTACTCAAAAGAAAACAAGTAGAAATACATTCAACTAATCTCCAAAGCTAATATAAATAAATTATTTATTTAGGATCACCAACAATTGTTACATTTATGTTTACAATATAATACTTAATTTGTGGTCTAAATGTGCAATTATTTTTAAGTGAACACAGCATGCAATATAATAAAAGAAGTTAAAACATACCATTGTAAACTTAATAATAATTATTTCATTTTTAATATTTTTTTAAACTTTTTTATTTCAATAAAAAAATCGTAATGAGACAATTGAAAACCCTTATTGTTATCAGGACCCGATCTTCACTATCACTACATAGTACAAAACAAAGTCGCTGTCGCTGTCTGTCCGTTCCTATGTATGCTTAAATCTTTAAAATTACACAACGGATTTTAAAGCAGTTTTTTTTTAATAGATAGATTGATTCAAGAGGAAGGTTTATATGTATAATACATGCATAATATTGTAGAGAAACGTTGATAATTTTAGAGGTTTCTAATGTTATGTGATATAATGTGCAACCCGTGCGAAGCAGAGGCAGGTCGCTAGTATTTGATAAAGTACAAACTAATCTGATAAAATCGCTGTTGCTATAGCAAAAGCTATTTTATCCGATTCGAATATCGGATTCGAAGATAGAAAGCGACAGCGAAATGCGCTGTCTTACTCTTTCTCACTTTTTTTTTACTTTTTCTTTACACCTTATCTAGGGGCTGATCTTATCTCGGTAAATCGTAGGATAATTGTGCCTGTATTCATATCTGAAAAATCAGACCTATCTAAAACAAATAATAAAAATCTCATTAATATTATTACTTAGATAATCTGTGTGGAATGCCCCACTGCGATGGTGTGGTCGGGCTGCGGCTCGTCGCTGCAGGGCTCCCCTTTGGACCTGCTACCAGTACCACCGTCAGCATTGCCGATGCCTTACTTGGACTCTCATATCACTGAGGAACATAGGAGAATGGTTTGTTTCCGTTTACTATTATTTACACCTATAGATTTACCATGAAACCTAATTGTGTACATGAAACGCTTGTTATATTTATACCTCTTTATATATTTTCCCATAGCTCGTAAGCATCTCATAAAATTTTATTAAAAAAAATATTTTATTCAATCATAAACAGACTACCATAATTTGTAACAAATAGAAAGAAATTATATTTATTTCGGAAAGACTGTTTTTACGGTTTAATATTTTTGAAATGGATTGAAGTTATATGTTTTTAAAATGCTTGTCATTGACACCTATATAATAAAATTTGTCTTTTTTTTCAGGTATATGAAGTTGAACAAGAAATAGCAGCTAGAAGCAAACAAGCCGAAAATAAATGGTGTACTGACAAATGGCAGACCAGTTCGCAAGGTATTATCAATCATCGTGAAATTATTTTTCTGTCAACTTCCATCCAAGTAGATTTACTATCTATTGTAGGTGTTTGTTTAGACATTATAACCAGATATATTAAAAAATATATAAATAATTTTGATTCGCTTAAAATTATGGGCAAATTGATGCAACTTCAAAACTCATCAATTTTAAACTTCAATGCTTTTGCTTTTGCTTTTTACGACCAATAACCGGCAAGTCCGTTGTTAAACCTAGTTCGTACTGTTTTAGTAATTTATTCAACTAGTGAGTAATTTAATACTTACCTATAAATATTTTTCCAAAATCATCTAACACTTTATTATTCAGACACGACGAGCTGCTAAATTGCTCACCGCTCGACTAAATTACTAAATCTATGTAAATTTGACTTAACATTCACTACAATGGCAATATTGACTAATATCTCTGATTGCCCTTTCAGGTACTAAAGTTAAAGTGATAGTATTTATTTTTAATTTTTTTTTTGACAGCGCGCGTACTAGCTGTACTGGAAGCATTAGACCAGCACTGCTTCGATAGAGTGGACCCCAATAACAATTTAGACACCTTATATAAAGAGGTATTCGCGAACTGCACTCCGCCTTCCAAAGATGCAACTATTGACACCAAGGATCCGGTAAATTTATTTAATTTTATTTCACAAATTCTTAAACTTTATTATTTTGTCCTCTATCTAATTTATTTATTAAAAGCATAATAATTATTGAGTTTAAGACATGTATTTACACTTGTATCTTAATGTCATTCATGTTCGTACTGATTATATATAATATCAGTTACCGCTGCGATATCTATATATTGGGTTTCTCTAGTAATTGATTTGATGGCGCAAAAAAATCGTCCCTCGCCCACGAAATTGTCCACACCGGTATCTGACCAGTAGATGTCTACAAACATTATTATTGTACATGTAAATAGTTTGCGACAAATATTTAAGGGGGGGGGGGGGTAAGATGAGAAAACAGATTGTTTTACGATCCCCTCTGGTCAATATCATAATTAATTCTTGATGAATTAGTCACGATGGATCAACTGAGCTGACTTTATCCTCATTCATCATCGATCACTGTTGTCACAGCGTGTATCGATAGCGCAGGCGAGTTGGAGTCAATACTGCACTGTAATCCCACTAAAACTCGAACGTGTGTGCCGTAGGAGTTTTTTTTTTTTATGTAATGTATGCGCTAACGGTATACGCTGGTGGAGTACCAAAGAGAGATGATAGGTGAGATAAAAAGGCAGGACAGTTAGCCCACCCTGAAATTAAGTCGGGAATCCAACACGATAGTTTCCAGGGGGAACCGCGTGGAGGTCCTGACAGGTTATATTGCTAGTGATGTGATTATTTGAACCCATTATTAACAATGCCCTTCCCCCGTGCGGCAGGAGTGGGCGGCGCCGTACGCGGTGGTGCGCGTGCTGTGCGAGTGGGCGGTGTGCTCGGCGCGCTGGGGCGAGCACCGCGCGCAGGCCGCCGCCGCGCTGCTGGACCGCCGCCAGCACCAGCTGCTGCACCAGCACCTGCACCACGACCACCACGCCACCGGTACACACCACACACACGACACACACGACACACCACACACACGCCCTTACACTACATCTTAGAATATATAGATACAAGATCGAATTTCAAAAACATATCAACTTTTTGTCAGCTAATTGTCAAATTAGCCGAGTCGTTTTTTTTATCAATGTTCTATATACTTACGCACATAATGTATGTTGACTTATTATTTAATATTTAATATGCCAGCAACTGAGATATTGATGGACGAACGTGCAAATGTGGGCCGAGGCGTAGCCGAGGCACACATACGTGAATCCATCAATGCCTAGTTGTGGCCAAGGCTTGTATAGTACTTTTCTCAAACAATGCGCGGAAATCAAAAACGCAATTTTATTTTTAAAGTTCAAGGACGAATAACGAACAATAATAATTTTTCACGCGCCATAATGTTCCTACTTTTTTTTTTTTTCAATAGAGAGCTATTTGCAAGACAATTCGAAATTTAAAGAAAACCTTTTATTAGTTACCTCCTTGGTAGCCACGTTTCGAAATAAAAGGTCATTGCATTTTTAGATTACAGGATAGATATGAGTATACACAGTCATCTGGCCGCAAAACACGACAGATATGGATTTTCATACTACATTTGCCGGCCGCTGCCTGCATGTATCTGGCCAGTACGGCAATTTTGATATATCTCGAAGAAGATAGACAAAATAATGCTTACATTTCCAAGCATGTTTGAGAAAATATACTTGTGTGACAATATTTGAGTTCAATATGTTTTCAGGTTCAGATGACAAGGAATCCATCAGTTCCAGTGCAGGCATTTACAATGGACCGCCCATATTCCAAAACCTTTTGCTGAGATTCCTAGATAATGATGCACCAGTATTAGGTAAGTATTTATTAAATGCCATTTATTTTTTAGTTTTAATTAAATACATTTTAAAGAGAAGACATGAATACATAATGGATTTGAGCTAATATAGTAGTTTGTACCAACTTGTATTTGTGGCGCTATAAACAATCCGCTAATAATAATTTTGAGTTTGTCCATTACAAACATACGACAAAATTTTTTTCTCTTTATATTATAAATTAAAGATAATATTATTTACCTAGTAGACAGTATCTGACAAAAATTACCTGACCAAATTTTTTTTTTTTTTTTTTATTCTAAATTATTATCATTTTTTTTTTATGGTTATACAGATATTATTCTCAAATAATGTGTTTTTCTGAAAAAATGTTTTATTAACTTCTGAGCATTATTATTGACAATGTTGCTGTAGTTTTTAATAGTATTTCTTTGTTTAATTTAGTATTGTCTAATTTTGTGTTTCGTTTACTTGTATTTCATTTTGTGCAAATTCTAGTGGCTGCCAAATTACTATTTAAGTATATATATATATATATATATATATATATATATATATATATATATATATATATATATATATATATATATATATATATATATATATATATAGCTGTTTGTTTGCCGTAAATAAAAAAATAAATAAAAAAATCATACTTCTAAAAATATATTTTTGTATTTTATTACTTTTTTATTTATTTATGGTAACAGCTTATGATATATATGTTTGTATTGTACATTTTGTGTTGTCTAGTAGCATTTTGATCTTACTTCATTCGAGTCCCGTACAGCATCCATCACTCATATGGTTTTGTATTACAGATGAAAGCCCAAACGCGCCACCTGGCAATAGACAACAGTTTGCCAACTTGGTTCACCTATTCGGTGAACTTATACGCCGCGACGTATTTTCACACGATGCCTACATGTGTACATTGATATCTAGAGGTAAGTTTTCATTGTATTAACAAGCTTTTTGCCCACTACTTTGTGCGTGTAAGAATTGGAAAACCAATGACATAGAATTACTTCTAAAGAGCGTTATAAAATATACATTAGTTATAAATTAGACCTTCAGGAGCATAACTGTGAAAATCGCATTCAATTTGGTTTAGTCGTTTTAGCGAGATGCAAGATTAAACTTACAAACATACAAAAATTCTAAAAATTGCTATTGGCTTGGCTTCTATTGAGTTTTTTTAAATATCTCCCATGACTTCTATTTACAATTTTATTAGTAGGGTAACAATGAGTAAGGACTTCTTATGTTAGTTTGATTATGTCAAAATAATGTCGGAGGGAATTAGAATGAGAGAGATACATATACTGAGAAAAATTGGGAACTTGTTAACTAAAATAGACCCATAATCTCAAAAAACCTTTCCTACCAGTTCCTTGAACAGACATGTCTAGACAAAGCAATGTCTTCAAAGTTGCCATGTCTTGTAATCGTTCGGAATATGCAAAAAACATAGATGTTTGTTAACGACCGGTTGTTGCTTATACTATGGTAAGTTAAGTAAATCTAAAATAGAAGCACATTGGTTACTATGTCTAACCCAAAATCCATCTAGTAACAGTAGATTACAAAAATATTATGCAATTAAATGGCAGTCAAAAACAGCTGTCAATAATAAAATTATTCGACTTTAAACTGTGAATTTTTCTTTTACATGTCTACTTGTATTAATATCACCTTTTTACTGCAGGTGATCTCGTATCGCCGACGGAGCCGAGTTCGTCGGGCGGCTCACACACGGTGGCGCCCCCTGCCACCAGCACTGGAACCAACCATAACATGGATGATGACATCTTTGCTGGCATTGATCTCAAGCCCAAAATGGAGGTTTGGAATGGTTATGAGTTACTGTATTACATTTTATTCAAAAGTAGAAATTAATAATTCCAATTGCTTTTTTAAGGAGAATGTCCGAATGGATCTAGATGATTCGAAAATTGATGACGATCTGGATAAGCTACTGCAACACATAAAGGAAGACCAGGAGAATTCAATGGATGCCCCAGATAGCCCTAAAGATCCTGGGGAAACATCACACAGGTGAGTGTGTGTATAAATACTTATAATTGTAATTATAGTTTATCATAGACAAATACTAAACATAATTCTAATCTTTGATTATCAGAAAAGGGGTCTAACGAATTCTCACCAAATCTCATTTAAACCAGGGGGGGGGGATAATCAAAAATCTCACGTCAACTTCAAAAAATATAAAATATTAAAGATATTACTAAAATATTAAAGATAAACGTAGACGTTTCCAGTGATTGTCTTCCTGCACTACTAGAAATCCCAGATGATATGTGTCCAATTACATTGAAAAAAACCAGTCTCCATGGATTGAGTAAAAATTTAGAAAGTGTTGTTTTTATGTCTTTACTTTGAATTTTATTTAATTTAAATAAATTAATTATAGTATACCTGAACGATTTATTATATTATTATTTTCCCGAATAATAAATATAAATTAAAAAATATTTTTTGCGTCAATCTCCGTAAATCCGCAAATCTCACCTGCGTAGTTTGATCGAAAAAAACGTAATTAATGGATGCCCCCTAAGAAGTGATTCTATGCCATCTACATCCATTTCAGGCAACATATTTGAAATCACTGCTCCATCTAGCCGAGATTGTCCTACATTACGTTTGCCCGAATGATGTAAATAATAATCCTTGATTATAAAAGATATATCAGGAAATATTAAAAACATAATGATTCGTACGATAGTAACCTCAGATGAAGTAGTCAAAGATTAATTATTGCAGTTGTGGGATACATAACACTCGACATATTCTCGATACTTACATTTTTCTGCTGTACATTTAAATTCAACAAAGAATGACCTGCCCCTGAGCTTGATTGAATAGTTGGAATAATAAATTTACGTATAAGCTTTTTGATTTCAGTCAAATTCAATCTGGCGGTCTTTCAGATCTGTAACAAAACACTTTTTTTATACGATTTAGAATGGCAAACAAGCTGACGGCCCATCTGATGGAAAGTGGTAACCGTCGCCTATAAACATGAGCAGTACCATGGACATAACAGATTATACTGTTTCGCCCATGATACCCCTCATGCGTTGCCATTCCTGAGGACTCAGGTGTTATTCCTCTGTACCCTGTAAACTTTACATAATAAAAACTACAAAATATTTTTAACTCTGTCTTAAACTGTTTATGTTTTGTTTAGTGTAAATTCGCCAATGATGGGAGCCAGTGGAATGAGTATACAGGGCATGCAATCGATGGGAATGGGACCGATGTCCGTACCAGGTAATTATTGTTTATATACAGTATATTAATTTTAACAGACTTCAGTTGTATCACTTAAAAAAATGCTAAAATAGTTTTACAACTTTATATGTTAAAATACTGTGGTATTACATTACAACATTACAAAAGCCAAAATTACGCGATTATTAAGTAACCTCACTTGCGTACTGGGTTCTTGAACTATATTACATTATGCCGTTTTTGCTTATGTATCATTTATTGTTTTGCCTATATACCGGTTTGATGAACGGGGCACAAGTGAGGGATGATAGGTGAGGATGAAAAAGCAGGTCAGTTAGCTCATCGTGATGAATATACCTGGAATTCAACACGATGGTTTCTAGAGAGGATCACGTGGAGGTAGACCTGACAGGGTATATTGATAATAATGGGAATGATAGTCCGCATTACTAACAATCTCTTCCCCCTCCCCCAAGACTGTACCTTTTTTTAATGGGTGAAAATGGCATGGTAACCCCGCCTGCGCTATCGGTATACATTGGCGAAATACCAGTGACAGATGATAGGTGAGGATAAAAAGCCAGATCAGTTAACCCACGATGACGAATTCAACGATAAATTAGTCACGATAGTTTCCAGGGGGAACATCGTGGAGGTCCACCTAATAGGGTATATTTATAGCAATGGGGACTAATCTCCTCATTACTAACAACCCCTTCCCCCCTCTCGTGACTATACCAGGCATGCGCACGAGCAGCGCAGGCCCATCAAGCGCGGGCGGCGGCGGCGGCGCGGCGGGCTCGGGCGCCGGCTGCGGCGGCTGCGGGGCGGCGGCCGTGTCGCGCCACTACCACTACACCATGCACTTCCCGCTGCCGCCCGCCGAGCCCGACCACACGCCGCACGACGCCAACCAGCGACACATCCTGCTGTATGGCGTCGGCCGCCAGCGCGACGACGCCAAGCATGCCGTTAAGAAGATGACCAAAGGTATTTACTGTTCCATATTAATAGCGTTCATACCTAAATTAATTAAAAAATATAATAAATCCACATTTCGTCTTATTTTTTAATTCCCCAAACATCTCGTTCTCACTCTCACACATATCTACAGCATACAATATTAGATTACTTTTATAATTAAAATATTGTTTTTGTTTTAGAAATATGCAAATTATTTTCGAAAAAGTTCTCAATCGACGTCGCCGAAGGTGGAAAAATAAAGAAGCATTCCAGAAGCGAATTCAATTTTGAGGCTGTCACACAAAAGTTTCAGGTAAGTTTAAATGTTGTCATACATTTAACTATTTATTCCTCTGTACCCTGTAAATTCATTGCCATATCCCGCCGTTCAAACAAATTTCATTATTAATTTTTACCGTCTTAATAACATCATCCTAAGATATAAATAATTTTTTTTTCAGTATGTTGTATTAATAGAATAAATAATAAAAATATATTATTATTTTTTTATACCACTGAGGTGGCAAACAAGTATTCGGCCCACCTGATGGTAAGTGGTAACCGTAGCCTATGAACACCTGCAATATCAGAGGTTTTATTTTTATTATTTTATTATTATGCGTGCGTTGCCGACCCTGAAGAAACCTCTTTACCCCCCTTTTGAAGAACCCCATGCTGTAGTCTCTTGGGAAAACGTCGGCATATACTTATAACTTTATTTCTCCAGAGACTGGACCCATAACTTGTTGAGTTCTTTCATATTTACTAGCCATGTATTACATTTAATATTCACATTTGATATTCGCGACATAGTTTTATATTTCTGCGTATATCATCGTTTCTCAATAAGATTGTAATCAATGTTTTTGTTTTAAACAAATAATGGGTAATTAATTAAATATTTAAGTGAACGAAAGCTATCGAATGACATTATTTCCCTGCTCAATTTTTTCTTTTTGTTTAGTGTAATCTTTTACTCTAGAAGAGTATTTTTAATCCCTTAACTATATTTGCATACAATTTCATCTGTCAACCTCCCATTGTACTTTTACTGCTTTATATATAAAAATCAAGACCTATTTTCACTACTAGAGTGTTTTATTATTTAATTTGAATATGAGAATTTAAGGCAAAAGAAAAGAACAAAACTACTGTAAGTCAGTTTTGGTAAACCTACCTAGTTTTATGATCCTTGTTCTTTTATTTTAGTCTGAATACACGTTTAAGCGGCCTCTTATATGTATATTATGTGTTTACGTGTTGTTGGTGTGCGTGCAGGCGATGTCGATGTACGAGCAGGGCGCGGTGTCGTGGGCGGTGGGCGGCGCGGTGTGCGAGGCGCTGGCTGCGTACGCGGCGGCCGCCACCACGTACCTGCCGCAGCCCGAGCACGTCGCCTTCGCGCTCGACCTCATGGAGATAGCGCTCAACGTGCACGGCTTGATCGAGACATGCATACAGGTCAGTACCTGTTTAAGGCAAACATACTGCTTTAACAACTATAGCAATTTTATAAATATTCTATAACATAATGAGTTTTGCTAAGTTACTTAGTACAAGTGAAGGAATAAAAAAAAACAATAAATAAAATAAAAAAATTACAGCAATCATACCAAATTCAAAAAAGCAAAGAGCTTCATTCTAAGATTTTAAAGGTCGTGAGTTCTGACCTGTCCTACAGCAAAAACTTTATTTTTTTATACAACATAGAATGGCAAACAAGCTGACGGCCCGCCTGATGGAAAGTGGTAACCGTCGCTTATAAACATGTGCAGTACCATATACATAACAGAATTATCCATTTTTTTTTCGACAATATCTCCAGTGATGGGAAACACTAATAAAAAACAAAAATAAACCAAATGATGGCATTTGACATATGGTCAGTATTATGCTTGGATCGAACCCGTAGGAAAATAATACACAACTGTTACACACGATTGCCAATATACATATCTTTACTAATATTATAAATGTAAAAATGAGTTTATTTGTTACCTGATAGCATCTTAATGGCTTAACAAATCACTATGAAATTTTATATACGCATACTATACGAGATGTAGGAGGCTACTTTTTGTCTATATCAGTGAACGTATATCTGTTACGCGAGCGATATCGAGGGTAAAGGCTAGCTAATATATGACTATTGTGTAATGTAATAAAAAACTTTTCCTTTACATTGTAAAGGAAAATTTATTTCATTATAGTACAGTAGGAATAATTTTTATATTATTATATGTATTACATCTCCCATATCTAGAACTAACAAAAAATTCCTACCCTCCTTACATTGTGGAAGAGGAGCGATAAGGTCGCCCATTGTTTTCTCATTGTGATTATTTCTTGTGATTGTTTGTATTATATTACATGATAAATCTATAGATTTACTGATAAATTATATATGACTTAGATTATATAAGAAAACATCAAATGTAATAATAAATTTTTAAATATTTAATAATCTACCTGGTAGATATTATTATATTATCTGTATTTATGTTACTGTATTTCACTTAAATTATTATTAATTGTCATTGTATATTTTTTTTTATGATGCAATGAAGGGTTAGATAAATAAATAAATATTATATTCTTAGATACTAAATCTAGCCGTGGGCATATGTTGTAGATACTGAAGGAGTTGTCGGAGGTGGAGAGCGCGTTGATATCCCGCGGCGCCCCGAGCAGCGGGCTGGCCGCGCCGCGCGCCTACACGTCCGCGCTGGCGCTGTACACCGTGGGCGCGCTCAGGCGGTACCACTCATGCTTGCTGCGTACGTTTTTCATTTCATTAATTATTATAATTAACTTTTTTTTTTATATATAGAACTTAGAATGGCAAACAAACTGACGGCCCACCTGATGAAAAGTGGTAACCGTCGCCTATAGACATGACCAGTACCATGGACATGACAGAGGATCTGTTTCGCCCATGATACCCCCCATGCGTTGCCTTTCCTGAGGACTCGGGTGTTATTCCTCTGTACCCTGTAAATTCATTGCCACATCCCACTCTTCAAACTGAAACAAACAAGGTAGAAACATGAATGGTACAGAGGTGCCCATGGAAACGACTTTTGTACAAAGTCTCCCTCTGGTAAAAATGTTTAACAGTTTTTAAAAATTGACAGATAATTACGCCGTTGCCACACTTCAGTCAGCTAAAGTCTGAATGTTCCTAACAATATAACACACGTGTATTGTCGGCAGTGTGCGTGGAACAGACGTCGGCGGTGTTCGAGCAGCTGTGCCGGCTGGTGAAATGCGTGGTGAACCCGGGCGACTGCGGCTCGGCCGAGCGCTGCGTGCTCGCGCAGCTGCACGACCTATACAAGGCCGCCGCGCACCTCTGCCACGCGCCGCACGCTGACACCTTCGCCAATGCATACCCTAAGATCAAGTTAGTTCACTATTTACCAATTTCGAAACTGACTGCTTCTATTTCTATTGTACACACTGGTAACACATAAAAATATGACACAGGTAAGTAAATGTACAAAAGTGAGGTTAACTCTAAAAGAGTTCTCTTCCAGCAAACTCAAAGTGGAATGAAGTGTCATTGTCAGCGAGTAGAGCAGTGTACAATAATGTCACAAATTTTCAAACAAAAAAAGAACTAGACTTAATTTTACATATAGCTAAGCTATATGTAAATCATATTTAATTCTATATGAGTGTGTTAGTGTTTAGCAGGTGGCCGGTCGTAAAACTAAAAACCAAATCTTTTTGTAATATGGATAAAATCATATTACGCCGACCCCAAATGATTGGGATAAGGGTAGGAAGATGATAAGTGTGTTAGTGTATTAATTAAATTATATCAATTTGTCAATCATAAAAAATATCTTAACAGATCGCTTATTTGAATATTACCAACATATCTTGCGCTCGCTTCAAGAATTTTTAAAAGACTCAATAACATTTTTGCTCTTTATGAATATATCATTTCAACAATTTAAGATATCTTTATCGAAAAACATTGAATAATTTGCAAGAATCATTACGATAGTCATGAGCTGTATGGGCAGAGCCCTTTAGTATAAACAGAACCAAAAAAACTGGTTTGATAATTCTTTTATAATCGAAGTAGTTGGTCCTGTATGAGTTTCTAATACTAATTTGGATAATACTAAAACTTTCTCCAAACAACCATTTTTAAAATTCTCCAAACAACCATTTTTTCTTATCTGATTTCCATTTAAAGCTTCAATTTAAAACATCTTTACATTATTCACTGATAAACATTGCCTGTACATTATACTAATTACATATTATATTTCATTTGTAAATATTACAACCTGATATTCTTGTTGCAGGCAAGCACTTTACTCTTCATTGCAACCCACACCTTCAAACTACGTTTACAATCCACAGTTTCTAAGCGAATTCTTCACGAATCCTCGGAAAGGTAATAAAATTTAAACTAATTTGCCATTTTTGTTTTTGTTGGATTTCCAATTTAAGTACTAAACAACATTGTCGTTTTCAGGTAAAATTGAAATATCTTGGGCTAGACAAGTAGCGGAGTCTCCGGCTAACAGATACAGCTTTGTCTGTTCAGCAATGTTGGCAGTCTGCCGGGAAGTGGACAATGATCGGTAAGATATTAACGTGGTAAATGTATTGTTTTAAATAAATTTAAGTAAGTTAACATTGTTTCAATTTTATTATTATTATTTCAGCCGTTAACTGTCCACCGTTGAACATAAGCCTTTCCCTTAAGGGGAATTTTTCCAGTAGTTACCATGCTTGGCAGGCGGGTTGGTAACCGCAGTTAGGTTTTAGAGATGTTTTAAGAGGGACGCTGTTGCCTATCCCTCGCTCTCCCTTAGTCGCCTCTTACGACACCCACGGGAAAGGAAGGGGTAGCCCATTTATTTTACTATTCAATTTTACATCTTACAAATATAAATATAACCAGACCATGTCTGTATATAGGAAATATTTATAAAAAAAAATATATAAGGATCTTAATAGAAGATAAAACATAAATGTTTAAAGTTTTTGTCTCTAGGTTTGTTCAAGCATTATGCAAAAATTACTGTACCAAATTAAATGCGTTTTTCACAGTCGTATTCCTGAAGGTCTAACTCAAAATTTGCTATTTTGTCTTGATACGCCCTCTAGAAACGGTGGCATACTTGTTCTCCGAAATTCACTATGGACGAAGTTGCAGGCAAAAGCTAATAATCAGTATTATAATATTTCAACGTGCTACATCATAGTACCGTATCCTAGATATTGGCAGTATTACCACTTTGGATACCTATATTATCTATGTGATGTATTTAATTTTAGATTATTTAATTTTAGTTTAATATGTGTAAGAAGAATTTTATATAATTTAAAATAAAATTGGTATGCAATTAATAAAGTATGTACTTAATAAAGTATCTTCAGAGTCGACAAAACACACGTGATACCTCTAATGTTGCAGGCGTCCAAACGTTGACCGCAGTGAGCGTTTACCATCGAATGGGCTGTGTGTAAACACGAAATTTGAAGTAAAAAGTTTGTCACCTTCTTGGTATAAAAGATTAACTACATACTGTTTTCAATTTTTGAATGTTACAAAGGGTACGGGCTGCTTTCTAAAAACTTTCTCGAAATATAAAGGTATTATAATAACAATAGATGTCTCTGTCGTTTGGGATGTTTCGCTACCCTCCCACATCGTTAGTATAGTGTACAGTAGGTAACAGTGCGCGCGGTACGTGACAGGGTGAACGAGCTGGGCGTGCTGTGCGCGGAGATGACGGCGTGGTGCAGCGGGCTGGCGGCCGAGTGGCTGGGCGCGCTGGTGGCGCTGTGCGGCGCTCAGCACTACCCGGCCGCCGCCGCGCACGCCGCGCCGCCGCCCTTCTACCCGGACCTGCTGCACCACCGCGACCTGCACGACGCCGCCGCGCACGACGCGCTCGCCGTCTTCACCTGCATCCTCGTCGGTCGGTCTCCACGCCAATATACTGTGGCGTGTACAACTGTACACGCCACACTGTAATAACTAGTAGAAACGCTTCGAGATTAATTGTCATTGAAACTGTACAGGACGAGACTGTAGTATGAATACACACGTTGTTTCTTACGTAATAATACTTTATCGGACTGAGAACGAACCGAGGCCGGCATTATAGTATGGATCTAGCCTAATATGCCTTAGTACGGTTCGATATCGCACAATTTTACTGTGACGATAAAATAGGAGATCAAAATATATGCTTTTGAATTTCCATCGAACTTTACGGTGTGGTTATGTAGTTCACATCTATAATATCGCACTAAACCTTTTTTTTTTTTTTTTTTATACAAACTTAGAATTACGGTGTGGTTATGTACCATGGACATAACAGAGTAATATCGACTAATGCGCTGCCATTACTTGTATTAGACTCTTCAAACCGAAACACAGCCATGCAAACACAAACGGTTGAAACACAAATTACTTTTGTATCTGTATTAGATGCAAACTTATATCTTATTATGTTTATATTTTTATTATGGCTTTCTCCACGATATAATTCATGTACGTTAACACTAATTTCTGCTACTTTATAAACATTCCAAGGAAAAACTCCAGTTCTTTCTTTTCTTTTTGTTTTCTTACTTTCTTCAATTCCAATCCAAGGAAAAAAGAAATTCCAATAAAAGAACATTAACAAAACATTAATCAAAACAAGAATTAAATTCTATAAATTATATTAAAATTGCAGTTTTAAAACTAGGACTTTTAAAAAAAAAGAAAAGTCCAAAGATACCAACGTCAAAAAATATTTTTTAATTTGATAGCCTATGCCTTACACTCATGTCACGACTCGGTTGCAGCACGGCACTGCTTCTCGCTGGAGGACTTCGTGCGGCACGCGGCGCTGCCGTCGCTGGTGAAGGCGTTCGGCGGCGGCGGCTCGGTGCTGGCCGGCAACCCGGCCAACGCGCCCTCGCCCGACACCGGCGCCCGCCTCACCTGCCACCTGCTGCTGCGCCTCTTCAAGACTGTCGACACGCCGCAACCCGGTCCGTACGGTGTACCTACATTGTTTTTTATATATTGAAATCTTTTCATATATTGGTTTATATATGTTGATTCAAATCTAAAATTTTGTATAACAATGTTAAATATATTTCTTACTCGTGTTAAATGGTAACACCACAGTTATTATCTGTTTAAAAAAATTTAAAATTCAAGTATCAACTTCAATAATTTCAACCTGTATTCATGATAACAAAAATATATTTAAATCTGTAGTCCCTGACATAGTATCGTAGTGCAGTACCAGCCTTAGGAGGGGATGGCATGATCGGACGACAACCGACCATTTCTTCCTCCTCCAGTATCCCTAAATGCATTAAGCATACACGAATATGGCAGTTGTGAAAAAAGTGCAAATATTTTTATGCATAATTTCAATATTGATTAGCTGAACTTAGTTCAGCTAAATACCAACAATTACCTGCATCAACATACATACATACAGTGCTCTGAGGAATTGTTCGGATTGATACCTGCTGCTGATTTTCACCACCGTACAACCCGCACAAACTAAATTTTCATCCCAATCATCTGGACGAGTGGCGATTTTCCACCGTGCATTTTTCAAGGCACTTTCTTCCACACACAGCCACTCTTTGGAATTAGCTTACAGCAGTAATATTTCCAAACTAATACGACATCATAACCTTCAAGAAAAGAGCATATTCCTTTCTAAAAGACCGGTAGCACACCTACAATGCCTTTGGTGTTGTGGGTGATCATGGGCGGCGGTAGTCATTTACCATCAGGTGAGCCGCATGCTCGTTTACCCCCTGTGTTGTAAAAAAAAAAGAAATTAACTCTATGCTCTCCATCAGGTTTGTACTCAGTGTCAACGTCACCGGGCCCGGGCGGCGGTGGCGCGGGCGTGCGGCTGTCGTGCGACCGACATCTCCTTGCCGCCGCGCACAAGAACATCGGAGTGGGGCCCGTGCTAGCAACGCTTAAAGCCATACTCAGTCAGTATTATTCCCTCAAAACTGTCCGCTTCCACCAACCTCATACAAACTGTTACTTTTACCTAATTCAAACTTGTGCCAATTTTCACTACAAAGCGAAAGATAAAAAAAACCATCCCCTATGTTTAACTTGATTTACCCTTTCCCTGCCGTCATTTTCTTTTGCAATTTATAAATACGAAAACTCTTTAAAATAAAAATATTAACCAAATATATCCAAGCCCATTTCACTTTTATCCAAAATTTCATTGTTAAAATAATTTTTACACAAAATTGTCAAAAAGGAAACCCAATCTGGCAACTCTGATATTACCATTATTATGGTAATTAAATTACAGGGTACAGAGTCAAAAGTGTTATACCTTAGTCCTCAGTCAACAGTCGCAACGCATATATGGTAGAGTATCATAGGCAACACAGTATACACTGTTATGTTCATGGTACTATTTATGTCTATAGGCGACAGTTACCACTTTTCATCAGGGCTTGTTTGCCATTCTAAGTTGCATAAAAACCTGAATACGGAGGTGTCTTATTAAATGAGAGTTTTTATCTAGTCAAAGCAAACGGCAAAATATAACAAATATCGTTCAATTCTTACAATAATTTCAACCAGTGGTCGGAGATTCAACAGCGCGGGATGCCGGCAAGCCGGGAGGAAAAAAATCTTGCGAACTATCGCATATACTCGGCACTAGCGACTCAGGACCTACTGACGCCCAGCTCGATCTCATGTCGTGAGTTATTTATATTATATGCATATTTTCTTTGTCGAGTAGAAGGTATAAATAAATGTAATATGGAGTTACTAAGAAAACATGTACAGAAATATCCGAGCGTATATAAATATTAAGTTATTAGATGCAAACTACAAAATTAGTTAAATGTAAACTTTGTCCACTAGTTATTGTATAGATATTTGTCTCGGATACTTTTTGTTTGTGATTGGGAGTAGTTAGTTGTCTATGGAACGTCAATATTACTGATAATATATTAGAATACGTTAGAATGCTTTTACTAATCAATGATAGCTACTTTTACATGTTTGTTTCATTTAAGTAATAATAAGGAGCTATAACCGTGTTTATATATTGTCTCATACAATGTTAAAATGCAGGTTCGAGTCCTGTCCTGTTTAGTATTTTTATACTATCTCTATCTTTTGATATAAAGTTAAATATTAGACATCTCAAATTTTAAACTAGTTATTTTTTATGACATGTTTTAATAATTATTTATCTATTAAATTACTAATTACTTTATAGATTTACATAGAACAAAACTATCAAGAACATATGTACCGTACAGACTTTCTGCTGTCGCGAACGATGCGTATTAACATTTATATTCTGCTTAAACATCATATACAGTTGTTTTTTTCATCATATTTATTGGCTATATTTTATTTTAGCTTTTATTGATATTTTGAGTACAATTCTGTCCGTTATTTGTCGAAATATTGTTACAAAACTTTATTTCTGTTGTATGTGCTTTTACTTATTATCAAATACATTTAAAAATGAAAATTTTAACCATAAAATATTTTCACAAGTCACGGCTAGTGCTGCCAATCATGCTGAATAAAAACACTGTATAATAATTTTGGCCAACTATTGACGCATATTTTTTATCCTTAGGATGGTAGACTCAGAGATGAGTGGGGGCCATAGAACTCCTAGGTTTGTTTTCTTTTATATTGAGTTACATAGTTGCACCTCACGGGTCCAGTGCTGTATGTGGGATATTCATATCACGGCGATCACACGCTTCGCTTCCCTTCATATTGTTTCGCTCATTTCATAATCCCTTTTGCATTTTCTTTACACCTGAATAAAGGATACTTCCCTGTATCTTTTACGAAATTGCACCTTATTTCCTCCTTTACAAGCTACCTTTTACGAGTTCCGCTTAATTTTTGTTATATCATTTTATGTGAAGTAACAAGCTCTTTACAAATTATTTGTCAGTTCTATGTTTCCTTGTGTTCTGACATTAAACTCGTGTTCACTGTATATTATATGAAATTGATATTTTAATTCTAATGTCTGACTATCTAACATTTTAGGCATATAATGTGGTTAAAATCAATACATATAATAAAGTCGTTACTGGTCGCTGTCTGTACGTGGAAGATATGTAAGAAAAACTATTATAAGGGGACTTTATGGACGCAATAGAACCCAAAACAATTATTTTTAGAATTTTAGTCTATTTGTCTTTACATCTGTGCACGCTAATCTCGAAAACGACTTAACCGATTTGAATGCGGTGTTCACTTATGTGTTGTGCTTTACTCCACTTAATATTTAGTGTTTGTTTTATTTCAATCGTTTCATAAATAAAAAAGTTATATCAATCTAAAGTTTCATATATAAAAAAAAAAACTATAAAATACCTGATCAGTTGAATTGATTGAATTTTTTTTTATTATATGTATTGATTTTCGAAAATTCAGTCTACTCGTGCGAAGCCGGGTCGTATCGCTAGTGTTAAATACATTTCATATTAAAGTATTCAATTTAATTGTTACCTATTCTAGTGGATTTCTATTTATAAATGTCACTTGCATTGAGCTTCTTCATGTGGTACCTTGTAAATAACACGTTGTATACCGACCCATATAAACTGGTATCAACAATCCTTAACAGTCGATATATAATCATATTTTCACTTCCAGACATCTATGTTCCAAATACCATTTGTCTATAAAAAAATATTTACAACCCAACAATAACACTGTGTTTTGTTTTAATACATTTTGCCGTTGAAAATGTCTTTAATAATGAATTTATTTATGTTTTTTTCTAACGCGAGTACATTAATAAACAGAATTGTTTAATTTTACAAATTCAAAACATTTTACTATTTTCTTGTATATAACTAAAAGTTTTAACATAAATGAACTATCATAATATAATCTGTTACTAGCCGTGATTGGCGACACAATTTGTAGAAAAGTATATATGTTTTTCTAATAATACCAACATAGATATACTAAAAGTTTTGCTTAAGTAAATTCGACTTTAATACAACATGTGTGAAGTAAGTATCGCATGTGACGTTGCAGAGGCAGCGGCGGCGTGGGCTCGACGTTACTCGACTCATCTCAATCCCTGTCGTCGCTCGCCCGCCGTGTACTCGCCGAGATCTGTTCCGAGGAGTGGGTGCTACAGAAGTGCCTACAGAACCCTGATGAACTGTACCAACCTGATATGCTACTTGATTCAATGCTAACACCCAGACAAGCACAAAGGTAGCGAACTATTTATGTTACATAGCATTGCACGAGACACTGGATTCGATTCTCGGTTGAACTAATTTAAAAAACCAAACTACTTGACTGTCGATGACAAAAAAATAACACCCTGATCGTAGGCTCTGGTATTTGAAAAATGTAAATGATGAAAAATGATGATGTCTCTATTATTTCCACGTGTTGATTATATAAAAAGGGAAAATTTTGAATTTACAACAAAAAATGAATAATGTATTTATTCTATTTCACCTTACAAAGCCTGGATGGCTTTGTAAGGTGAAATAGAATAAATCAGCCGTTAATTCTCCACTGCTGAATATTATAGACCTCCCTCTATTGACGGGTTTTGTCAGTAGTTGCCACGCTTGGCAGGCGGGTTGGCAACCGCAATTAAGCCTGCCAGTATTTCCGAACCGATACGACAACATAACCTTCAAGAAAAGAGCATATTCCTTTTTAAAAGGCCGACAGCACGCCTGCAATGCCGTTGGTGTTGTGGGTGATCATGGGCGGCGGTAGTCACTTACCATCAGGTGAGCTGCATGCTCGTTTGCCCCCTGTGTTGTAAAAAAAAAGGCCTTGAAGATGTTTTAAAAGGGTCTCTGCTGCCCATCCCTCGACCATTAAGTTCCCTTCCATTAGTCGCTTCTTACGACACACGACAGGCGATGATTCAATGTCATGTTTATTTGTAATTGCCAACTTCACCAAATCCTTATCAAATAACATACACATTATAAAATTCCTATGAATGAATTTAGATATCATCTATTTTTTTCTTTTTTTTGACGTTGCAAAAAATGTATAAAATATCTTTTGTAAATAGATTGCTGCACATGATCTGTTATCCTGATTCAGCGAGCCACACTCACCCCGATCTCGACCAGAAGACCATGATCACCCGTTTATTGGAGGTAAAATAAATAAATTAATTACAAACTAATTTTCTTACACCGACTTTTCGTTTTGAAATCGGGAAATTTTGTACCTTCTTCGTGTTTTGTTTCGGTAAGTTTTAACTCATTTGCTTTCAAAATTCAAATTTTCGAAGATTGCTTAATTTAAGTTAATCAAAATTGACCAATATTTCTGACATTATCACACTTTGGCAAGGTTTGGTACGAATGCTCTTAAGTTCTGGTTCAGTTAGTTCCTGATGTATTTAACAGAACCTAGAGCAGTGGTCGCTGCGCATGTCGTGGCTGGATCTGCAACTGATGTTCAAGCAGTTCCCAAGCGGATCGTCGGAGCTGAACGCGTGGCTTGACACGGTCGCGCGCGCTGTCATCAACGTCTTCCAGCAGCCGGCTCCGCCGCCCCCAGACAAGGACAGGTCAGTACACTCTTGTAATTGACAATAAATGTCTTGCAAAAGCATGTTGGGTATTATAATGATATAACCAATTTGAATAAAACCTTTTAAAAGATAAAATAGAAATATAAATAACAAATCACATGCGGGGGTCCATGGTACTGCTCATGTCTATAGGCGACGGTTACCACTTTCCATCAGGTGGGCCGTCAGCTTGTTTGCCATTCTAAGTTGTATAAAAAAAACACACACACACACACACAACACAACACTCAACTTGTTTATGTATGGGCAATTACTTTTTTTTTACTAGTAGAATTTAGAATAAATTACAGTTTTCTTTCTTACGACTTTAATTCTGTATTTTTTTTTTTTTTAATTAAACATGGACTTTTAGCATAAAAAAGGCTGCATGAAATATGAAATTTTTTGGTCCATTTATATTCTACATAGTTCACTGCATATTTGAATAAAACTTACACTTATTACTTACATAATTATGAGCATGTATTATCATTTGATGTAATAAATTTACCTTCTTAAGAAAAAGATTAAATATTTTGGTATGTTTGTTGAAGATTAAAGTTTTTATGAATAACGTGAATAACGGTGTCGACTGTACAGGACGGGCACGGACCGCAGCGTGGTGAGCACGAGCAAGTGGTCGGAGTCGGTGTGGCTGGTGGCGCCGCTGGTCGCCAAGCTGCCGGCCGCCGTGCAGGGCCGCGTGCTCAAGCAAGCCGGACAGGTACACTCGTGTGCTGATTACCTACACCAGGGGTCGGCAACCTGCGGCTCTTTAGTTCTATACGCAAATTATATTTATATTATTAGAAAAAAAAAATGTCCTCTACTGATTTACGAGGATTATGCAGTAAACTTTATTTATGTAAGTACTATTTATTATTGATAAGAAAATTATTTGTGACTCTTTAAAAACTTTAGAATTCTGTAAATTTATTTTTTTACTTTTCCGACTCAAAAGGTTGCCGACCCCTGATCTATTATAGCATTGGCAATTAGTGATCATTTCGCGATCAGTTGCTAATTTACAATATACATTTACATAAAAGTCCACCAACACTTTCAATAGAGAATTTTTCTAATTAGATCCGTTTTATGAATCTGTTCATATTTTTAAAAGTAAATTAACTCAAAAACTTATATGTTAAAATTAAATCGGCGCTTCTTCTTTCTTTTTCTTATATATATTTACCTTGGATTTGTTGCTAAATTTCATGCGTGTTTCCATGGGACTTCATATATAATTATCTCTATGTTTTTAAAACACTGTTATTGGCACTGTTAGGTCTATTGTTATAAAATTGTAATGTATATTGTTGTTAATTATTTTGTAAATGACTGTTTATTGCCATAAATAAATAAAATAAATAATTATGAACGAGTATACAGTCTAAAATTGTAATCGTTAAAAGTGAATTACACAAAGAAAGTGAAGTGAGTTACACTAAGAATCTATCTATACTGTACAACATATTAAGATAAAAATTTAGTAAATTTACTTAAGGAATTTATAATGGCATACAAGCTGACGGTTCCCCTAATAGAAAATAGTAACCGTCGCCTATAGACGTGAACGGTACCATGGACATTATTATTATATCAGCCATATATCAGCCGATAACTGTCCATTGCTAATCATAAGCCTTCAGTCAAGTGAGGTAACATAGTTACCTCGCTTCGTGGGCGGGTTGGCAACTACAGTTAAACTTTAGTGATGTTTTAAGGGGAACGCGGCTGTCCGTCCCTCGACCGTTAAATTCCCTTAGTCACCTCTTATGACACCCACAGGAGCAATGAGTGGCCCATTCTATGCCGGGACCACATGGTCCCGTCCCGATAGGCACGATTTTCGTCTTTTTTCGATACATGTATTTTTGAGGAGAATGTTCAGTTCCGCTGCTATTTGAATCGATTATTCGATTTCACTTGTAATCTGCAAAAAAAGAACTTCAGTCAAGAACACACTAGTGAAGAGATACTTCATAGATACTTTACATTACATATATTTGAATTTAGAACATAGAATTTCATATTTACGTTTAGATATTTAAATATGAAATTCTACGTTCTAAATTTTTTATTGGCAACAAGCAATTTTTTGCACTGTAAAAAATAGCTGGCTCGATCATCACAAAATTGAAATGAGACCAAAACTGCCAAAAACATAAACTTTATGTTACTTATGCTACCTTATTATTATTAAAAAGAATTTTGTAAATCGAATCAGAATGGATGACATATTCTACACTTTTTTATGAAAAAGATTTTATATGAAAAAGAATGATGACACATGCTACATTGACTATACTTTTTATTAACTAAACCTGTTTTTATTTTGATATCAGATCCTGGAAAGTGGCTGGGGCGCCGGGTGTAGCGGCAGTTGCTCGAGCGGCAGCGGTGGCGGCGGAGGATCGCACCGAGACTGCAAAAGCCACCAGAGTCCCAGTTATAAAGGGTAATAAAGATCTTTAAGCAGTTTTAAAAAATTAAGAATATATTTTGTCGTTAAAATGGGAATTTACTTCCCATACAGGATTTTTTATTTATTTATTTTTAAATACCAATGGTGGTTACATCCATACGGGGGAAAACACTACCGTTTTGAATTGCTTCTCCTTTATATAATTCTTGCTGCCGATACTTGTTTATCTATACAATCTTTTATTAAATATAGTATTTTTATTATTTATTTATTAGTTTTACTGTAACTCAATAGACATTTAATAATTTCTCGTGACAGAGTAAGATATTGTACGATTTTACCTATATCACAAATAATATAATACCCAATACGAACGAAACACAATATCTATTAAATTGAAAATATATACTTATATATAAATAAATAAATACATTTAATTTATTTTATTTCCAAGACGATATCGTAAACATATTTTGATATTATATTGTAACAGTAAAATCGTAGAATATCATGTCGTGTTACAATGTATAAACAAAGCGCCCAATATAAATGTGTCCGTATGTGGACGGTAGATCGTCAGGCGGCGGCAGCGGCGGTAAACGCGGCGTGAGCGGCGGCGGCTGCGGTGGCGGCTGTAGCTGTGGCGGCGGCAACGCTGTGCGCCTCGCCAACGAGCCGCTACTCTCGCTCGTGCTCACCTGCCTGCGACACCAGGACGATCAGAAGGTTCTTTTTTCAATGGATGATAATGGAATGGCAACCCCGCCTGCGTTAGCGCTGTATGCGCTGGTGGGGCACCAGTGAGGTATGATAGATGAGAATGAAAAGGCAGGTCAGTTAGCCCATCGCGATGAATACACGTGAAATCAAGCACGTTTTCCAGAGAGGCCCACATGGAGGTAGATCCGATAAGGTATATTGCTAGCAATGGAACTGATAATCCGCATTACTAATAATCCCCCCCTCCCTCGTGTTCTTGAAAATTATCTTAAAAATATACTTATGAAAAAATACCTATAATATATATTGAAACTACAACAATAATACTACCCGAAATCAGCACAGCCCTTAATCTTATAAAGGTCCACCAGCTTTGTTATAGGTATAATATTGTATAATGCACCCATGCCTATGCAAATCCTCGATAAAGTCAACGAGAATCAATATAAAGCTCCTAAAAATATGAAGGTGTATCCATAATCTCAGATATGTCTTTGCGAAGCTTCACTTGAATCCTGTGGTAGGCAGTAGACAATTTTACCTATGAGAAGGAGCATTACAAGCGTTTGTCCCGTGTGCAGGAAAGCCTGCTGAGCTCGATCCATGCCCAACTGCAACACTACCTGACACACGCGCGCGACCACGAGCGTTCAGCGTGCAACGACACGTGGCAGGACGACGCGGCGCCTGAAGCGCTGCAGCTGCGGTTCTCGCTCGCGGGCGGCATGTTCGACGCCATCCGCCGCTCCTATCAGCTGACGTCCGACTGGGCAGTGCTACTCACGCAGCTGGTCGCACACCAAGTCATCGATGCTTATAACAACAGGCTAGTATCTTTAATCTAACAAAAGATAAATGCCACGAAAAGTCACCGGACGTTCGGACAGGGTCACGTGGACACGACATCTACGGATCTTACACACAGGTGGCAAGTTGGAGGCTCTTTATCTGGGAACAATTTAATAATAAAATAATGACTTTACAACAGTAATATGTGCCAAACGTGATAAAACACATGGTGCATAAAGCATGAAAAAATAGATTTGACTGTATTTTTATGTCAATTTTCTAAAATCATCCATCTTGATTTGTCACTGACTAGATTTATCAAAAGTTAGAATCCTTTTCGTGAGAATAAAAAAAATTTCATTGATGTTTACTTTCTCTTTAATAACCGATGATTTATATTTAATAAACTATTGAATTTTGTACCTAATTTATACTTAGTTTGTTTTATTTGTAAGATGTTATTGTAAGTTTAAATTATTACAAGTAAATATTATTAGGTATTACAAGTTATAACCGCCGTGTAAGCCCCGGCATAGAATGGGCTACCCCTTCCTTTCCCGTGGGTGCCGTACGAGGCGACGAACGGAGCTTATGGTAGAGAGGTAGGCAGCAGCGTTCTTCTTAAAACATCACCAAAAGCCAAAACTGCGGTTGCCAACCTGCCTGCCAAACGTGGTAACTAATGGCAAACCGTAGTTTTAATCAAATAATATTGAGTTGGGTACAGTGAGTACAGAAGCAGACTTATTCTCTTTGATTTCTCTAGAAAAAAAAACTTCATCCAATATTCAAAATTAACAGCATTTCTTTCTACAGCTTGTGTCGCAGCAACTTATTTACAACGTTAATTGACATGCTGGCAACATTGATACACTCGACGCTCGCCGACGGCAGCGACGACAACAACAGGAAACATTACCAAAACCTGATGAAGAAACTGAAGAAGGAGATAGGAGACCGGTACGGGCCTTCTGTGCAGGCTGTACGGCAACTGTTGCCGCTCTCCAAGAATGCAATCATCGAGGTATGAAATTATAATATCTTTTTTTTTCTCTTTCATACGACACATTATTGAGTAAATGACAGTATATACTGTTATATAACATAAATTTTTTTTAACACAATATTTTAATCATTTATTAATATTGTGCTGGGTAGATAGTCCATTGATTCAATCTTTTTTTTTTTTAATCTTATACTAAAATATACATATTTTTTGACAGGTGATTGCATGTGAACCAAGTAACAAAATCAGTTTTGACAGTGATAAAAAACAGGTAAGTTTACATTTTCAGACATAGTTATCTCTCTTAATATATATCATTAATCTATGGATAACTCTGAATGTCCAAGTAATGAACATTATTTGTATATATTAAATGAACTTAGATTAAATGATAAAGCATGACTCTGACCTACCTGCTTAGGCTTCTATTAAGGAATTTGATATTTTTGCTTTATCATCTTATACGTGGGACACTCAGAAACTTTTGCGACACTAAAAAAATTTCAAGTCTATCGTACGATTCGTCCGGTTTCAAGTTACACTTAAAATCGTAAAAAATCATAGCGCGAAAATGTTCTCGACGCAAGTGCATTTTTCGATGAGACACGGTAATTTTAAATAGCTCGCAAAAAATGTAGAGGGAAGTTTTGAATTTAAAACGTACCTATTTTTACTTATAAGTAATCATATTTTTAAATAAATTATAACTGGCCAGTCTCACCTACATAAAAACTTTTTCTTGCAATACTTTCTGAGTGACTTGGTACAGACTTCACCTGTAGATGGTATGTACATCATAAATGATGAGAAACAATTGTTCTGAAACTGTTCTACTCCAAAACCACCTATCTGCAGCAGTTCTTGTTTCTCTGAATGGCGCGGTCAAATCATTCCTATTTCAGCATTGCAATTACTTGGTTAATTGAAATTCTGCAGAAATTCCCCATTTTCGATTCTATTACGCAATGAAACTCATTAAGCTACTTGGATCTTTTTTACTCGGCTAGCAACATTAAGCGAGTAATCACTGTATTTATTAGTAACAATATAAGACCATGTATTGGTTATATAAGACGTCACTGACAACACACAATGGCATTGCAACTGACAAAACAATTAATCTGTAAATATCCAGCTGGTTGTATGAATGGTCATGTGTTTGTGCCAGGGTCTTCGTCTGACTGATAAACAGCGCGTGTCAAGCTGGGAACTAGTGGAGGGTGGTCGTAATCCTGCACCGCTCTCGTGGGCCTGGTTCGCTGCCACGAAAATTGAAAGGAAACCACTCACATATGAAACTGCACATAGGTATGTACCATCGCAATATTCATAATAATGTAAAACAAAAGATTAAATAATGGCTGTAAATTGATTCTATAAAAAAAGAAACTTCGACTTCAATCAATTATTTTTATTTAAAAATCAAATTACTAAACCGATTTTAATGAAATGTCTATAGGACAAATATAAAAGTATATATACTTTTCTGTAAGAAAGATTTTTGAAATCGATTTATAAATGATAGAATTCTGAGGTATCAAGCACATAAAAATATAATTGATAACGTCATACTTTTTTTTAAGTCGGTTGACAAAAGAAAAAAAAGAACAAACTTTTTCTCTATTTAATAATGATTTTTTGTCAACCGACTTCGAAAAGGAGATTCTCATTTCGGTTGGATTTTTTTTATCTGAATGGTATACTGACAGATTAGTCCTATAGAAATTTTATCAAAATCTGTTCAGTAGATTAGTCTTAAAATCAAAATAACTAGTTTTGTCATAACTAAAGTTAGTTTTTTTTTTTTCTAAAACGCAATCATAATTGTCAACCAAAATAAGAAACTTCGATTCGCCTATCTTTTTTAGGTAACCTAAACTATTTCGCGATATATTCACGACTTGTGAACCGATTTTGAACCTTTTATTGAAATTTTATATTGACAATAGGTGATTCTTTAAAGAAAGTAAAAATTATGCACATACCTAATGGGTATTGCTAACATCTAAACGGAGTCCCCTCTGCAAACCTATCATATTTAATTCCTGATAAATTCATCACGATGAGACAGCTTACTTAGTATCTCTCTGTTACCCGCGAGTATATATCAATAGTGCAAACAGAATTACCATTCTATTTAGATTTCTTAAAAAAATATATTACTATTAGATTTAAACTCCTTATAATGCATTAGCCATTTCTTGATTTGACTTATGAATTTGTTTTAAAATCCACAGGTTATTGAAATATCACACGCACAGCCTTGTGAAACCACTCAGTTATTATTTAGAGCCACTGCCCCTGCCACCTGAAGACCTTGAAACAAATGACAATAAACAGGTAAAATTATTGTTGAAAATTTCATAAGTACACATTAGTTATTTATTTCATCAACTCATTTACAGTTTCCCAATATGCTCATTCAGGAAAGCATCAGTATAATATGTATAATTAAATGTCATCTACATCTATATCTTTAATCTGTGAATACAAACACTTTGTGGTCATCCGATAAAACTCCAGCAGGTTGAACGCAAACACATCTAATTGCAGACACCGGATCATAACATCATTTTGTAGTTTCAATGCATAAGAGATAGGACCTTGCTTGATTATATTTTGATGTAATAATTATTGTATTGTTGAGCGCGAGCTGTAAGCGTTCTTCGCTCATGACTAAGGGTCCCGGATGGTCCTGAAACTAGTCGAGTTTTCTCAACTAAAATACACTTGAACCGGTAGTTATTACTTTAAAACCCGCAACTGAATTTATAATATCACAGTAATAGTCAATCGAATCTTGTTTGTATTTATGTCTGTATGAAATCATTGGAAACATCTATGTATATCTGCATAGCTTATTTCCTTACTCTATGATTGTTGCAAGTAACATATTTTTAATCGACAAAACGGAGGTTTGTAATATGGTTGTTTTCTTTGCCAAATTTGAACCAATTTTATTCTTTCTTTTTTTTCTTTTATAATCGAAAAATTTCAATCCTCTGATAGTTCATAATAAATTGGTAAAGATTAAAGCTGATCTTTTGTCGAACAAACTCTTAGATGTTTTGTGTTATGTACAGGACAACGGCAGTCTAGACTCCAGTCCTACTGGTGCTGGCAAAGGACGATCGCGATCAGCACCATGTAAAAAAATCAAGAAACCCAAAGCCGCAACACCGGTAAGTATAGTGTTTTTACAGCAAATATCCATTGCGTAATATACCTGAATAATAAATGTACTATAATTATACCTCGTCATTATTTATATCAAATTTTACACATGTAAAAAAAAATTTTGGTTTTGTAGATACAAAATTTGCACCCTGGAATACGTCTACTCCAGTGATTATCAGCTCTGCTGCTAACTATATCTATACTAATACTATAAAGAGATTTCATTGTTTGTTTCTAAAAGACTAATTAAAAAACTACTTAACCTTTTTAAAAATTCATTCATCTATAGAAAGCTACATTGGGGCGGATGCTAATGCGCCTCTCCTTTAAAACTATCTCTAAAATTAAATCTTCAATTTAATATCACAGCGAAATCTTTATTTTAAGGACCAATATACAGTAATTTTCTTTTTAAATCAAAATTATTATAATTTTAAATTATGGTAGACCATAAAACAATACTTTCACGAAATTGTCAAACTAAATTAAGTTTAGAGAAATGACGTGTCAGAATCGGTCCCATTATTAACGAGTAACATAGGCTATATATTTTTTTGGAAGTCAAGCCGAATTGCTAGTCTACAAATAATTTCATATTCCTTACTTAGACAAACGGAAATGGTACGGCGAACCCGAACACGGGCCCGACCGGCATGGCGGCGACGCCCGCTCAACAGCCCCAGTTCATGCAACAGCCGCAGCAGTGGTTCCCCGCGCCCGGCCAGAACTATTACAACCCGCCAGGTCAGTGACATTGTTTTGCTTATTTATTGGCTGATCCGACATATATTATATTGCCCCCTATCACCGCGTACCTGTGGGAAAGGGATTGTTAGTAATGAGGATTAGTAAGCCCATTGCTAGCAATATGTCCTATTAAGTCAACCTCTTCACGGTTCCCTCTCGAAACCATCGTAATTGATTTATTGTTAATATCGACACATCGACTAATTGATCTGCTTCATCCTCGCCTATCATCTCTCACTTGTACTACGTCAGTGTAGATCATTAGAGCAGGCGGAATTACCATTCCATTATCACCCATTAAAAAAACAGTAAAAACTACCTATTACTACTACGCTTTCGAGGATTAGAGTGAACGAACATCGTAACACTTTTTTTTTATATATTAAGATTAATAAAATAATGTGTATACAATATAGCGGGCGTGAGTCCTCGCGGTGTAGCGCCGCCATCCAACACTCAGTCGAAGCAAGCTCTAAGCAACATGCTGCGGCAGCGACTGCCATTCAACCAAATAGCACAGATGCAGGTAATGTAATATGAGTCGTTAGTGTAATATTACCTTGTTTTCAATAAAATCCTAGTCTCATCTGACAATACAAATAGAAATAAATAGAAATAAACATTCTTTATTGAAAAATAATTGTTCACAAGCCTTTTTTTATTATTATAACGGCGAATTCAGTGTCTAATATGCACAAAATGTTCTTTGCGTCTCTATATAGTAGTAATAGATTAAAAAATATATTAAATGACTTGATCTAATGGGATTCGAACACAAATCTCTCTGCTATCTAAGCTAAACAGTTACACCACTGAAGAAATATTATCAGTCGGTAAATTTTCAACCAAAAAGTGGTTAAGAATTAATTTAAACCGAATGCGCACACGCATAAAAAATATTTTCAAATATAATCTCTTACAATAGTAATATTAAATCTAATAACTATTTATTTATTGACTTATAGGGAAGCGGTTATCCAGGTGCGCCACACGCGCGAGCTCCATACCCACGTCAAGGCATGCGCCAGATGCAGCCTAATCAAATGGGAGTCGGCCAAATGCAGCCCAAGTAAGTACATGCTATATATACTGTCATAAAGACAAATACAACGTAGGACGACCGCCGACTAGTAGAATATCTCAAATTGATATAGGAAATCAATGGCTCAAACTATTATTCGATGTCTTTGGATAAAGCTTCTACAATTTGTCTTAGACAAAAACTGGATAGACATGAATTTTTTTAATAAATGATTATAATTACAGTCAAATCGCACCGATGGGAGCCATGGGCGGTATGGGGCCAATGACGCAAATGGGTGGAGTTCAGATGCCGGGTCAAATGGGTGGTGGTCAGATGGGCGCAGGGCAAATGAACAGTGCACAAATGGGCGGCGCGCAAATGGGCAACACTCAGATGGGTGGCGCTCAGATGGGCGGCATGGGAGGCCAGATGTTCGGTGGACAATATGGCGGTATGCAACAGGGCTACGGGTACAGTCAACAGATGATGCAAGGTGGTCAACAACAAATGATGAATCAGGTATGTCTGACTATAACGTTTTTTAAATATTAATTATAGATCTAAAAAAATTACCAATATTTTATTCTTGCATTTTAGAACACAAATCATTCAAAAACATTTCATTCTAAATTGATAGCATTTAGTGTATTAAAAGCAGTGTCTGACCCGGCATACAATGGGCTAGCCCTTCCTTTCCCGTAAGTCTTGTAAGAGACGAATAAACAAGGGTAAGGGGTTGGGTAGCAGCGTCCCTCTTAAAACATCTCTAAAAGCCTAACTGTCGTTGCCAATCCACCTGCTATCCACCAAGCAACTACTGGCAAAACTCCCTTTATGAGAAAGGCTTATATCCAGCAGTAAATAATTAACGGCTTAAATAATAATAATAGTTTATTACAAGCATCTTTGTCACTCGTACCTATAACATCACGTAACGAGTGGCAGATATGGTGCATTATAACGAACCTAGTCGAATTTATCTTCGTATAGTCCTTTATTTACTGACCAGTGCCTATAATAGGGTTTAGTATTATATATATTCTTTATATCACTCGTAAAAAAAAGATACAGCAATTAGTTTAACAGCTTGTTAGCTTAAAGGGATCTCTTCCAGACAATCCAATGTATTGAGAGAGAAAATGATTAGCGGAGGTAACCTAGTGCAGGAAAGGTACAAAAAAGTATTTAGCATAAATACTAAGTAAATAGAAAACTAATAAAATGTGCATAGTATATAATTAGTTAAAAAGTGAAACTTCAACTTTTCCTTCAAAGAAATAATGGAAGGACTATTCTGTATGTTAGAAAGGAGTTTATCCCACAGTTAAATTAGTCTTTTTAAAATTAATCTGCAATATATATTTAACAGAATGTATGATCTTTTTTTATTCACAATGAACATGTTTGTAATTTCAGGGTATGGGACAAGGTGTAAATCAAATGGGACAACAAGTGAACTCTATGGGTCAAGGAGTCAATACTATTGGACAGAATGTAGGTCAAATGAACCAGGCTGTGGGACAGTCGGGTCAAATGCCCCAGGGCATGGGGCAAATGGGACAAGGAATTAATCAAATGGGACAACCAATGAGCCAAATGGGGCGAATGGGACAAAGTGGCGGTATGGGCGCCATGAACAATCGCGATGCTATGGGTCCACAGGGAGGTAACGCTATGGGTGGCTTCCCGGGACAACAATCATTCCAACAGGTAAACTTTTTTCTAATTTTTTTAATCACTTATGGTCAAAAATATATTATAAACATAAAGGTTTTACCTTAATTTAATAGACAATTATCAAATTAGTAGTAACAACAAATTATTTAGTATATTTTTTTATGAACACTACTACAAATAACTCTTTTTATTATTATTTTTAGAATATGATGGGTGGACGTGCGACTCAAGAAGCTCATACTTACTTAGCGCAACAGAGACAAAACACGCGTCCACAATACATGCAGGTTAGTTGACTGTGATGTCATGGCTGAATGCAAACAGCAACCGTTATTTTCATGCATCGTTATTTCTGAACAAAATTTGACTCTGAAGAAATTGTTAAACTGTGCCTTCGCTATTAAATGCGGAACCATCGAGTCTTCATCAGTAAAATAAAACTACTATTTTAATGCATTTAAAGCAGTCAGATAACTCAGATCTTGGATTCTTCAAACATAGCATAAAAAGCACTTAGTTAGCTGGCATAGTGCGGCCGACCGTTGAGAGAAAAACCTTCTCTTGTCAGTTAATAGTATATTGTTCCTATGTTTGCTCAGAATAGTGTAGTTACATTCGCAAGTAGCGACATTGCGAGCGAGCCCTCTTTTTTCCTCCATTTTTTTTAAATTTTTATTTAGTTCGTAACTAAGACGTTAAGAGTATCATAGCTACATTAACAAATAGTTTTGTACATTATTATTATTATATTTATAAAAATCCCTTTTTCTATATTCTACGAGTAGCTTCAGTGTTGTGTATTCCTATAACCTAACATCGCCATAAATAATATTCAACAGCAGGCGCCGAACGTAACAATGGGCGGTATTGGCGGTCCGGCACCGCCGTATCCGCGCGGCATGCAGCCCCAGCAGAGCGCGCAGTACCAGCAGCAACAGATGACCGAGCAACGAATGCGGCAGCAGATGCTCGCCATGCAACAGCAGCAGCAGCAGCAGGCGCCGCTAGTGCAGCACCTGCAACGACAACAATATCCCCCGCAATATTAAACCGTTAAGTGTTCCTGACAATACCCCCCACAATTAAACCGTTAAGTGTGACTATATATGAATTATCTGTGAATTGTCAAAAACAAAAAAGAGTATCGTATGCATCATAGTGAATTCTGTAATGTCCATGGAGTATTAAAGTCTATGACGATAGTTACCATTTTCCATCAGGTCAGCTTGTTTGCCATTCTGACATAATAAAATTAATCAATTATCAACATTTACGATTGTTTATTTAAGAAAGCTCAGTACCGAACTGAAATATTAATCATGCAATAAAATTCTTATTTTCAGTGACAGTTTATGCCACAGAAAATTTGAATTTTGGCGGCAAAATAGTACAGTGAACGCTCTATATAAGCAACATTCTTTATATTTTATTTATTATACTCAGTTTAATTAGTAAAAGGACGGTAAGTATTTTTATACTTCTTTTTTTTTTCCTATAAGTTACTTTTTCCAATAAGATTTTTTTTTTATTGAAATTGGTTCAAATGAGTTGCTTATATAGAGCATTCACTGTATTTGAAACTTTTGAAGAAAGTTTGCACCTACTTCAAAATATGAAATATAAGCAACTTAATTTATGTTTATCGTTTTACTTCGCTATTAAAACACTCTAAATAAACAATCAAAAATTATGAAAATTGTTCAGTGGATTTTTTAATTGAGCTGTAAAACCGATATTGGCAAACTTCTATATGAACGCTGTTTAATCAGTTAGTACCGAAAGTTTGTTGTCACTGTTACTTGGTACTTGACAATACATAATGCTATCAGCTTTATGAACAAGTAAGTAAGAGAGATAAAATAATGACCGCAACACGAAGTTGCTTAAATGTATATTTACATAATTATAAAAACATATTTAGGAAATTAAAACTTATCTCAAGTATTTTTTACAAATACATTTCTTTTATATTAATATTTTATTTAATTTTTTAATAAAAGATTATTATTAATTATTTTTATGACTATTCCCAGATCATGATTTGACACAATATAATGTATAAGAGGAACTTTTAGATAATTTTTCGTTTTTAAATCATTGTTGCACTTTTTAAGGACAAAATACCTTAATGATATTATAAGTAATAGAACATAATTATTGTAATGTCAAACCAAACCTTTAATATAATGTAATTTTTAAATAATTATAATAAATCAACTCTCTCAGGTAAAAATATAATTTATATATTTCTATTGCATTTTTCTACTCATAATAGTCTCAATTTAATTAAAAGAAACCGAATTTAAGTATGTAATAATAATATTTTGTTCGGATGACGTGTCTTCAAATTTACAAAATACTATTTTTATTTATATTATATAATTATCATTTATTAGATAATTAATATATACGTTGTAAATATTTGTTTTGTAAAAATATGACTTAAATGAATAGCAAAAACTTTTTTATATACTCAAGAATCTGGTTTCATTTAACTACACACTGCAAATATTTCTGTTGTTTTTTTATGCAATTTATGGCCCTGCTGGTGGAAAGTGCTATTCGTCATTTGTGTGGTAATTAAAGTGGTAATTTCTCGGATTAATTGGGACACAATAACATTTTAGTTAAAACAAGAAATTAATAAATTTACAAAATTTTGTTTTTTTTAGTCTAATTTACTTCTGCCTATTAATAGTAAAAACCTATTTACGAAAATAAAAGTACGTATTATACCATTTTGAAACAGATTTCAGAATAAATTTTAAAAAATATATATTTTAAATAGTTGGCTACTTAGACTTTCATACGTGTTTTTTTTTTTCACTAAGTCCGCTTAAACCAAAGCTTAAACTTTCATAATGAAAAATATAACAAAAATCATGATTAAAATGTAAGTTCAGATTAATGTTTTTAAAAAATTTACAAAACCTATTCATTTGATTTACCAGATTTGTTGTTATAGTCCATGTAGAACATTATAAAGAAATTTCATTGTTTATAGCTATCGTGCACAGACACGCACAGAAGTATGAAAAAATCGTCATTTAAAAAAAAATACTTTATTTGGGTACTAGCTGAAAAATATTTTTTTATTTTATATTTGGAGTCCCCAGTAGCCCTACCCTACTATGGGTGTTTTCCGAATTATCCATTCTTTCTGAGACACTCCATATATGTACAGGTATGTTCACGACCGTAAAATGAAACAGTTTGTGGTGCATCGTTAAATGCAATGCCCATCACTACCGAAACCGGTCCAGGCGACCCAAGGGTACGGCAGTGCGCGGGGTGAGCGGCCGACCTGCGCCTAGATGCAAGCGCAACGCGGCAGAGCGCATCCAAACGAATTACAAGCGAGACCTTTGTCACTGCAGCTAGTATTTGAACTACGCTAATTTAATTACGTCGCAGTTATAACATCCATAAGTTAATAATAATAATTTTGTGGGGGAAGGGATTATTAGTAATAGATTCTAATAGCCGCATTACTAGAAATATACCCTATCAAGTCGACCTTAACGCGGTTCCCCCTGGAAACCATCGTGGTTAATTCTTGATGAATTCTTCACGATGGGCCAACTGACATGCTTTCAACCTTACCTATCATTTATCACTGGGGGCCCATTAGCGTATACCGATAACGGATACGGGGTTACCGTTCCATTTTCACTTATTTAAAAAAGAATACTAATTTGGTTAGCAATTATTCCTTCTCCACAAAAGAGATATAAACAGTCGCTCACAAAAACTAATATCAAATTTAAAAAAAAATATATAATATTAACAAATTTCCTATGTGTACATACAGTGAGTGTAAAAAGTATTCGTACACCTAGGGTTATAATAAAAAAAATACGAATTTGATAGACTATATATTTAAATCAATACTGTTAAATAGTTTAACATTCCCGCACTTTGTTAATGATAATAATTTAATTTTTAAAAAAAAATAATACAAAAAAAAAATATAAAAACGTAAACTAAGCAAATAATGACAAACAAAAAGTATTCGTACATTCATTCGCCCGTATCCGTTTTAGTACTCGTGACAAGGACGGACAAAAAAAAACGCTGAAGAGGAGAGAAAAATAATTATGATTTACGCAAATCCCAATAGACCACGTTCAACCGTACAGACTGTATTGATCGGTTTTCTAAAAAACATTAACAATGTTAAGCAGTTGAATAAACTCGTAATCATAACTTAGTGTAATAATGTATGCGTAAAATGAAATAGCCTTTGTTTACCTTATACTGTCAAAATATCACTTGTCATTTTCAGCAAAATTTTCAGTTTGTTTTACAAATATAATTGTAGGTTATGTGTACATTGTGTTTTTGAAGTGTTTTGCTTTTTTTTTATATATTTATAACAGAAATGTTACAATGTTTAAGTGCAAAAAGATATTCATCGATAAAACTATTAATAAATGTTTGGAACTGTGAATGTCTTTATAAAAACACCAGAAACATACACAATGTAGGTTTAGAAGACATACCTAAAATTACAGTGACCAATATTCGAAAAATACTCCGTCAAAAGGGTTTTGCAGTCCAAAAAGTTTTACAAATATAATGGGTTTACCTCTCTGCAAAAAATATCATCCAAATGTACTGTGAATGTTACACAATGTGTTAGAAGACATACCTAAAATTACAGTGACCAATATTCGAAAAATACTCCGACAAAAGGGTTTTGCAGTCCAAGATGGGTTTACCTCTCTAATATCCAAATGTACGTTATGTTCAGGAGAAGAAAAAACGAGCGGAAGCAAAATATATATTAATAAAGCAACTGGTAACTAAACACATGTATATTTTTTTAATGTATTTTATAGATAAATAAATGAAAAGCATCCTTTTTATAATGCTAAAAGGTAATTCACTAAATAATTTATGGTTTTAGTGCATTGTTGCCATTATTAATCTTTCTTATATTTTCTGTTACTCGATTACGAATTTACGGGCTTTCTGTAATACTAACAATGATACGTTAAAATTGTACAGAAAATGAAGCCTGGATATGATACTAATTAGTCTCAAACATTTGTATACAAAATGGAAATGGAAATTACAAACATAAGCAATCTTATGTATTGTTATAGTTTAAATCACTCCCTATTACCCTTTGAAATAAGAGTACCTACTGACCTAAATTATTTCAAGTTACTTATATAAGTGCAGTAATGACTTGAAAAATGCCTTTGTGTCGTTGCTATATTTTAAACCTTTTTTTCAGTAGTTTTCTATATATCTTCTTTGTATATATATAAGTTCATTTATCCTTTTCCAAAAAACAATGTTTTTTTTTATTACTTCTTTTGACTTTCTATAAACAGATACCAAAAATGAAAAAGTTCTTTAAATTTCAACAAACCATTTATTTATATACACAAAATACTAATTTCCAATTATGCATTGATTAATCTATTTTATTCATGCAGGTTATTTTTTATGCCCTAAGTGCAACATCCATGGTAATTGGAATATCTTAGAAAGACTGCTCAAAAAGACAAAAGGTGAAGCATTTATAAAGGAGATTAGAGAAACTTCCCATAAAGATTTCGAAAAAGTTCAAAATGATTGGCAAGGTGTTGTCAATGAAACTATATCACTTTCAAAATTAAATGAAACAGAGATGTTAGATTTATGTAGACTATTTGAATATCCGGTTAGTATACTCTTTTTATTAATGATTCCAAAAGCCAAAATTTTGAGTAATGTGAATAAAGTATATTATGCTGATTGTATATAATTGGAATAAAAGCAAGAAGATGATGATTTATTGATGATTCCACTAAATATCTGTTTTTCAAAAATGAAGAAACTGGTAGCTAAAAATATGAAGTTTTGTACAGGAGTTCCATATGCAGTATAAATAAATATTAAGAAGAAATTTCTATGAAAATATAATTATATTACAGCAGTACATAGCATTCATTCCCTGTAGGATATGAATGCTATTTCACTCTTTTTTTCTTTTTAAATAATGACAAAGGATTGCAGTGTAGCAACCTAAACTAATTAATAATAATTCTATTATTCTTTACACAGTATCATCCAGAAACCAATAAAATATTGGCAGATGTCAGAATATCGCCTGATCACACAATATTGTATTTTCCTTTGAAAAACACATTAGACAACATAGTTGGTTATCGTAAAGTACAAGCTGGCAAGGAAGATGAATCGGAGCACTATGGTCTACACACAGCTGGTTTATACTCATGTAAAGCACCCAAAGTAGGTCGTAGTGATCAAGCCATTCTAGTACCAACAATACAGGATGTATTATATCTAGCAGGACATAAAGTGCCAGGTATGTCTAAAACTTAAAATAAAAAAATTGTCTTGTAAAAAAACCTTTTTGTTTAATACTCCCAACTCATATGACCCCCTTATTTTATATATGAAGATCACCTCAGCCCATTAAAAATCTGGAGATGGAACCTTACTCCTCTGTATATACATATTTTTGGGATACATACTCAAGTAATAATAATAATGATACATTCACAACAATAGTAACATATAATGACAAAATGTTTTTATATTATATTTTTTATTTTACAAATAAATGGTTGTTATGTCTGAATATTTTTATTATTTTTAGGAACATTAATATGGCTAACTAATTGTAGCCTTCCACCAATTGTGTTACCTGTACTTGAGAACTATCAGAAGTTGTGTTTGTGGGGTGATTGGGACAACATGCGAGCTGTCGCCGAGAAACTTGGCGAGGATAGATGTCGCTTTGTTAGGTAAATTGTATTTTAAAATGTCATATTGGTGCTTCAAACATACATAATTCTTATAAAAAAAATTATTATAGGCCTACAGATGGATTAGTGACTGCTACAGAAGCTGCAATAGCAAATTTATCACTTAAAACACTTGTATCAGAAGCAAAGCCCGCTGCTCATCGGTCCATTACTACATTTGCGGCAATCAGAGATGATGTTTATGCTGAACTCACTAATATTGAAAAGGTATTACTACTCAGAATTATTAGTATTATTACTTGGAATTCATTATTTAAGAAATGTTTTAAAATTAAAAAAAAAATATATATCTTAGTTACAAAAACTGGCTTTTATAATGCATGAAATAGATGGAGAAATATAAAGAAGTGGATAGTAACTTTATTTTTTACTACATAAGATTTTAGTTTTGACTAAAAAATATTTCAGATGAAAGGTATAAAATGGCGCCGCTTCCCAGCACTTACGCGTCTATTGGGCGGCCATAGACGAGGTGAACTTACAGTGCTTACTGGACCTACTGGCTGCGGTAAAACTACGCTATGTGCGGAGATGTCACTGGATCTAGCTCAACAAGGCGTAAGTAAATATACAATATCAAGAATGAAACAAAAGTTTATTACCTATACATTCACTAGAAATTGTAAATTAATCATTAGAACTATTTTCAGGTAAATACACTATGGGGAAGCTTTGAAATCCGTAATTCTCGTTTAGCTCGTACTATGCTGCAACAATTCGCTGGCATACCTTTAGAACAAAACTTACAAGACTTTCAGAAATACGCGGATGATTTCCAGAAATTACCTATATACTATTTAGCATTCCATGGACAGCAACCCATCAAAATTGTTATGGAGGTAAAGAATCTAATATTTTTTTAAATTTTGGTTAGAAAGGTTGAAATCTAACTACCTCATCTGTAACTTTTTTTGTATGCTTTATTGTATCAAAAACAAGAAGACAACAAAACTGTAAAAAATGATGAATGAATATATCCCAATAATCCCTGTCGAGGTTTTTCCAAAAAACTATAGCATGGGGTTCTTGAAAAGGGAGGTAAAGAGGTTTTTTCAGGGTCGGCAACGTGCGCGTATTATTATTATATTATTGGTATCGCGAGCGTTCATAAGCTACGGTAACCGCTTACCATCAAGTGGGTCGTATACTTGTTTGCAACCCCAATGGTATAAAAAAAATACGTGATACCGGTGCAAGATGATAGTGTAGAATGAATCAATTAGTTGGTCTATTCTGTAGTGATAAAATTGTAAAGAAAATCGACCTAAATGATGCTAACAATGAGGACGCTAGATGCGGCTACTAACAACCCTGTGCCAATTTGTCTACAGATATATTTCTGTAAACATATGTTAATATAATATAAACGTAATGTTTGTCAACCCCGGCTACTATGGGGGGAAAAGGATTGTTAGTAATGAGGTCTAACTGATTCTTTGCTAACAATACACCTTGTCAAGTTGACCTCCACGTGGTTCACCCTGGAAACCATCGTGGTTAATTCTAGTGGAATTCGTCACAATGGGCTAACTGACCTGCTTTTATCCTCACCAATCAACCTTCACTGGTGCCCTTGCAGCGTATACCGATAGCGCAGGTGGGGTTACCATTCCATTATCACCTGTTGAAAAAGAACCTGGCTACTTACAATCCCTTTGCCAAATTGTCTACATTTCTATAAATTTATGTAAATAAAATATAAACGTAATGACTGATAGAGTTGTTTTAATCTTTCTATGCAATAAAATCTGAATAAATAAATTTCATTGCCAGGCAGTGGAGCACGCACGTTATATGCACGACATCGCCCATGTGGTGATCGATAATGTCCAGTTTATGCTAGGCCTGGCCGACGAGAGGGACGGCGACCGTTATCAGAGGCAGGACGCCGTTATCGCGGCCTTCCGCACCTTCGCCACCGCAAGGCATTGCCACGTCACGCTCGTCATGCACCCCAGAAAGGTATATCATTAACGACACCACTCACCTATCGTGCACTGTTGAAAATAAATCTATGTTAGTTAGGGGTTAGTATTCATATCGCTAATGCAGAGTCATTATTTCCCATAATACTATCCTCCTCAACGCGATTTGGCTAATTCTTGTTGAATTCGTCACTATAGACTAACTGACCTGCTTTCATCCTTATCTATCATACTTCACGGTACCTCATCAGCGACCAGTGAAACCGCAGGTGGAAGTATCATTCTAATATCATCCATTAAAAAACTCATTGAAATCCTATTAATAATATATTTTTGTAAAGGCCTGAATACATAATCATGACATTTAGTGCATAGACAATATGACGTCCTTAACACATAAGTTTCTATTTTAATTCACGCGGGCAAAGATTACAGCTAATTTATCAATATGTCCAATCCAAGTGAACCGTATAAGCGTCCTAATAATTATAAATATTCAAGAGAAACATCTCGTTTTATAGGTATTTAACCTACTTACTGTCCGAGTGTTCATCACTAGAATTGCTACTGATTCACACCGTATTGTGACTAGGGTTGCCAACTCTCTAAAGAACCAAGCTGGGAGAATTTTATGTTTAAGAATTTTATCGAGTGGAAGAGGTTATTAAACAATAAGTAGTTAATTTTTAAATTTATATTTATTTTGTTTCTAAGCAGCATCTTATATTTGTCGACTTTTCACTACAAAATCATAAAAGTTTTACGTGAAAAATCGAAGTTAAACAACTTTGCTTTTACTTAAAAATATTTACTCCATTTCTTTCCTTGCTCCATCATGCTGAATACGCGCTCGCAAGAAGCATTAGAGACAAGAATAGAAAGAACAAATGAACAAACTTATACATTTAATTTTTTTGAGATTAACCATTATTACCGGAGTGTCCCGGGCAATTCAGAAGGATTGGCAACCCTAATTCTGACCCTGTTTTCATTGTTCAAACTATAAAATCTTTATTTCTAGGAACGTGAATCGGAAGATCTGTCTACTAGTTCAATATTCGGCAGCGCGAAAGCGTCTCAAGAAGCTGATAATGTGCTTATAGTTCAGGTTTGTATATGTAACATAATCTCACTAAACAATATTTCGGTATAGTCGTAGAATACTGACGGATCTTTATATGTATTATTTGTCAGATCAGTCAGTATTCTACGATTATGACGATTTGATATGATGGTTTAAACCTTTATGACGAAGGTATAAATTTTCACTGACTGGCCAACGTCAAGAAACTAACTTGCCAGAAAAACCTAAAACTTAATACTACTGGATGAATTTTATTGTAGTATTCTCTATACACCTTTTTATTTTCGTGAAGCTTTAAATATATCTTACTAATATAACGGCATCTATTATTATATCGATATTGGAATGATAACCCCACCTATTGCTATGGATATACGTTAACTGGGGTACCAGTGAGACAGTGAGAGATCAGGCGCTCTAAACAAGCGAATTCGTTTATGGAATCGACATCGCTAGCGAGTCCGTGAGATAGAAGGAGATAGCAACGTCGGATGTCTCATTCCAACTCACAGGCTCGCTAACGATATCAATTCCATCGACAAATTCGCTTGCCACTTGTCTAGAGGGTCTGGTCAATTAGCCCTTAATGGCGAATACGATAGAAATTAACCGCGATGGTATCTAGGGGCCACCCCGTGGAGATCGACCTGACAGTATGACGGTATATGCAGTAGGAACTAGCGTTTCCATTACTAACATCCCTATCCCCCGTTTGCACTAGTAGGCGCCTTTCGCACCGCGAGTTTTCATCATCATTCATTTTTCATCATTGATTCATCCGCTACACCACTCCAATTTACCTTTTTGTTTCAGGATAAGCGTCTAACAGCAGTTCGGGGGAAGAAATATTTACAAGTGGCCAAAAATCGGTACAGCGGTGACCTCGGCATCGTGCCACTAGATTTCGACAAGGACAGCCTCAGTTATCAACCGAAGAAAAAGAATAAAGCGAAGCAGGATGAACCCGATAAATTATTAAATCAATGTTTCGAAGAATTCTCAGTTAAGGAATCCAATTATGTCTCTGATTTTGAAAACAAGCCGTATAAACAAAAAGAACAGAAACATCGTGATGTAACATCTAATGGAAACAGTTATTTAAGTGATATACTTCATTTGAACAGAACAAGATAATGTTATCTATAGTCTGTTTCAATAGAACTTAATGCAGAAGTAAACAAACAACAATTGTGCCAATTTTATAATCATCATATTTATTTATTGAACATTAGCAGCATTATGACTTCTGATGTCCAATAGTAATACAGATTATAATTCTATTAAGTAATTAGTAATTATAATCTCATTATATCTGTGATAATATTGAAGGAACTTGGTAGGCTTTTCATTAAATTCCATTAAAACAGACTATTCAAAGTAATTTATATTATTGTTATAAGAGTTCATATTTTTATTTGTAATGATTTGTAAATATACAAATGTGAAAAATGTAAATAAATAATTACAAAGTTAAAATATTTATTGTTTTAATTAACTTTTACATAAGATTTATACACATCTTAATATTAATTCAGTGAAACATTAAAAATCATAATTTCGTCATAGTTGTAGAATACTGACAGATCTATATATGTAATATTTATCAGATCCGTCAATATTCTACGACTATGACGATTTATAAACAATAAAATATAACAATATGAAAAATAAAACTGATTCCTAAATATATATATATATATATATATATATATATATATATATATATATATATATATATATATATATACGATTTCAAAGTTTTTATCTAAACACGATACAAATATTAAAAATGCTCATAAAATTTTCAAGCCGTGAAAAAAAAAACATTCCTTGGCAGATAAGCGTTAACATTTACCGCCCTAATAATATGATGAATTTAATAAAAAAAAAATAAGATACTTTACAGATATTACGTTTAACAAAATTTCATAATTACATAAATATATATCACATTATTAATTACTAGTTGTATCTCGGGCTTCAGCCGCGTGAATCAGTTCATAAAGTATTCTATTTTCTAAGTTAGAATATAACCTACGTGTGTATCAAATTTCATGCAAATCTAGTTCAGTAGTTTTTGCGTGAAAGAGTAACAAAAATTAATTCATCCACCATTACAAATTTTCGTATTTATTATATTAATAAGACTATCAGATATCTCTTACTTGCTCATTGAAGATGAATGTCCCAAATAAATAAGCTGAATTCCATTTTTAACTTTTATATCACTACCAAACAATACAAGTACTACTTGGGTATTGGAAAAAAACTTTACATCTGATTGGCATCACACCTAAAAGCCTGTACTACATCAGATATAAAATACAGGTAGATAACAGAAGTGGAATAGAAACTTTGATTGCTGAATCTTTTTTATTGCAGTGCATCTGGAATTATACTAACAATAAAAAATTTAAGCTATTTTTTATTTAAATAATTCTAATCTAGTATTATTTAACAAAAAATAAGTATTTTTTATAATTTATTAATTTATAAGGAAATGCTAAGCACCCATAACCGATGAGCGTGTTTGAGAAGATTGATACAAAGAATTTGGCGTTCCAATGTTTTTGCCTACATTAATGGGAGACAGGTGTATGTATGCCTTTAAAAGTTCTATTACTGCCAGCTCTTATTGGCAATTGTGAAACATTCCTTATTATCATCAATACAAACTTATGGTATGTTGGCAATCAGAAATAAGGTAGTACTAGATATGTAACTGAATAACAAGGACAATAAAACATTTTTTTTTTTTCAACCTTTATGACCAATAGCGATCATAACCATATTTTAAAATAATAAAATCTGAAGCAATATCAATGCAAGTTAATATTGGAATATTATTTACATTTGTAGCAAACAAATAGATTTAAAGAAACAATATTATCTAGTACGCTGATATGAGTACATTACCTACTTAAATATCTATGTATTCAACAAAGGAGTGAACATATAGTCTTAACTTCCTACCAATATGTAGCCACAAGAGAATCCATCTAAATTATATCACATTAATTTCAAGTATTTGTTTAAGATAAGTACTTACCTAAAGTCAAATTCATAATCATATTCATTTATATATTATACAAACTAAAATTGCATTAAAGTATTAGAATTAATGCTTAATACAGTTACTAATAATATAACTAATTTTATAAAAATATAGATTTGGTATACGGAATATAATTTTATATTTTGTATTATTCAGGCAAATTATTTCTACAAGTAAATTATAACATGAGTAATATACACATTACTTAGGCAAAAAATATAAACAATTTTAAAAAATAAAATGCATACCCTTGTACAAAGTCGAGTTAGATTCTACTTATTAAAGTGAGCATGTACCGCATCAACTAATGATATTTCATTTGTACGATTCTGTCTCCTTTTACATTTAGGGCAGGGCATGTTTGCATTTAAACATTTACTGTGGAACACACTCGAGCAATCATTACAACGGTATGTTGTAGTTGTTTCAAAAGGATATAATATCTTTGGATCCCGACATACTTCACATATGAAACCCTTTTGACTACATAGCCAACAATCTAACACATGAGTTTTGGCAAAATTAACAACCTTCTCTAACTGCAGTGCTAAGGAACCATTTGGTATTTGTGCTAGATCAGAGATTGTGTAAAGGTGCACATGGTCATATAAATATTCTCTTGGCCACACTCTCTTTTGCAACTCTTCTATAATAGGCTCTCTACAAGTGAATATGTATGCTCTTAAAAAATTTAACTGTATTCTCAATTCTTGCAATTGGGCCATATCGGAAACACCACAATAAATCTTTGGATTCAGTTTCTTCATATCAATCCAAGGATGATGCTGAAACTCTAACAAAAACAATGCTGATTTCTTGGAAACTGCATATCTTTTGAAGTCCCAATTATGTATTACACGGGCAGGAATTATAAAAACATTGGGGTCCATACAATTGGTACAGTAATATTCTCCAGTATAGGCGCATACCTTTGCTTTCGATATTGTGCTTCCTAATAAATCTTGGCACCCTTTGCATTGATAATTTTGGTTGTCAAGACCCTGTTCTCTAGATAAAGAACCTAGCTGTTGTATCATTTTTTGTAATTCTGGTACAGAGAAAGACCCAGACATAGAATTAGGCACTACTTCAAAGTCTAATCCTTGTAATAATGGATCATCTGGACTAACTGTTTCTTCTGGTATTTCACATATTTCAGTGTCATCTGTCAATTTCAGTTCTTTTTGTATATCTTTTATGATATCTCTTAAATTTGGAGTTGTAGTACTTGTTTCACTGAATGGATTTGAGTTATCAACTAATGAAGACAAACTCTTTAATTCTGGTGTTTTTATCATACTGCTGCCATGTGATGAATTGGAATGCATTGATGCATTTAAGTCATCATGAGTGTCTGACCATCCTTTGCCAGACAAAGAGTTACCAGTTACAATAACATCAGTTGGTGCAACAAAGTCTTCAGAATTTAATGATGATGATAATGAGACATCTGGTTTTTGAGCTTGGCTCGTGGATGGTGCCCCAGCTTCCTCAGGAACAGACTTGTCCACTCCAGCCTGTGATGTTGTTTCCTCTTTTGTATAATCTCTTTTTTCCTCCAATATTTTAGGTTCAGTGGGTCTACTAGTAATGTCTTTTAAATCTTTTGATAATATAAAATCTAATGCCTCATCTTCATTAAGTGCAAGCATACGACCTAGGCCTGTAATGTTGGAAGTATGTGTTGGAGTAGTCACCAGTTTAGGTTTGGTCTCTTCATCAGTAATTGTACTAGCCACATCTAGGGCTGCACTTATTGGTGCAAATCTGATCTTTGGCACCCATATACCAGCCAGCACCAGTACCTGCTCTGGCCATTGATTAAGCAGACTGGAATTTATGGGTAAATTGAACTGGACACATGACTCCAAACCTTCAATAAGCTTTTGTGCTACTTCTAATATCTCAGTATCTGATACAAAAGCTGCCCTGGTGTAGAATGGCTTTACAGCAGATATGTTTTTTAATAATGTGGATAAGTAAGACGAAAGAAGACATTCATTGAGAGCAATACGAAGCCAAGCTCGACACTGACCTATTTCTGTGTTAATCTGGGGTAATGAAGATATCTGATCAATATTTTGTCTATGTGACAGCACTAATATTAGAGGCCAAAAATTCGGTTGTGGACGTTGATCTGAATCACCAGACAATGCGTTTTTGGCCTTTCGGAAAAATGTATCTTTCAAACCATGCAAGAAAACAGCCTCCAATGCCGAGCAAAGTGTATTAGTTGAGTCCGTGGAACCCAGCACGCTGTGGAAATTTTCTTCGAACTGATTGTTGTATTGTATGTCTTTAACGCATTCAGACAAATTATTTATTAAGGATTCTTTGATAATAGTATCACGACTACGAATGTTGAAGCCAGAGGCTACATTCTTAAAAAATGACATTGTCGTTTTCACATGAACAAAACCGAACAAAAGCGAACAAATTAATAATTATAATGATTGGTTAATACTATTGTCCAAAACTATGATTTCTTTACCGTAAACTTAGAGAAACAATATAATTTTCAATGAGCGTTTCAACAACACAAACATTGACAATAAACAGACATGATATGTTATGTCATTTACATATAACAACCACAGATTATAGAGACTATGTCTAAACCTAAGAACAAGGAATTACATAGAGGGAATGATAGAATAAAATCTGTAAATTATATAGTTGCCTCATTTCTACCATCAGATGCTATTTTTTCTCAATTCATACCAGGCTGTAATCTATAATATAAAATTTGTCATTGACAAATAATTGATATATCAAACATTTTCTATAATAACCTGCTATGAATTCAAAAAATAGCAACTTCTGATGTACCTTTCGTCCTATTTTTACTTATTATATTTGCATAAGAAGAAAGGAGATAACCATATGAATTAAAGTTTTCATTTTGTTATTCCTTCTATGTAATTCCTTGTTCTTAGGATTGAAGTGCCTTCTCATAAAAAATTTGTAGCTCTAACGTTAAAGTTAAAATGTCAATGTCAGTTGAAGTCGGTAATATCTACATATCTATCCTATTGTTTTTATTTATCAGCTGTATAAGTTTACGAATTAATTTATTTTTAGGTTTTAAATTTATTTTTTATTCTAAAGCATAAGATATTAAGCCTCATTAATAACTAAAACTATCGTTGTTTAAATTTATTTAAGTAAAGTGGCTTGCGGCGTTTGAAGGCATGTTTAATATTTTTCTTAGATTGCTATTATACTCGTATGCTTTCGTAAATATTTACACGTTTGCTGAAGAATATTCAAAAACCGAAAATAATGGACAAGGTAAAAATAAAGGCATGTTTATTTTACACTCAAATATATGGTAGTATGATAATAATTTCTATATTTTTTCAGAAGTGTTATTATGCCGCAAGTGTGGAGCTGACGTTGCAGATTCTTATTATTTGTTTAGCAAATTAAGTCCAGGATCACGTAAGATTGAAAAGCAAAATTTGTTCGGCAAACAAAATGTTACCATACAAACCTTGGTCAACCCATTTGGAGTAAAGTTCGAAATAATTACCACAGAGAAAGCAAGATGTGATAATATTGGGCCTGTAAGTCAAATAAACATATAGTAATGATACAGTGAAATTATTTCTGGTATATTAATATATTTTTTTAGATTAAGGACCATGTCAAACTGTTATTTTTGCAATTAGATTTTTTTATTTATTACATTAATTTTTTTAGCGTCAAGGTGCAGATTCTTGGTTTCCAGGCTACGCCTGGCGGATATGTGCATGTCCACACTGTGGGCAGCATCTTGGTTGGACATTTGACAGTTCTAAAAGTCCTGATACCAGTACTGAGAAATCACAAAATATACAAACATTTCATGGATTAATACTGAGTAATGTTCTTGGAGAAAATTGTAAGTACTGAAAATTTCTCTACAATTTTAAATAGATTTTATATTATTCCCTCCATATGGCCATAGCTAGAGGAGGACATTGAGGGGCAATGTTCTACCTTAAAAAGCTCAATGCCCTACCTTAAAGTGAAAGGCTCTCAGAAAATTAGGCAGATTTGCTCTTTCAAAGTCACTTAATTATAGCTTCTGCTCTACCAAAAAGTCCTTAAACATAGCTTTAGCTATAACCCTGTTCCTTCCAAAAGATTACAGTAGTAAATTTAATAAAAACAAAAAAAAAAATAGTAAAGATTACACTGAGAAAACAATGGGTGACTTTATTGCTAAAAGTCATGTCTTCCTTTTGGTGAAGAAGCATATAATAATATATTATATATACATATATAGGACATGCCTCTGATTAACTCATAAGAGATTATAATCATAATATTTTTTTTTACTATGTAATAATAATTTTATACATAGATTTAATATATTTTTTCAGTTACAGATTCATTGATAATGATGCCGAAAATGTACAAAATGTGAAACATTGTAAAATATTATTTTGTAAAGAGAAATTTCTATTTAAATAAAATTCACTTGTTATAAATTTTGTATTTTAAATATATTTTTTCACATAGCCCTATTGTTAGATAGGATTAAAACACAAATCTAGGCAATTACCATTTATTTTCACATCTCTATAACAAAAATACTTTTGAAAGTATAAAAATGACCTTAAATATAGAAACATGTCCAAAAAAAATGTTTTAGTGTTGAAAGCAAGAAATTATTTTTATACAACAATATAAATGTAAAAATATCCTGGACAAGTACAATTGGTCTCTGATAGCAAACAAAAATTCTTTCAGTCAATTACAATAGAATGATTACTTATTTTGTGGCCATGGCTATTATAGTCATGCCTATAATTTTGTTAGACTAGATACAGATTCAAAATTCTTTGTTTATTGAGGATGAAACTATTAGAAATTTTATCCAAATATGTCAAGTTTCATCTAAGTTTAAAAGACAAATTATCCATATTTTCTTAATACCTGCTACATAATTACCTTTTTACTTCCACTAAAATTTGATGATTCTCTATGCACTTGCTTTGTTGCATGTTCAGATTTTTTTTACTACTTAGAATGGCAAACAAACTGATGGGCATAATAGTTATTTACTTAATGGGTATGATATTTTAGGAGTTTACCTTTTTACATCTTATCTCTATATATTTATGAATAATTAATTAACAAAAACAGTTTACTTATGCTCAGTAATCATATTTTAATTATTAAACAAAATTACAATCAAACTTATCCTAATAATCTATTTCTTATCTATGTACTAGCAAATCTTTGATGTAGAGATTGCCCCGTGGCAGCTGGAGTAGGAGTAAAATTGACACCTGTAGGTGAATCATTACCAGAGTTATTGCCATATGTTTTTCCCTGTATAGCAGCAATTTCCTTTTGCAGTTTAGTATTTAATACTTGTTTATTCACAAACTTTCTGCCAATACCTCTGTTTCCTCCTCTACCCCTTCCACGTGATCTTGTGGACCTTCTGCTGTTATTGGACTGATTAGAACGGTTTGATCTGTTTGACCTGTTAGATCCTACTGATTTGACACTACCTGGACCTCTTCGAGTGTTATAACCACCAAATTGATTATTAAGCTGTGCTAGACTCTGTCTATTTAAATAACTAGAACTTCCAAAACTATTACGACGCCTCTTAGCAAAATCATTTGCTACACTGACTGTCAGTTGTGAAGCAGAATTGAATGAATTATTTCGAGATCGTGTGAATGTCTGTGACCGTATAACATTATTCTGCATAAGGAGATTCTGCCGTTGTTCCTTCAAAATTTGATCCGACCTTAGTCCTACTGCACTGTATCTGTTACCAGTGCTTAAACCACGACCACGTTTAGAGATGCCTCTCTTAGCAACAGCCAAAGGCTTCCGCACATTGTTTGCAGCACCTCGACGTGTGGTTATACCAAGTCTACTGTGTACATTACCATATAAGTTTGGATTTGAATTGGAGCGTCGGAGTCTATTCTGCTGGCCACCTAAAAGATAAACAGTGTTATTGAAAATTCATGATATAATTATAATTGTTATGTATAAAAATAATGGGTAATTTGATTAAGTCAATTGATGTGGGTACCTGTATAATAGTTATGACAATTAAAATAGTTTTGCTTCCAATCTCAACCAAGTTGTATCTTTTAATGGCGACTGATGAAAATAAATGTAATTATGCGAAAATGACGTCAAATCTTACGAATATAGTGCTTCCGGGACATTTTAATCCAAAAACAGATAAATGGAGGGATTATAAAGAGCAGTTATTATGTGCGCTCGATGCCGCGGGTTATGGTGAACAGAACATCGATAAAGCGCGTTCATTGTTTTTATCTCAGTGTGGAAAAGACACTTATGGCTTAATTGTATCTCTATTAGTACCAAATCGACCAACTGAAGTGGAATTTTTCCATATACTACATGTTTTGGACAAATTTTATGAACCGGAAATTAATGAAATTTTACAAACGGAAAAATTTCATAAACGTCATCAATTACAAAATGAAAGCGTGCAGGACTTTGTAGCAGCTATAAGTTTATTGGCTGTTAAGTGCAACTTTTCGGACTTGCAACGTCAGTTGAGAGACAGACTGGTGTTAGGGGTTGGTGATATACGCTTGAAAAGAGAATTATTGAAAACAGAAAAGCTAACTTATGAAAGTGCTTTACAAATGTGTCTCAATTATCAAGCTACATGTTTGGATTTATACCCTGATAACATCCTGCAGAAGCAAACTCCGTTCCATGTTACGGAACCTATGGAAATTGGTAGGATAAAGTCAAATGACTGTCGACATTGTGCAAGACTACATAAAACTGGTGAGCGCTGCCCGTTTGTGAAAGCAAGATGTTACTTTTGTAAACGTTATGGGCATATCGCATCTGCTTGTGAGAGGAGATTGGCGAAAGTGCATCAGACTACAGAATGTGGGGAGGGAAGCTGTAAGTCCTTGCCCGAAGAGATGTTGGGGGTGTATAATTGTACAGAAAAGTACCTTCCAGCAATTAGAGCTGATGTGATAATAGATGGTGTGAGCCTTTCCATGGAAATTGACTCTGGAGCTTCGAGAACAATTATTTCAGAGGAAACTTATTACAAATTATGGGTAACACCACCCCCACTGAATCCTACCAACATAAAATTAGTGACATGGACACGTGAACCACTGAAAGTGCTGGGACTGGCTAATGTACGGGCTAGTTTAGGTAACAAGGAGGCACAATGTGAGCTGTTGGTGATAACAGGCAAGGGACCAAGTTTATTAGGAAGAAATTGGTTCAACCCTCTGGATATACATGTTTCTGGATTGTGCTGGTCTAATGAAGAGTTAGCATCCTTCATAGACAAATTTCCTGATTTATTTAAGAATGATTTAGGAGAATACATTGGTCCAGAAGTTTCATTACATGTACGACCTGAGATGGCACCGAAGTATTTTAAAGCTCGACCAGTACCATTTCCACTTAAACAACAAGTGGAAGCTTCTTTGAAACAGATGATTAATGATGGCGTTTTGACACCAGTTAAGTATTCAAAATGGGCCACACCAATTAGAGTTGTTAAGAAAGATGATGGCACACTCCGTATCTGCGGAGATTATCGTGCCACTGTTAATGCTGCTATAAATACAGATACATACCCACTGCCCACATCAGTAGAAGCTTTTGCAAAGTTAAGTGGAGGACGTGTGTTTAGTAAATTGGATCTTAAGCAAGCTTATACACAGGTGAAGGTGGATAAGGAGACAGCTGAACTGTTAACGCTTAACACTCCTATGGGACTCATGAGGATGAATCGTTTGGCCTTTGGTGTGAGTGCGGCACCAGCAATTTTCCAGCGATTAATGTCAGCAGCCCTTGTAGACATGGAAGGAGTAGCATGCTTGCTCGATGACATTGCTGTATGTGGGAGAAACATTGAAGAACATAATGAAAGGTTATGCAAAGTTTTAAGCAAATTGAATTCAATGGGATTTCGTCTTAATGTAAAGAAATGTGTATTTGCATCAGACAGCATTACCTTTCTGGGACATATGATTGATGGTGAAGGACTACATCCATCTCCAGTAAAGGTCAAGGAGATTAAAGAGAAACCAGCACCTCAGAGTAAGGTGGCGTTACGGGCATTTTTGGGTCTTTATAATTTTTATGAAAAATTCTTGCCTGACAAAGCGACGATTCTTGAACCATTGTATAGGTTATTAGATGCAAAACGACCCTGGATATGGGGTGAAGCCGAACAAGTGGCCTTCAACAAAGCTAAGAATCTTTTATCATCAGATTTGACATTAGTTGGATATGAATTAAACAGAACACTGCTATTAATTTGTGACTCCTCTGATTATGGTCTAGGAGCTATGATTGTCCATGTGATGGATGATGGATCAGAACGACCGATTATGATGGCTTCACGAACTCTTCAGCCACATGAGCGGCGTTATGGACAAATTGACAAGGAAGCCCTGGCAATTATATTTGGTATCACAAAATTTCATGAATATTTGGCAGGACGTAAATTTGATATTATTACGGACCATAAGCCGCTTGTTGGTCTGTTTAACCCTTTAAAACCTATACCTGACCAAATATCACCAAGAATGTTACGGTGGTCGCTGAAGCTTGGTTGTTATAATTATAATATTAAATATAGGCCAGGGAAACTTATTGGAAATGCAGACGCCCTTAGTCGATGGACAGTGCCTAATACGTCTGCAGGGGAAGAGGAACGTCTAAGAGAAGTACTTTTACTTGATGAGCAGCCAGAGGGGTGGGACCTTGATGTAACACGGATTGCAGTAGAAACTAAGAAAGATCCAATTCTACAGAAAGTTATGTTTCATGTACTACATGGCTGGCCCCGTTCTAGTCCAAATATGGAAGTGGAACCATTTTGGTCTCGCAGAGAGGCTCTTTCTCATAGTAAAGGATGTTTACTATGGAGCAACAGAGTTATTATACCCAAAGCACTGCAGAGTAAAGTTTTGGAATTATTACATGCTCCCCATGCTGGCGTTGTTCAGACTAAGGCTTATGCTAGAGGATATGTTTGGTGGCGTGATATGGATCTACACATTGAGAGAATTGTGGCAGACTGTGTGCATTGTCAACAAGTGAGAAATAATCCACCGAAAGATCCACAGGCTTGGATACCGTCGGAGAAACCTTGGGGTCGGGTGCATGTAGATTTTGCAGGACCCTTCCAAGGTAAAACATTTTTTGTACTGGTGGATAGTTATAGCAAGTGGTTTGAAGCCGAGATTATTCCATCAATGAGCAGTGAGACAATTATTAATGTATTAAGGAAGATTTTCGCTGCACAAGGATTGCCTGATATATTGGTATCTGATAATGGCAGGGCTTTTAGTTCTGAAGAGTTTAACTCTTTTCTGAAAAAGAATGGTATAAAGCACAAGTATTCACCCCCGTATCATCCTGCGACTAATGGGCATATTGAACGTGCTATACAAACATTTAAAAATAAACTTAAGAAATTTTCATATGCCAATTGTAACATATCTTGGCCTGAAAAGCTATCGAAAGTATTGTATCATTTACGCACAGTACCGAATAGCACTAATAAAACACCAGCGGAAATTCTAAATGGCCGTCGATATAGAACTGCTGTTTCCAATTTACACCCTAATTGTGTACCAGATGATGCCCAGAAGCAACTTGAAGCTGTAGCCCAACAGTCTCGAAACAGAACGTTTAATATAAATCAAGCAGTGTTAATTCGGGTTTATGAGCCAGGACGGAAATGGCTCAGGGCTACCATTGTGGAGGTTGAAGGTCCAACCACATATAGGGTGAGAACAGAGGATGGGGAGATACATAGGCGCCATGTAGATCAGATTTTATCACGTGGTAGCAAAGAGCATACTATGCGCCAACGTAGACCATCCTGGGATCAACCAGATGATATTGTACCTGAGGCTTCGCCTGAGATTGAAATACCAGACCCTGATTCCTGGCCAGATATAATTGGTATACCTAGGGAATCTGTGTAGTGTTCATGTGTTGTGATTAATATAAAGAGTATCTTAGTCTTATGTGCTGATTTCTGTATTTGTAACTATTATAGATATTAATTGTACTTCAAGATTATAGGGGTGAGATATGTTATGTATAAAAATAATGGGTAATTTCTTCTTCTTCTTCTTTTTTAATAAAATATGGCTTCCACCGTAGAAGCTACGGTGATTTTCTGCCAATGTCAGGGTTAGAGAAGACTCCGTGTATTTTATATTATGACATTTTTCAGTAATGAAGATAAATCGTTCAGTTGAGTTCTCTGGAAAGGAGGACAACACAAAATATGTTATATACATGCAAAGGAAAAATAAATTTAATATAATATGTGTGTATGAGTGTATTATAGCAAAGGCAATGCGCGGAAGGAATGAAAAGACGAGAAGTGTAAAGAGTGACATATACTTATATTTTAAATTTTTATATTATTAGTACATATAAATTTGGCCAGTACCTTAACCAAAGGAGAGTGGACTAAGGTAAGAAGGAATGGAATATTTACAGGACGTGGAAAGGTACGAGGCAACAGGTCATAGAGGGGAAGGGTCAATTTGGGGCATTCAAAAAATAGGTGCTCTAACGTTCCTTCCGCTAAGCCACATTCGCACAGAGAGTGATCTTGTATTCGGATTTTGTATAAAAATACGGGTGTGCAGACATGTCCCAAACGTAGGCGGCATATAACTGATGTAACCCACTTATCTAAGTTTCGTTGAGTAGCAAACCATGGTTTTATAGGGATGAAGGGCTGGATATTACCATAATACTTGCCTTTAGATTGTCTAGTTTTTTGCCACAAGTTATCCCAAGCTTCTAACATGTGTGGTTTAGCCTGACAACGTAGATCTCGAGTGAAATAAAAATTGTAATTATTACCATGTTGGATAGCATTTTTGGCCCAAGAGTCTGCTGTTTCATTTCCAATAATTCCTGAATGACTAGGAATCCACGCAAGGGTAACATTAATACCGGACTTGTAGCACCTATGTAAAATTTGTTTAGTTTGCAAAGTTATGTAAAAGTTTTCTTTGGATTTAAAAGGTAGTTTTAAAATATCTTGTAAACAGCTTAGGGAGTCCGAAAGAATGAGGGTTTTGTTTAATTTATGTGTTTCTACATAGGACACTGCTTCCATAATAGCTATGGATTCACCAGTAAATGTTGAGGATGAAGGAGAACATTTGAAGTTGAGGACAACGTTATATTTTGGAATCCATACAGCGGCTCCAACATGATCTGATTTGTCAGTTTTAGAAGCGTCTGTAAACATCAGAAGCCAGTCGTGCCATGTTTCCGCGACAATAGCGTTAAACTTTTGATTAGCAAAAGGTAAATGTTTTACTAATCCAAAATCTAGAATTACATTAGGACGATAAATTAGAGAATCATAATCAAATTCGAAAAGAGGGTTACGGTCTATTTTTTTAATAAGTGAGATCGGGTTTTTGTACTTGGTAAAGCTCTTAAGGATGGGAGGGGTTCTTTATGGGTCCAGTAACTTGATAGGTTTATTTGTTCTGAGAGAGACTCTAAGATAGGAAGGAGAGGATGGGAGTTATATTGAGCAATATTGAGGTAAAAGCGGTCTGAGAGATATTGTCTACGTAGATGGAGAGGGGGATCTAGACATTCGACTTGCAGAGCGTTTGCTGGAGATGACTTCATTGCACCAATAATTATACGTAAGCACCTAGTTTGAACTCTGTCAAATTTAGCTAGAGCAATTTTGTTGCAAGGTTCTAACAGAAATGAGCCATAGTCAAAGTGACTTCGGATAATAGCATTATATAAGAGTTTTTGGCTATATGGATGAGAACCCCAACGTACACCAGAAAGGGCTTTTAAGATATTAATACTACTTTCGCATTTATTTACTACGTAGCTTAAATGATGCAGGCCTGTTAATTTTGAGTCCAGGATAACACCCAAAAATTTTACTTTATCTTGTACTAAGATAGGTTCGTTATTTAGAGAGAGTTCAATAACGGGGATTTGTCTCTTGCGGCTAAAAACGACCGCTGAGCACTTTGGTATAGAAAGTGTTAGCCCATGATCATCTAGCCACTGATTGAGGTAATATAACGCGGAATTTAGGCGGGAAGAGGAGTCAGAAAAGGAATCTGAGGCGATATACATAGCAATGTCATCCGCATATTGTAGGATTTTGCAGAAACAAGTAACGGAGGATTCAAGGTCAGATGTATAGATATTATATAAAAGGGGACTAAGGACAGAGCCCTGTGGGAGACCTTTCCAGACCAGTCTTGAAGGAAAAAGAGAGCCATTAACACGCAAGGAAATCGATCTAGCCATTAAGAGATTACATATGATAGTAGTCAGTCTCACAGGAATACTCAGATTTTGCAGCTTTTGCCTGAGTATTGGAAGCTGGACATTGTCATACGCAGACGAGATATCAAGGAAAATTCCTATGAGGTGTTCATTGCAGGAGAAAGCAAGGCGTATTTCCGAAATAAGGACACTAAGGCTATCTGTAGTACCCATGCCACGTCTAAATCCAAATTGTAATTTGGATAATAAACCTTTACTTTCTAAAATCCATTCAAGTCTATGTTTAATGAGAATTTCTAGAATTTTTGCCAAGGCCGAAGATAGGGCAATCGGTCTGTAAGAATTTGGATCGTTAGGATGTTTTTGGGGTTTTAAGATGGGAACTATAATTTGGGATTTCCAAGATTCAGGTACTATTCCAGATAAGAAGACACAATTAATAATATCCAGAAAGTATTTTTTACCTGACATGGGTAGATTACATATAAAAGAATATGGGATGCCGTCAATTCCTGGAGAGGAGTCATGGAGATGATCAAGGGCGCAAATCAATTCTGGTAACGAGAATGGTTCATCCATTCTGTCACCACTAGAAGTTGGAGGAGTTGCATAAGGAAGGGAATCTTCTGAGGGGACAAAAGGTGGAGCAAGCCTATCAAAAAAAGCATCTACCCATAACGAGGGATCATTCGATGTTAAATTATGATTAATAGTTCCATTGCGAAATGAATTGATTTTATTCCATACAAGAGAGGGGGAGGCTCTTGGAGATAAGGATTCACAAAACCTATGCCATCCTGAAGATTTTTTCTTGGAGAGCAGTCTCTTTGTGCGAGCAGCTATCTTACGATAGGAGAGGTAATTATCCATCGTCAAGTTTGATAAATAAGTTCTTTCAGCCTCTTTTCGCAGCTTGACACTATTTGTACACTCAGAGTCCCACCAAGGGGGGAAGGGATTTTGTTAAGAGTAGAATTTTTAAGGGGGATCGAATCATTAGCTGCTGATGTTAAAAAAGTAACAAAATTATTGTAGGTTTCATGAAAATTATTTATACTTATGGCAGGGAGGGAACAAAATTTATTTTCTAAAAGACTGGAGAATTTATGCCAATCAGCTTTATCTGTTTTATATTTTAGAAGTGGACTGGGGACAGACGTAGGTTTGGAATAAGTATTATAGAATGTAATTAAGATAGGAAGATGGTCACTACCATATGAATTAGGTAGGACTTGCCATGTAAGTTTAGTGACTAGGGTAGGGGATGCAAGTGTTAAATCAGGACAGCTGGGGTTTTGAAGAGGGGATACTCTACGGGTACTAGATCCATCATTCAGCACGCAGAGGTCAATGTCGTCGAGTAGATCTAACAAGTATGTGGAAACTGTGTCAGTGGATTGTGAGCCCCATAATGTGTGATGGCAGTTAAAATCTCCCATGATAATAAAAGGAGGACAGAGAGTCGATAGGAGTGACTGAAGCTCAGAGAGTATGGATTGATTTGGATGAGGGATATAAATAGAGACTAAGGTAATACCAAAGGTTTTGACTGCTACTATTTGAAATTCTGGACTGTGTGAGGGGATGGGGATTTGGGAGAATGTAGTAGATTTTGTAACCAGAAGAGCGGAACCCGCCCATCCGTCGGCTCTGTCATCCCGGAGGCATGAGTAGCCAGGCACTCTGAATGTAGTGCCAGGTCTTAACCATGTCTCCGAGATGGCAAATGCCACTGGTTTAAATTTATTGAGTAAATATATAAGATCATGTTTTTTATTTAAGATACTCCTAGTATTCCATTGTAGGAGGTTTAGGGTCATTTTTTAAGAAGGAGGAGAGGAGGAGCTGCAGTAATTGTTGGACATTGTTCGGTAATGCATCTGAAAATTTTGATATAATGTTAATGAGGGTACAAACAAGAAGTTCCACCAGATTGTCATTTGGGGTAGGGAGAGGAGTTGTTTCCTCATATTTTTGTTGGCCTATAGCAGCACAACCATTAGGTTGAGAGGATTTGGGTGTCTGAGTAATATTATTATGTGCAGATATGTCATACGATTTACCCATGGGGGGACGAGGTCGGGGAGTTAAAAGGACTGTTTCACGATATGATTTTCTGGGTGATGAGGATGGAGATGATGTAACTGAGAATTGATAGTTTGGAGGATGAGAGGTTTGAGGTTGGTGTAAATTTTGTTGAGTCGATGTTACATCAGCATATGACCGCTTTACAGAAGGAAATCGGACAGATGCCTCCATGTGGCTTATATTTTCTTCAGCCATTACAATTTTTATACTTTTTTGTCTTGCATGTTCGGGACACACCGACTCTGTAGCTGCATGATTATCACTGTCACAGAGTATGCAATGTGGTTGTTCCTTACTTTTATCACATGCATCACCTGCATGTTGAGCACCACAATAATAACATCTAGGTTTAGATCGACACTGAGTACGAATATGGCCAAACCTACAGCAATTTCTGCATTGAATAAGAGGTAACCTATATAGCAGAACCGGGAGAGAGGTATCAAAACAATAAACTTTTTCTGGAAGAACCTGCCCTTCAAAAGTCAATACAACTGAAGATGAGGGAATCCAAGTGACTGAGTTGTCCGGTTTATGAGATTTGACATTTAATCGTCTAGCTCTTATCACTTGTCCACAATTAGGAGGAGTATCGATATTTTGGACCAGTTCCTCAAGGGACCAGTCATTAGGTATATTACGAACAACCCCCATTCGGGAGATTTGGAATCTTGGGATGCTAGCAGAGTATTTATTATCTGTAAGGAGTGGATTTTCAACAAAATTGTTGGCTTCTAAATGATTTTTAAATTCAACAGATATCCTATTACGACCTAATGCTTTGATACCCCCCTTCCTGATTCCTGTGATTTTATTTTTGTGTAAGAACTGCGCAAATCTTAATAGTTTTATTGATAATCCAGTTGAAACATCGGGTTCTATTCTTGTTACATGTACGGAATAAGGAGCCGCATCCTGGGGATTATACTTTGCTTTTGAGTCACTCTCAAAACCTGGTCTGGTGTAAACAAATTGTATTGATTCTGAGGGTGGATTAGTTTTTTTCCCATCCCTATTGTCAAGATCCAAAGACGCTCGTCTTTTCCTTGTATTACCTACCAGGGATTGAGAGGGCTCCAAGCCATCATCGATAGGTTCTATAGGTATACCTCCTATATCGGGAGGATCCTCATCACCGCTCACCTCCATAATTACGGAGGTGGAGCGAATATACACATAAGAAACTACTTACCACACACCACTAAGAAAATAGGACAAACACAGGACAAAATGAAATAAATATAAGGATTCTCAACACAATATAACACTAAATAATAAAGATTCCAACAAAAAACGTGTATTCACTAACACCTTCAAGTGACAGTATCAAATGGGTAATTTGATTAAGTCAATTGATGTGGGTACCTGTATAATAGTTATGACAATTAAAATAGTTTTGCTTCCAATCTCAACCAAGTTGTATCTTTTAATAATAATTTCAAAATATTATTTAAAAAAGTTTTGTTAGTATTTTATTTATGTTTGTTTATAAGGAATTTATTTACCTCGGTTATTAAATCTGCCCGTTCTGACTAGTGGAGGTATTTCAGACTGTTGTTCTTCAAGGCCTGCTCTGCCTTTGGGAGTTAAGCCTCTAGTAAAACGAGATCTCGAGTTCGATCTCCCCCGTGAAACAGAACGACGACGTTGACGGGAGCGCGAACGTGCTTGTGATTGTGAGCGGGATCGTGATTGAGAGCGTCCCCTCGGGCCACGTGAGCGAGACCGGCCCTGTCTAGGTATTGGGGTGTTGGAGCGGGTCTGCGAACGGCCGCGGCCGCCACGACCGCGTCCCCGACCACCACCTCTGCCGCCGCCACCTCGGCCTCTGTCTATTCCACGTCCTCTATTTGTACCTCCACCTCTTCCACGGGATCTACTTGTTCGTATTTGTTTATTCTGTTGAATTATTTCATCTGCAAATACGTATTAAAATCATTGAAGTCCAATAAAAACATATTGTTCTATTTTTACAACACGCGTCACACCGCTTTTTGACATATGTTCAATTATTATAATGAATTAAAATGTAAATGGTAATCTACGTAGAAATATTAAGATAAAGTTAATTTTAGGTGGTAAATAAACAGCACATTTCAAAATAAAAGTAAAGAGCCACAATTCTTAGTTGTAAGTCATTAAAAGTTCTTACCTAAAGACATATTCACTGAATCTGTCATTGTAAATCACCGAAGTATGGTTATAATATTAAAGAAATTATTTTTCTAAATACACAATAAATATTACGAGAACAGATCGTAATGTCCACTAAGAAAGCTTGGGTTATAAGGTTAACTTCTATTTTATAGCTTTTTATTTCATTTGTCAAAATACAAACAGCGTCAAAAAACAGATTAAATTACTTTAACACAAGTTCCATAGACATTGTTCTTCATCTATGTTCATACATTTTAAAATTTTTGTACTGGCAACTGATTAACGAACATTCATCAAAAATATTCAAAAGTCACACGCAATCAACTAATACAAACACGGGTGTATTGTTATATTAATAAGCAAATTTTTAAGAGCATTCATAATTTAACTTGTTGAAATGTGACAACGTCGTAAAATGCTTTGTCTAGAAACTATAACGTTAATCATGTAGTAAATTATTAAGTTATCTTTGGAAATTTGGATTACGATATTAAATAAGTATTTAAAAAATTTCAAAGTAGAATATGTAGGTACATAGTTTTAATTATAGATTTATGTGCAACCTGTTTTATTATTGATGTTTTACTTCATAGACATGTTAAAGTTGCAGCTGAATACCTACCTTGTTCAGAATAGATTTAATAGAAAGATAACCAACATTAAAGTAGTAGTAGCAATTGTATTGAGCACAATAGATTTAGTTCTTAGTCTAAGTAACTTGACAGTTTATAATAAACACACACTAAATACATGAAATATTATATCACACCATTGTATTAAAATATTATTTAATTTTAACGACAGTATTTCAGATAAAAGTCAATGCATAAGACCACGACAAATATTAAGGTTACTAGGCAATAATATTTTTCTTTTTCAACTTTCATTAAAGAGTTTATTAATACCTAGTTTACATCTTAACATGACAGCACTTTTTAAATAATGAATCGGAAATATTCAAATATTGGGGAAGGAGTTTTTCAGGGGGGGGGAGGATTATTAGTAATGAACGATAACAAATTTATTGCTAGGAATAACCCTATGGAGTATGAGTACAAATGCAATATAAATAAATGTAAATAAATAACATAAAACGTCCAATCTAATAAAAATGAGTGAGTTTCTGTGTTATCATATAGCGCCTATTAACTATGATTGCTGTTTTTTTTTTTAATGGGTGAAAATGGGATGGTAACTACGCCTGCGCTAACGGGATACGCTGGCGGAGCACCAGTGAAGGGTGATAGATGAGAATGAATGATTGTTCTGTTGTAACTATAAATGTTCACATACTACATAGGATTGACGATATATACTACTTTTCAACTCGGCCATACGCACCAAATCGCTGGTAAAATAATATCAATAAACTATTTAAAAATATTAATATATGCGTTAGCCTTTGACAGGTACCGAACGAATATATGGCCGTTATACAAATAGAAAAATGGAGGGAAAACGTTCTGATTACTTACATATTACTAACTGTATACAGCAATTTCACCCGTTTAATAATACATAAAGAATCCTATGTGTTTAATTAGAATATGGCCTAATCGTGTAGCAAATCCATTGAGTAGTTTGAGTGAAAGAGTAACAAACATCCATCTATTCATCCACTTATTCCAGACACCCGCTAGGTTTCGAGATAAAGAATAATATAATATTTAAGAATTAAAGTTTTAACTGCTGCTGTGAAAGGATAAGATGAAAAATTAGTCTGCATTCAAAGTTTATACTTATGTGAAATTTTATTAACAAAATGAAAATAGGTGAAATAAATAACATAATATGTATATTTTTACGAAATATTAATTTGTACAATATTTTATTCTCATTATAGTTAAATTAAAATATCCCTCTATACTCAGAGGACAACAACGCAAATAAAATACAAACTGAGTGTTTATACATCTAAACAATACCTATATCCGAAACTATCGTAAAAATAATTAATTATTAACACTAAGAAATCATCTAAAATGTATCTCCCATATGGGTATTAATATTCGACAATTTTCAATTGACTGGATAGTATGTACAAATTATTTTAATCTACTTTTACAATATGAGCCGAGTTTGTAAAGTGAATCACAGTTTAATTAATGGTGTTTACAACTTGAAGGCCGTTATCGTAGGCGCGACAGCATCGTTAAGGCCGTGATATATTACTACATATTTAAAATACACTGGATGCAATAGACACACACTTTAGTTTCTCTAATGGAAGATGAGTCAATAATATCAAACTTAAGTACATCTTATTCGTGCAAAAATTGAGTTACAATTAATGCTAAATATTGTGCAATACTTTTCATATATGACATAAACAACTCAAAAATTACAATTATGACAAACATACAAATTATTCAGTTTCAGTGGTGGCAATTAAAAATAGCATATTCCATGAATATTTTCTGAAAATATCATGTCATTATAGTATTTTAATCTCTTATAAAATGCACAAACTTCAATGTTATACAAAAATATACAATTTTATATTGCTCACTAGATCGGATGATAAGAGACACCGAAATAGAAAACAACAATTCTAGCATAATATTCAGAATTTCATAATTTATTATGCTACAGGAATGAGAGGTCGTCGATCGGCGACGAGGTCACACAACGCTTGGCACCTTTGAGTATTTACGCTATCATTATTACAATCTAATCGTACCAGTATTCTTTCAGAGAAACCGCTACGAACTAAAGGAGGCACACGATTCAGGTCGACGAAAAGGAGGTCGAAAAATATAGTAGAAATAAATACGTCACTAGTCGAGTTCGTTCACAGCCGTGGGCCGGCGGCTCTAGAGGCGGATGTCGCTAGTGGCCGCGGCCAGCAACGAGGCCGCGTGCGGCCGCCGCCACGCGGGCGCGTCCAGCGTGTCGCCGCCGGCAGCGCCGCCCGCGCCGCCCGTGCCGCGAGCGTCCGCCGCGGCCGCCGCGCCCGCCGCGCCGCCCCCCGCGCCTTCCGCATCCGTGCGCACGAACGCGCGGCACTGCACGTCCTCCTGCGCGCCGTACCGATGTAGGCTCAGAAATTTAAGGTTGGCCACTATGGAAGAGTTCATATGCCTCGACTCCCGCGGTATGTTGACGGTGGTGGCGGAGCGCTCGATGCGCTTGGTGCGGCTCTCGGGCGGCGCGAGCTCGAGCGACTGGCCGCGCCCGTAGAGCCGCGACTGCCCGAAGCGGGGCGTCAGCCTTCCGATGAGATTGTCCTCCTTGCGCGCGCTCCTGCTAGCTGCCTGCGCCTCGTCTGGGGGCTTCGGTTTCTTCTTGAAAAAGAACGGCGTGAGACGTTCCGCGAGGGGTCGCGACGGTGTCGCCCCGACGTCGTGAACGTTCGACGTCGAGTTCGAAGTTTTCAGGGGCTTCGTCGAGTTCGAATGAGTTTTGATCGGATTCGATTTTCTCTGGATACTTATTCTGGAAAACATACCGTAGTCCTCCTTCTCCTTCTTATCCGTCGACTCGACGACCACGTCTTTTTTGGGTTCATCCTCGGGAGAATCGTCCTCGCAGACTTTCAGAACGCAGTACGCATCCCTCTGGAGCTCGTCGAGGAGACTGTCGTCGTTTGAAACCGTGTCAATTTTGCTTGTAGGGCGTCCATCCCGTTTATCGAGCAAACATTCATTCTCATCGTCGCGTATTTCGTCGCTCGGCAGGCTGCCCGTCGATCCGCACAACGTGCCATACAGAGGAGAGGAGCGACCGTCGGTCGTCTTGGACACTTCCAGCTCGGGCTTCGGGTGCAGGCGAGCTCGACTCGCCGTCTGTCCTCGTGGAGGCACCGCGGGCGGAGCGTCGTCTTCAGAGGGCCGCGAGTGGCTCATGAAGTTGGTCATGAGCTCGTACTCCTTGCAGCGGTAGTCTTCCGTATCGACGCGGCGTGGGCGGCGCTCGGGCGGGCGCGGCTCCACCTGCACGTACTCGCAGAGCGGTGCGCGCGCCGGCGACAAACGCGCGGGCTTAGGCGGTCGTGCAGGTTTCTCCGCAGATCCGTCGCTGTCTTCGGACGGCTCGTGCTTGAGGCAGGACATCGTGAGATACCCACTCCCTGTGGACTTAGTGGACTTTCCGGAGGACCGCTCGTCGCCGTGCCGGCCGAGCTTTAGCGATTCCGTACTGGAACCGATGTCGAGCGATGACTGCAGGGGTAGCGTCGTGCCGTCCAAGTCTACGGTGGGCGAAGTGTCGCTGCGCCACGGTCGCCATAGAAACTGGCCGCTGTCGACGCTGCCCGTAGCACCAGCTAAATGCAGGTAGTTGTCGTCACCTATGGGTGCTTGCCTAGAACAAGTAATGTTTATAAATTAATTTTGTAACAAATATACACAATAACAATATAAATAAATACAATATATAATAGAGTGTGGGTGTACATACTTGCTGCCGTACTTGGTCTCCCTGGCGAGCGACCGCCGGTAGGTGCGATGGCGGTGTTCCAGGTGAAACATGGCCTCCTGTAGCTCGCGAAGCGTCGCTGCCTCCGCCTCGCGCTCCTCCACGGTAGTGCCCTCTGGAGATAAATACATATTTATAACATTAACATTACGCATTCAATTATTGTTTTATATTTATAATTAATATTTATAGTGTCAAATTATTTTATTATTAAAGTAAATTATACAAGCGTAAAAAAAGCTTAAACTATTCCAAATGAAATAAACAAAAATCCCACTTAAATCCAAGCGAAAGCTTTTGGGATTTGATCACCTCTAGAATGTCATATCACCATTTAGCGTGTCACTACTATTTTCAGTTGTTATTACTTATCTAAATAAACGAGTAGTATTTTTTCAACTATTATTATTTAATTTTTATATAACAAAGTCTGTAGTGAATCATTGCATGAAATTTATATTTTGAATATCAGTTTTCAAAATTGTACAATTCAATATTAATATATCAGTTTAAATCTATGACATTCTAAAATTTTTGAAAATACAATATCACCCGTTATTGATGATGATACTAATGATGCATTGGTGGTGACACTGATTTTGAAAATATGTGTCAACCACTCTTGGACTATTGAAATCCTACAAACACCTCATACATCTCGATACAGTGAATCAGTGATTATCGATATACGTTACGATTTAGGTTTGTTTAGTGGTTCAAGAGGAAACAAATATAGTGAACGCGCTATATAAGCAACCTCTCTATAAGTAACATTCTTTATATTTTATTTATTCTACTCAGCTTAATTAGTAAAAGAAACAAGTAAAAATATTTTCCAGACAATAAGTATTTTAAAACTAAGAGTGCAGTATAATGAATACCGCATTTTGATGAGGCTTCCCAAATACTGTAGTGCGTCGGGCATGTTTGCGGAGTCCAGGGTGAATGATTACTTAGCTATAATAAGAAATTGTGTAACAAATTCTGGGCTCACATTCGAAATTCAAAGAATGAGATCCTCAGCGTCGTCCCAGTGTCTGAATGGCCCCATTCAAAAGTATTGGTTGTTCGTGCACCGAGACAGGAACATTAAACAATGTTCTCTTGCTTTTATCTAATAACTGTGTTTGCTATATTATTTTACTTTACTTTTTATAAATTTTCTTTTTAGTTTATTTTTTTTTTTTATATGTTTTGATTATTATATTTTTATATGTTATCCGAATACGTTGTAACACAATTGTACCTCTATGGCTTAAGTACTTGATAATAAAGATTTTTTTTTCCTATAAATAACTTTTCCCATTAGGAATTTGTTTTTTATTAAAATTATTTCAAATGAGTTGAAATATAGAGCGTTCACTGTGTTATTTTCTACAAATGCGTTGCATGTCTGATATAGTCCAGACAACGTGAACTCAATAAATCGGTTTATGAACTATGAATATATAATGATATTGATCGATATTATTTATTTATTTATTATTATTATTTCTCACCACAAACAATTTAGGACTTAATATCTATAACTTGCAAAACATTTTAACAATATTGTTTGTGGGAGCTGGTGCCTGTACTAGGTATTAAACCTGTATTACAAGTCACCAGGACCCTTACCTCGAACAGTACAAATTATACAAATGAAAACTTTCACAAAAAAGATGATGGGTGAGTACATAAAAAAATCAGATACAGCGCGTATACAAAATAAATAGCTTTCGATATGTATAACATTAAAACAAAAACAAATTAAATGCTAGGGTAAATAAGAATGCATTGAAATATAAGTAAAAAAGTGTGACACGAGTTTGTGTTATAGAGTGTATGTTATGTATGTGAGAGTGTATAGAGTGTATGTTATGTATGTGAGAGTGTATAAAGCGTATGTTATGTATGTGAGAGTGTATAGAGCGTATGTTATGTATGTGAGAGTGTATAGAGCGTATGTTATGTATGTGAGTGTATAGAGCGTATGTTATATATGTGAGAGTGTATGTTATGTATATCTAGTATATATAGTGGTAGCGGTAGGAGCGATGCATGTGTACCGTGGTGGTGGCGCGGGCGGTGCAGGCGGTCGTCGAGGCGCGGCGCGTGCGCGACGAGCAGCGCGTGCAGGCGCTGCAGGTCGCGCGCGGGGTCGAGGCGCAGCGCCAGCGCGGCCGGCCCGCGCCGCGTCTCGCGCTCGCCCGCCTCCGTCGCCTGCGCACACCCGCCGCAGCCCTCCGCGTCCGCCTGTTCGCGCCCGCAGCTATCCAACAACAAATCATTTATTCGAACCGCTTCCTGTCACGCGCTATCGGCAGGGAATCCATCCCTGCGTCTCACTTTCAGAGGAACTTCCTCTCGTGAATACTCAGGTTGTAGAATAATCCTTCTGCCGAGGCTGTCCCTAAAGAGCGTGGGGCTCTTCGGAAAGAGCATAGTAAGATTTCTTAAGGGTCGGCAATGCACGCGTGACACTCGTCCACAGGCTACGACAACTCGGTTAAAAATCAGACAGGCCGTATATTTGTTTACCATCACACTCGTAGTAGAATAAAAGAGAAAATACATAAAAATGGCATCGCAGTAGACTGCCCGATATTATCATAATTATACTAAATATAACAATATAATTTAAATTTGTTATTTATAATGAATGTAACGATTAAAAAATAAACAATTCCACACAGATAAATTCCAGATAACGGATATTACGGTGTGTTTTTATTCTGTTGAGATTTGATGTGACGTAATAGAACCTCTCAATTCTTATATAAGATATAAAATAATTAATCCATTGTTCTCACAAACAACGTAAAATAATTATACAAGTAGTGATTATAAATATACTATTTATTAGTTTAATAAATAACCCCGTTTATAATCGGAATCACTAAGATCTAGACAGGGTGTTGATATAAAGTGCCATAGAATTAATAAAGAATATCATTAGTCTGCTAGCAATATACTCTGTCAGGTCGACCTTCACGTGGTTCCGCCTGGAAATTATAATACTGGATTCTATATTTACTTAACACGATGGACTTTCCAGTACAATTTGTAAAAGTAAATGCAGGTAGCGTACGCACCATGTCCAGCGCGCGGCGCAGTAGTAGCCGTGGTGCGCGGGCGCAGCGGGCGAGTGGCGGCACAGCGCGGCCAGCAGCCGCACCCACTCCGCACGCTCCACGCAGTTGCCCGCCTGCACGAACAGCACGCGCTCGCGGTGCACTGCACGGTGACGGGCAGGTGGGGGGTAGGGGGGGGGGGGGAGGACACTCATCAGTAATATGTTTCATTCATATATTACTATCTTTCATTCGTGACTTCGTCTAGGTCACTAGGTTGTGTTTACACTGACCACAATAAAATGTTACCTATATCCTTCTCCATCCATATAGTACGTGTATAACATGACAAACAAACTCATTTTCAAATTTATAATATCAATAAGGATTCATTCAAAATTTTCCTATAACCCATACAAAATTTTTATTCAATAACAGACTACTAAATATTGTTTACCTATCTGGAAGATATTGTTGGCCCCCAAGGGGGCGCCAGCGGGCGGGCAATCGACCGCGGCGACGGCCAGTACTCCCGACAGAGGCAGCCGGTGGGCCGGCGTTTTCGCGCCACATCGCGACCACGTCAGCTCGCCGCTGCGGTTGCATACATACATAGTTAGGCATATTAAAGGCGTTTGTAACTTTAGCTTACAGAAGTGTAGCAAAGTCTCAATTTATTTATTTATTTATGTATACTTTATTGCACCATTTATAAAATAGTAAAAACATTTAACTGTAATAAGAAATGATACAAAAGGCGGCCTTATCGCTAAGCAATCTCTTCCAGACAACCTTTGGGTTGAGAGTGGCGCACTATTATATATAAACAAATATATAAAAGATATATACATATATATGTATATACATATATATATATATATATATATATATATATATATATATATATATATATATATATATATATATATATATATATATATATATATATATATATATATATATATATATATATATATATATATATATATATAAACAAATACATACATAAATATACACAAACTTAAAAGTACACATACAACAGGAGAGAGTGACACTGGAAGATGAAGATAGAACATGGGAAAAATAGTTACTTAAAGGGAGAGATAATGGGCTTTAACAGATTATCTGTCAATAATTTTAAAAATTTCCAGATGATTATTAAAAAAGTGTTCAGTCACTCAAATATCAATTATAGAATATGTTGCATATAATCATTATAAATTTATCTACTTTTCCATTTACTTAATATTTTGTCTTGAAATTTCAGATATATTTTTGCCATCAAAATCTAAATTTACAATTTAAATTTAATAAAAAATGACGTTGTGTATAAGTTCGTTATCAGAGATTTTTTTATATATACAGTCAGATGCATTAAAAATAGTTTTTTGGAAATTGATAAATAATTGCGACGTTGCCACACTTTCATAGGCTAAAGTTATAAACGTTCTTAAAAGCTACACATTTTACAAGCTGAAGAATGGGATATCTATCATAGATATGTTAAATTTGAATAATAACTAATCAATTTTTTTAATTTTTTTTTTTATTTTTGATTTTTTTTTGATTGATTATTTAGAAAATGCTCTGATAGCGAAATAAATGATGAAATTATTATTGCTGGTAGTGGCTAGCAGTGAAATTTTACATGCAATTTATTCTATAATTAATATTTACTTGACTAACAAAACACTCTTTTGAAAATATAATAATTCTGACGTTACTACATTTTGATATGAACACCCTTACAATCGCTTTACTGAACCTTAGGTAATTGGGTTTAAATTAATGATTAAAAAAAAACGATTAATGCAATGCTGACCTGGTGAGGCGGAAGTGCCGCCGCTTGGCGTGCGCGTGCGCAGCCCGCGTCCAGCGGCGGCGCGGCGAGCCGCCGCCCGCGCCCCCGCCCGCACCGCCTCCACCCGCGCGCACCCCTTCCGACCGCTTGATCATAGTTCTGGAACGACACATCTCTTATTATTAAATTGGAAGAACATTTTAACCTTTTTATGATTTATACAATAACAAACAAGCTGCCTACGCACCTGATGGAGAATAGTAACCTTCACACAATAACCAGCACCGTGAACACCACAGAATATACTGTAATGAACCTATATACAGAATATACAGTATCATTATGTGTTACCGTTTCTTTGAACTATGATGTTATGCCTCTGTACCTCTCTCTGTGTGTTTTTGTAATGGGTGATAATAGAATGGTAAACCCGCCTGCGCTATCGGTATACGCTGGCGGAGCACCAGTCTCCCTGTGTGTTTATTAAAATACTTGGCAGTATAATTGAAACTGTCGCACCGTCTCTTGCTTTTATTTTTAATAACTGCATGTATGATAGTTAGTTTCTCAATCTAATGAAATTCAGTAAAATTATACAGCTTTTTAAAGATGGGATTGAAAATGATCCGGTAAACTATAAGCCCATTTCCATTCTTCCCATATTGAGTAAAATGTTTGAAAAAAAAATCATAGTTAATCATCTATTTAATTAATTCATAATAGACTAAGGACTCAGGTGTTATTTATTCCTTTGTACCCTGTAAATTCACTGCCACATCTCACCCTTCAAACTGAAACACAGCCATGCAAACAACTCACGGTAGATACACGAACGGGACAGAGGTGCCTAAGCAAATGACTTTTGTACAAAATTTCTCTCTGGTATATTATTGTAAAAACATGTTATATATATGTTTAAAAACATATGCTGACGATTAAGTCCAGTCATCAGTAGACAGTATATAAATAATCAGACAATATCCTGTATTATTAATTGAATATTTCAATGTCAAATTACATTGAGTTAGAAAACAATACATACCCATATCTGTTCCACATGACGCATAGGTTAAAAACGCAATAAATATGAATTAATATATGGTGTCAATGTTGACGTACATTGTTTTATATAAAATAAAACTGGCAATTGTCTAGAACGCAATATTCAATTGTCTTTTATTATTTATTAACCACATTTCATAATAAATCAACAGGGAGTACTAAAGAAGACTAAATGGTTATCAACTTTTGGGAAAACAGAAATGTAGCTGTGGTATAAAATATTCATCCATTTTATTAATATTATATTAATATTAAATAATATTAGAATATTCTTTATTTGTATATTATTACTGTTCTCGAATTAAGCATTTAATAATATATACAGCAAACTCCCTTGTTATTTTTTATTAAGATATTTGCATAAGGATTAGTACAAAAAATGTAACTAGAATACTTCTTTAGATAGAAAAAGAAACCAAAACTCACCCTTCTTTTAGTAAGACAGGCGTCTCTTGTATATTGTTGTTTTGCGTATCAGTGCTGGTGGAGATTATTTCGAGGAACTGCCTTATTGCTTGCACCTGTAATATATAATATAACCGGTTATATACCATACATACAAAAAAAAAATATGATAAATAGCTCAGAGCATATACATTCATTTTAAACTCCTATAATAATATAACCTTTATTTGAAACAAGATTTATTTTCTCTATAATAATAATTAATACAGTTGTTTTTAGTTTTATGAATTAAATAAAATGCTGTGAATACCTATAATAGGCATTTATATTGTATTATATTTAATGTTTGTTATTTATGTTAAAATGCAATATGCTGTTGGCGTTCCTTTAAATAAATAAATTATATAATTTTATTCGTCAGATAATCTAAAAATAATCCAATAGTTTTCAACAAATGTTGAATGCTATGATTCTGACATATCTTCTTATTTTTATTTTTTTTATATTTTTAGTTGACTTGAGACTTGATATTGTTTATATTGCCTATATAGTTAAGTATAAATTCATTATATACAAAACAATATTAAAAAAAAATTACTAATAAGACCTACTATAGAGTTTAATTGGATAATCCCAAAGTTAATATGTAAGTATAGCTGATAAAAATAATAATAATTTACTAGAGTTATACTTAACACTAGAAAAGCCACTTCAAATTATCTATGGTAAAGTTAATTGTAGATAGATACTCTTTATTGTTTCCTCCAAAAGATTACAGTAGTAAACTTATTATAGATACAAATTACAAGAAATGTTCACACTGAGAAAACAATGGGCGGTTTTATCGCTAAAACGATCTCTTCTAGGCAACCTTTGAATGGAGATGAGTAGTTATAAACAGTTTTATCGGAGGCACGATGAAAATTTTGTTGTTTTAAACACATATAGAGATGAAATATATTCTACTTGTATTCATTGTACTGACATGTCTTGGCGTGCAGAAGCTACGGTACAGTTCGGCCATGTACTCCTCCTTGCAGACCTGCTGTGCTGAGCGACTGCTCACCAAGTTTCCCAGGGACTGGATCGTCTTCGAGATTAGCGTTAAAGTCCGGTTTGTTTGAGGGTCCTGCAGAATAAATTCACACGATGTCATCATAAAATGCGTGCTCCCTTTTATTTCGTCCAAATCAATAGTATTAGTAACTAACGTATTGGTATTCAAGTAGATCGATTTGATCATTCATTATAGATGTTGCTAAGGCTATGTTAGACAAAAACCCGGAACCACAAAAATTATATATAAATAAAGAATTTTATATTATATATTAGGAGATTTTTATATTTTTAAGTATTTTCAAACACACATCTCATATGGAGACTACTTATAGATCAATTGAGTTTAATTTTATGTCCATAAAAAGTATAAATAAAATAGTAGATTAATTGAAAGGATATATTATATATTAGCTCGGTTTGGGTGTTTCTATTCTGCAAATGTTCATTGGCTGGTCCTCATAAGACAGGAGATCCGAGCTCGAAGGCCAGGTGAATAGAGCGATTGTGTGGTACTTTTTTTAATGATACACCTACAATTTGCTCGGTGGTGAGATCGAAGAGTCTTGGGCCGAGGATGGCTGGCGCGAAGAACCTCAGGAAGATGAAGCCCGAGACGACCGAGTAGCGGACCTCGGCGTTCCGCGGGAAGTGGCGCGCGGCGCACTGCCGCAGAGCGTCGAACAGTCGGCACATCGCCGCCGGACACATCGCGTATGAAGACGTTATCGCGCCGAATACCTGCACCAACACATACGCTGTCGTTAATTTTAAACCTTTGTTTACACGTATTTTAAATACACAATTAGGACTTAAAAAGAGAAACAGGTAAATAGGTACTAATTATCTGTAAAAGCTTTTTCATTGCGTTAAATTTCGATTGTGTATTTAAAACGTCCGCTGTCACTGTGAACCTTTAGGACTCGTCTATCCGGTCTATGGTTTAAGTGACAGGAATTAAAACATAATTTATTACCAAACCAATATGACAATTTAACAAATTTATCATATCATTTCATCAGTTGACCAGGCTTGGTTACGAGTTGACTGATGTAGCGGTCTTATGCCTTCGCTTTTTAAATATCATAGAAATTAAATAATATACGAGTAGCATGCTCGGATTTTACTCTATAGAGTTAGATACACGTCTGTGATCACTCATAACAATAGCCTAACAAAGAAACGTGTAAAATATGTTAAAAAATTAATAAATTTTATATCGCCATACTCCTAAACTGTTTTATTCCTGATTTTGTTTACGTAGAATTTTGACATATAAAAAGAAAAAGCTTCTGTTATTATGTCATAGTAACACTTCATAAACCTTAGAAGCACAAATCAATAATTGTGATAGCCAAATGGTTAGCTTAATAAAGAAAAAAATATGGTAAATTCAATTCAATAAAAAAATATCAAATACATACGCACCCTTTCAACATACTCCTTGAGATTAGCAAGGTTAGCGGTGACGGCGGCGGAGGGTTTGACCCTGGCGGGGTCGATCTCGCAGGGCCGGCGCTCGGCCAGCACGGCCGCCAGCGTGGGCCGCAGCACCGAGCGCAGGTATGCCGCGCCGCTCAGCCGCATCGCCTCGTCCATCATCTTCGACACTAGTGTATTGCCACGGAAAATTGTCGTCGCGTCGCTGCAATCCAACAGTTGATTGGAGTACAACCGAAAAACAGTGACTTCAATCACCGTTGTTCCATTTGGTGATTGTTGTTTGATTTACGAATAGATGAAAAAGAATCTTCAAAAATATTAAGTTCTGTTAAAATGTATACAAAAAATATAAACAGTTTTTTTAATGTATATATTACTAAGAAGGAAATTAGTTGACAAGCAGTATCCCATTATCATCATGTCTGTCTTCCTCTGTTTGCTGTTAAATATTCCTGATAGACTGCTACAAGGAACAGTTCTAAGTCTCACCTGCATTCATTCATTCACTGTAAGATTTGAAAGTCGTTAGTTTACCTAGTGGTGTATTGCCCAACATTGCATTTTATTTTCACCATACAAGATCTTTCTCTCTCATGCCATATCCACAGTAAATATGTTTTCTATTTAAACCATTAAGAAAAATAATAAAATTAATATTTTTCTAGTAATAAACTCACGTAAGAACGGATATCTCTGCGTCAGCGAGCTCCTTAACGATAGGCACGATGAGATCATGGTGTGTGAATAGCCTCACTAGGGGCTGGGCGGCGTCAGTCTTACTTGACACTATCTCCCCCAGGATGTACACTGCAGACGCTGCTATAGGCTGTAACATAAACAAAACGAGGAATTCATTAATTTTGTCTTTATAATTAGAATAACACAATAATAAATTCGCATCATGTGAAAAGGAAAAGAATATCTACCACTTTTCAATTTTAAAGTGTTGCCACTGTAAGTACACAAATCAATAACATTCTGCAAGAACTAAATATTCTGTAAGTACATTAAAACGAAAAGTATTCTATATATTTCTAGAAATTACCGTGTCTGTGCCAAATTTTATTCAAAACAGCCATTCTTAAGATCAGACTACAATATTGTTTCGAATTGGGAAAAGATTTTAACGTGGAACATCGGTAGTCATATACTAGTAATATGGGGTGTGTTCCAGTTTCTAGTAATTAAAATAAGAGTCTAGAACTAAACCATAGAGACAAATCACTTTGACTCTATGGTTTAGTTCTAGACTCCATAATTACTATGGTTTTCTATGCAATCGTGTAAAGAAAACAACTATAATAAATTGCTGGCGAATTAGTCACGATGAACCAAGTGACCTAACTTCATTCTTACCTATCATCTTTCATTAATAGCTCAGTAAAGTAAACCGATAGTCCTGGGGAGGTTTCGAATATAAAAATTCAAGGATAAAAAAAATACCTTGACGAAAGGTATGCATACCTTCTGATGGACGCTACGTAGGAACAATTCCTCCAGTTTCTTATAGTGCTCTAAAGGGAAAACGTGATCGACTGTGTACTGCAGTAGAAGTCGGAGTGAGCCGAGCGTGGCGCTGCCCGCCGCGGATAGCCGCGTGCCCGGCGGGGTCGCCCCGCGGGACAGGGCGCCGCCCGCGCGGGACGTTAGGAAGTACCTGTAGATAGGAATAGTCCACTCTATCAAGTTTTTGTCTATTGCCTGAGCATCACCGTAGATGAAGTAGAGTAAAGGTGGGTAGCATGTACCCTTGACGAGATGATCATATATCAGCTTTTTAATGCCCACTGCTGAACATAAGGCTCCCCCTTGGGGGATTTTGCTAGTAGTTGCCACGCTTGGCAGGTGGATTCGCAATCGCAGTTAGGCTTTGGAAACGTTTTAAGAGGGACGCTGCTGCCCAGCCCTCGCCCTCCCTTAGACGCCTCTTACAATAAATCCTAAGATTTGATGCTTAGTTCCTAAAAATTAAATGACTACTACAAGATTTGCTAAAATTCAAAGCTAGCGAAAAGAGAGTCTGTTAAGTTGTTATTTGCATGGGTCTTGCATTGTTATTTGCATCTCCATTTAAATTATAACCTATCCAGTAATGAATGAAATGGAAACACGTTTTTCATGCGTACAAGTTTTCAGATGTTGTTTTAGATAATTTATACACGAGTAGAATCATACTGTATCTATCTGTTACAATAATTTATTTAAAAAGCTTACCAAGCGCGTAAAGGTGACGGTGCAGGTTGCCGCAATTGTAATCGCACTTCCCCGAGGAAAACAGGTGTCGCTGAGTCATGCCACACGGAAACCCTCGCTTCGCACGCTACACCCGGCTGCAATTGTAAAATAAAATCAACATTATTCCGAATAATAGTTTCTACAAATCTGCAATTTTTTTTTAATACAACATAGAATAGCAAACAAGTTGACGGCCCACCTGATGAAAAGTGGTAACTGTCGCCTATAGACATGTGCAGTACCACGAACATAACAAGAATATACTGTTTCACCCATGATACCCCATATGCGTTGCCATTCCTGAGGACTAAAGTGTTATTCCTCTGTACCCTGTAAATTCACTACCATATCCCTATCTTCAAACCGAAACACAGCTATTTCATTATTACTTTGTTTTATTATACTCACCGATTGAGATGCATCCTTGTCTTTTGGATCGGAATCCATTACGAGATCAAAACAGAAAAATTCATCAAATTGAGGGTTAACAGTCTTTTTTCTAGGTTTTGTGCGCTTTTCTACTCTTCGCCCGTTCGAGTACAACAACGTGACGAGAGCGAACGGGTCGCACTGTCCATTCTTTGTGGTGAGTTCAGAACATTCCAGCACTCTGAGTCGCAAGGTATCTGGTCCGACGCGCGCTGCGCAATGTCTCTCTGGGTCCGACCAATAGTCGACGGCGGTGGGTGTGGGAGTGTCCGATTCGGACATCGTATGTATATGAGGTTTCGTCCGTGTGCCCCACTGAGCTCGATCTTTCAAACTCTCTGAGCGCGACAGTGTCAGTGTAGGTTCTGTTGCCACAGCACTGAGAAGTTTTTTACTCGTAGAACTCGAGCACGAGCCAAACCTCATGCTCTCTTTACAGTATTCTGATATACGGACGAAATTTTTTCCTTTGGTCTTCGACGAGCTGTTGTCGGCAGCCGGGTCAGGATCAGGGGGTTTTGGCTCCATTCGTAACCGTTTTCTCGAATCTTCAAGGGAGAGCTCAATATATGCTTTCCCCTGCACTTCAGAGTCTGCATCGACCGGCCGCAGTGCGAACCAGTGGTCTTTATTGTTATATCTGTGTAGATCTTCTCTTTTAATGGCCACCTTACCCAGCACTTTGTCCTGTTTGAGGTGTTTGTCACGGTCAAACACGTATATTGACAAGTATCGAAATCTTCGGGGCACCTCAAATTGGAACTCCTCGCCGAAAAATGGACTGTAACAAATTAAAACATTTATATAGTTTTCAAAATTGATATTGTTGTGGCATATCGTTCAATATAACACAAATCTCATGGAATACTGTCTCGTGTTTATTTAAAATTATGGCTTAAGCACGAAGTGAGCTAGACTATTGGCTAGGTAGCTGGACGCTATTGTTAGAATGATCATCATCAAGGAATAATTCATTGACCAATATCATTGGATTGATGTAATCTGACATAATGATATAAAATCGTAATGCACTTGTAATACGGACGAAGTCTCCTACTTCGTCCGTATCCTTATTCATAGCTTTTAGAAAAATATAAAAACATGTGTTCCTTGGCTACCTGGTTGCCAAGAATATTGTGGTAAAACCTTTATTACTTACTGGTTTCGACAAATACAATAGATGATTGACCTTATGAGATTAATGATAGATGATGATGAGATGATATTATCTTGCGAATCGGGTCAATAAACTACGAGACCACCGTGCTCTTAATTCAAAAATATGCAAATATTATTAGAATTCAATAGAGTTTAACATACGTAAGTACCTAAAATCAAATTTAGCATTCTAAGTAATTTTAATTCTGATGGGCATATTCAAACAAATTAAATGTAGATATTAAATTTTTTTACTATAAACTTCAGCAAATTACTTTCATTTCAGAAGAAATCTAAGAAAATCTTGCACAATGGACAGCAATTACTTAAGATTAATGGAATTACCCAGATAAAACATACTGGTATGTATTTAATTCCAAGAAAAGCGTTTAAAAAGAGATTGTTTGCTATCTGTGGTTGATTAGTATAATAAAAATCTATTAAAGCAGGATTCGAATAGTTAGTATAAAGATTAATTAAATGTTATTACGTTGAACGTGGTTTTATTGTTCATTTGTACTAAACAAAACAAGATATTCGCGAACAGTAATTGAGAATATTGCGATTTTATATGAGAAAAGGTGGGTGTGAGTGTATTTAACGTAGGAAGAAGTTTGTAGGTAGCTTGTGAACGGGCACTGTAATTACATAATGTATACTAGCTTGTGCAATTATTGTAATATATTTACATTCCTAGAGGAGAAAATTTTCTTACATGTCACCACGCCAGTTAATTTATGGCTTATGGGAACCTTAATCTTCAGAGGCGGCCAAGAATGTATCGTATAAATGTTACAGTATTCTGTGGTATTCAAATCATAAACTATCATTTTGTTTTTATATGTTTTTCTTTTTATTCTAAATTCAAAGTAAAATAGTAATGTTATTATATAATTGTGTAATCTTCATTATTATGTTGTTTTGTTATATGTAATTTATATTATTTTTCTTAAAGAGCGATTGTATTTAACTAATGATATTATTTAAATGAAAAGTTTGTTTAGTGTATGTGTAAATAAATAAATAATATCGTTTTAGTTTTTATATATACAGGCTAGAAATGATAGAGGGTCTTACTGGATTATTCCTACCTAAACTGATGTTAAAACAAATTGCCAAATGTATATCATAAATGATAGACATTTGGCAATTTAGGAATGATCAATTGGGATCACTTATCTTTTTTACCCTGTATAAGTTGATTTTTTATCTTGAGTATCCAATCTATTAGATAGGCGAGTTAAATATTATTCCCAATTGGAGTGTATCTTTCGTCCAGTTTATATATATGTTTATCACACGTAATATTTACATATTAATATTTAAATTTAATCGTATAATATAAAGGGCTTATTATTGTTTTGTGTGGGATTTGTGTCGTGTGTCGGCGTGGCAGGCTGGCGTCGCATCCGGCACCGGCCGGTATTTATAAAACGGAGGCGGAACCGCCACCCGCGACCCGCCACTCACTGTGCCACAGTAGAGGAGCGTCGGCGCAGTATGTGCATGATGCATATCGTGACCATACTTCACGTTTTGTCCTGGACAGTCCCGATTTTTGGTGTCAGAGCTTTATATCAATGTCCCGTTATGAGAAAACCACGAAAAAATAATTTAACAAACGGCGAAAATTGTAAAGCGAATTGTTATCTTAATTAATAATTTGTGGGTATTAATAAAAATTATTCATTATTAGATTCTAATAAAGGTATTGTAAAATTATCACTATAAACCTATCATATGATTACATCATAATACTTTATTTTAAGCTTTTTAATTAAAAAAATCGATCTATTCCAGGCAAGTTAAGATTTTTATTTTTTTTAACAAACAAACCGACTTTTTATTATTTTTGTTAATACAAATAACTTTGACAAAAAATAATAAAAAAATAATTTATTAAAAAATATTATAAGCATTTTTATTAGGATGCTGAATTGATTTGACTAATCAGTTAAAACTATGTTTCATCTTTACATCAAGTTCATAATCAGATACTAACAACATCTTAATCTAAACCATTCATCATCGGTTGTGATTACTATAAACTCTGTAATGTACAAATTAAAATCAAAAAAATTTGGAACATCTATCAGCTCGCACTTGGCGGATGTTTCAAAATAAGTAGGACAAAAGCCATACCAGCCGTACGTCTACCCGTGGCCGCAATAAGCGGGCAAGGAGCATAAAATAGCGCGTAATGCAAGAAACCAGAGCATTGCACTTAAGACTGACGGTGGCAGGTCGTAGCCCATTCCGGCGCAGGCGCAGGCACGCAGCCGATCATCATTTTACGCGCCACGAGGTTCCGGGACCAATTTATCACTTAAAAGCTTCCGTTGCAGCGCCACTACAAATTTATGGACTGTTTTTTATGACGTCTTCAAACTGAATTAAATCCTTCTGGAAACAATTTTAAGGCGGCTACACTACTCAACACGTTAAATATAAATGTTTCACATTTTATTTTTGAAATCTTTACTATTTATAACATTGAGTGAAACTCGAACTTATAGGATATAATATTTTGAATATCTTCTACATATAAAAGTAGAAACTGATGGACTGATTTTCGAACAGCCGAAACCACTGGTTTTAGAAAAAAAAAATTAAACACTAATAAAAGATTCGTATAAGCAAAGCTACTGGAATTAGCTACGTTCCTTTTTTTATATGGAACATTAAAATAAGTATAAACGTTATTTGATTCGATGACGTACTAAATACTTATTTAGTTTGTAAAGCTTGCACAATTACTAGCTATATTTAAACAGCAGAACGTTTGGCCAGTACTCGTTCGAATGTAAGTGGTACTGATAAGGTATCGCAAGACAAAGAACCCATTATGTTAACTCGTTTGACAAGTGACGTGACATTTCCTTCGATATCCACCACAGTGTTCTCACCTTTTGGGTCACAAATCATTATCGCTTCCGCTCGTTAATGAATATAGCACCCTATCATAAAGATTCTTAGACTTAAATCATTGATGTAAGTTTAGAAATAAGTTTTACATTCCTGTCTTATCATAATATAATAGGTATACCTATGATGTAAAGAGAAGATGAGGACAACAAGTCTATACTAAAGTGGCCTTAATGGTTGCCTATCGCCAAATGCTGGTGCTAGCAGTTTGGCGTTAGGCGTATGTATGGCTAGGTTTCAGTTTGACAGGATACAGCAGTGAATTAACTGGGTACGAAACTATGGTGGAATAAAACCATAAGTGGTACAGTGATGTGATTATGTGAATGTGTGTGCCTATAGGCAATGATTATCATCATCACTTTCTGAGTCATGATCGTGAGCTCGATTGTAATTCTAATATATAAAAAAAAAAGTTTCGATAAAAAAACTAACTAATCCACCATGGCATTTATAAATTCTTATTATACATTTATATAATGTTGTTTAGGAGTCATAAAGGTTGCTATTTGATCGACAGAGTCCAAGATCTGTATGACATACTTTGTGATTTCTACGCTAATGCTTAGTATAGGTAGTTTCCCACACCTTGTTAAAGGGAAACTGAATTCATTATTCGAGTGCAGCGGTGTCTCATTCATTGGAAAAAGTGAATGGTGAGGGAGTGAGGGGGTGTAGCGGAAGGGACGTTCCGCGCGGGCGAACGCGTGCCGGATACGCATCCGGGACGCGGCGCGCCACACCGCCCTCCCGGCTCCCTTACACCACGGTGACGCTTCCCCAAAATTTACAATTTCCAAATGCGAACGTAAATATAAAAACAATTTATTCCCCAAAAAAATTAAGAGCCAAGCGGTGTAAGTACTTATATGAAAACAAAGCGTTACCGTAGTCTATATTACTTGCGTTAAGGATACAAAAGTTATTTATTGAAAGAAATACCCTGCACGCTTTAAATCCTTCCAAAAATATCATCCGTGATGGTGTTTTTGTTAATTTTCTAAACCTTTAGCTACACATATTTTATGTAAGAACTTCGCGCAAAAGTAACTAAAAAACAGCAGGAGTGACCATAATTTGTTAAAAATAAAAGTACTTTATTGTACCTTATATACTTACAACATACAGGCGAAAGTAATTTAACAAAAATAATTTCTTTCCAAAGGAACAATTTGCACGTGAAAGCACCGGAAGTATTACCTTGTACTGAATAATGTTGTTGCGCCTGCGCAGCTGTGCCGACACATTTATATATTGTCTCGAAGAAAGTGATATATTATAATGTAATCGGTATGTTTGTTATTATGCAAAGTATTAAAATAAAAGTATTGAAAACCGGCAAGGTTTCTAATAATAAAAACCAAGTAATACTTAAAATACACGATAACATTTTTAGATAATAAAAATAGTGTTTACTGACAAGTCCGGACAAAATGATAAATATATTTATCAATAAATATAAAGAAGGATGTCAATAAAAGGTGATTTGTGCGTAAAATTAATGAATACGTAAGAGAGATAACGAACGCTATCAAAGCGTACCCCATGTGGAAATTATAGATAAGCGTTGTTCGGTTAAGCGTTATGATTGGCAATAATATACCGTTGGCGTAGGTGGAGAATTAAACAACTCTTAACTATTAACTTTGTAATTTCGAATTAATTGCGATTATTTATTTTTTAAAACTTATTTATTTTATTAACTGTCATTTTGCGGAAGTCCGTATCACTGGGTATTAAAGAATTAAACAAAATAATTCTAATTAACTTTCCAGTTATTAATTATTAATTGTTTTTCATGGCTTTACCTGCGTGAATCAATATACCATATAAACTATTTTATGTGTTAAAGGTAACTTATCCGAACACTAAATTTCATTAAAATCCGTACATTTGTTTAACTATGGTTGAATAACAAACATGCAAATATCCTTACAATGTTATACATTTATAATATTAATAGAATGATAAACAAAGAAGCAAAACCTAAGTTATTTCGAAACATTATAGTTTATTTTTATTTAATTGAATATCTTACTTAATTTTCTACCCATGCTGACGATACACGTATCTTTTTCACTATCAACAATTTCTGTAATTAGAAATAATAATAACAGTAACAACTGGGCGATATACTAGTTAAGATATGCAAATGATGGGAAGCATAAAATAGAACGATCGTCGAAATGAACGAGGCAGCGGCAACGCAATGCTGATAGTGTACAATAGGGCTAATTATTTTTAATTCAACGCGCCAATAGTTGGGCCGTCCAGCCATTCACAAAGTAGGTACTCATAAACCTTGACCCAGTAAATTTGTTAGACTAGCGTAAATGTGTCGACGGGCGACGAGCCGTTCCCACTCGGGCCCGGTGCCGCCGGAAGTGCTCCCGGACATGGGCAACAAACGGTTCGTTATTGTGTCAATCATAAAATAAACGGTAAAAAATGTTTGCTCAGTAAACGAAAAGGGTCCGAAATCAGTACGGTAAACTAACTCAAGGACGCACTATGTATCCACGTACCGTTAAAGCACTTACAATTTATTGGGCAGTATGATATGCGGGAATACCGAGATGCATAACATATTATAAATAGTTTTCCATAACACTCCAGTACCTTTTTTAGAAATTAACACAACCTTTGAGGAATGTAGGATTATTATCTGTGAAATTATCTGAGATGGATGACACAAATTAGATTACCTACTTTACAAACATTCACATGAGTGTAAACCGACTCAATAGTGCCTATTGTTGATATACTGATATCACCATTGTTATATTATTATAGCTTAGGTATTTCATAGCGTTACAACATTTCATGTCATAATCAAACTTGAAATAAGAAAAAATAAGTAAAGTAAAGTAACACATAATATCTAAAGAACAAAAGTAAAATTAAAGGCGACAAGAAAGAAAATCAGAGGAAAATAACAGTTATTTTTTTGTAACAAATGTTACATAAAAATATCACACGTGCCTAAAAACCAGATAATATGAATTTCACATTAGTACAAAAGCGACAAGTGAAAAATAGTTTCATTCATTTCAAGATTCACTCGGATGGGTGTTTATAGTTCAATTTGGTGTATGTGATGGAGATAGAGTCAAAATATTGATGTTATAAATTGAGCTACTTTTAACCAAGTTAAAAGTTTACAAAGTTACAAGTTCTGACTAGCAACATCAGCATTCTTTATTTTAATGTAACATAAAGCAATTAAGATATTTCGAGACATTTTTCAAAATTTTACTCTCATAATTTTAATTTTTTATTTTACTCTCGACTAACACGCCTATAACAACCAAAGATTATTGCCTTACTTGAGAGTTCTCTCCATGGTGGATGTGCGAAATATCTCCTCCTGGTCAAGCGACAGCACGCAGTAGATGTCGCGATGGCACGCCGCGCCATGGCTGCGACCTGGCAGGTTTTTTGCTTCACCTGAAACAACGATAACGAAAATCTTTACAAGAACTGAGATAGGGCCACTTTGTCCTTATTCAAAAATATCGTTTTATAGCCTGACAGGATATTCTATAAATGTTGACAATTTTAAAGTTATTTTCCAAGTGGACTTGACTCTTGAAAATTGGTACATATTTATTGTCGTTTGGTCCCAGCATAAAATAGGTCATCCCTTTTTTCCTGTAGGTGTCGTAAGAAGCAATTAAGGGAAGATAATGTTCAAGGTATGGGCAGCAGCGTCCCTCTTAAAACATTACCAAGGCCTACTAAATGCGGTTGCCAATCCTCTTGCCAAGCGTGGCAACTACTGTCAAACCCCACCAATAGAGAGAGGCCTATGTTTAGCAGTGGACAATTAACGACTGCTATTGTATGGTATGGTATGTATTCGGTGTCTCCGAATTTTCGAAAACAATCCAAACTATCGATCGCATATTGGGATAGACCATTCTGGGATGGGCACTATCCACCAGGCTCCACCCATATAATATGTCCGTCTGCAATTGCTGTATGTATTCCTATAATTAGCTGTCCTGTAACTTATCCTTGCAAAACCAAATAAAAAAATGTTTTGTTTATGTTCGTCAGCTTCCATAGGACTTTATTAATTGGTCATATTAACGTGTGAGTCATGAAAATTAGCGTCCTCAACTTTGAAAAATGTATACTGCTTTTCAGATTTAAGTGATATTAATGTTAATAATGCAAGTACAATAAAGTTTTATAAGTAATTTATATATAGGTACGTCTAAACAAGCTAATGGGTAAACTTACAAAGGGTCATTCCCTTATGAACATCGTGGCAAACACACAATTTCTCATATTGTTATTGTGAACATTAAGAAAGTGTTACACGCGAATGATAACTATCTTAACGTTATAATAAGCACGAGAGAGAAACTCGTTGATAATAAACTATGACAAACTACAGTGTACGGTCAATTGCACTGATAATTTCGTACTACTTTGTACAATTGTGAACTTTATATAATTGATGTTAAGAGTTTTATTAGTATAAAATCTAAAAATACATCTAGAGAATATGATACCACCGTAACAATAAGCCAGCGTAGATGAAGAACATGAGGTAATAAAAAGCTAATGATGCGCAACCTCACTACTGCTCGTTAGTCGGTTGGCTTGTCTCTGTATTCTACTTACGTACCTACGCAATAAAGATTGTCCGTTGTTTTGCGTCACTTACAAAGTATATTCAATTACATTTTAGTATACTATGCGTCAGGTTTGCCTATTATGTTAGAAGTCAGGCACGAATGCTGAGTAGGTATACAAATAGTCAATTATAACCGTCAATTCATTTCAATCTACTCAAAGTAAGCATTATCTATATTGTAATAAAATAGTAGAGGACCGAAAAGTCTGTTAGACGGACAAAGTCGCGGACGCAGCTAGTCATAAATGTTAAAAACTAGTGTAATGTTTCATCAGAATCGACTGACTGATTCATAGGATGGAGATACAGTTTAACCCTCTAATAATATAATTAATTAACAGAATTGATCGAGCGAATCATGAGTTACAGCTTGGCTCTGCATTCTAGTCGACTTTATACAATGAATGCCATTGTATAAAGTCACGTAGAATGTAGAGGTCATTGTTTATGGTAAGTACATACATAAGCAGACAGGTAAGGTTTCTTATAGGGCCTTAGGGGGTATAGTTACATTTACATTAAGTAACTGTTTTTCTTAATTACCGCAAGAGTGGGAAAATTACTATAATCTACTAGTACATGTATTAGGATGAATGTGATTATAATCTTTAGAGTACTTAAATATTACCACAATTATTCGGTTACTTCAAAACAATTATGTATAAAAAATTAATTTCTATTCAGCAAAATATGTATTATTCTTATTTACGAAACATAACCTTGAATGTGTAATTTATTTTTAATTAACATTAGTGAAACTTTCTTGACAGTAAAATGTTCCGCAATGAGACAAGCGTTGCTTCAATTGAGCGGGCGAAACAGTAGTATGATTAAGTATAGCGTGGCCATCCAATTATTGCCAGTTACACGTTATCATGCCTATTACAGGAGTAAAATAATGACACACATAAAAGGGGCACTGGTTGTGTAACATAACGACCTCGTTGGATATCACTATATACGGAAAGGCAAGGTGAGTTGGCCATCGGCGGCTCGGCGGCCCATAACTGACTCCTGCCTTCTTTGCTGACACTGCCCAGTCACCCAGCCCGGCCTATAATATTCGCCAAGCCCCTGGCCTTAATAACATCAGTGCGTAATGAGAACGAATACATGTAGTATGAACGTACTATCCTGTGATAGAAACAGTAAGTCCATTTAATAATTTTTTTGGTCATTAGGAGATATACAATTGTAATAAAAGTAAAATATTGTAAATATTTCACATTATTTATTGAAGTACTTAAATACCTTCATAGAAATGTGATTAAAATAAATTGAGAATTTCCCAGCTTACTGTAATTACTCAGGTTCATCATTAAACAAAATTTATTAGCCGCTATTCCTAATTAAAACTGACGAGTGTGAAAACATTCTAATGAATTCAATATCAATGCAAATTTCACGACAACCATTTGATATCCTATCATTCTATGACACACACTTTAATTATCTAGAAGCCCATTTGGTCATGTTTTCCAAATACGGTGGGTAACATGATCTCGCGTTATATTATTTCGGTAAAATGATCCAATGGCGTGTGCATTTTAGCTTTCACCTTTTTTTTGTAATATAAATAAAATAATTAATTACTTGTTATTGCGTACAAGAATAATTACGAGGAATTTAAATGATGATAAGCTATGGCGAGATTGTGGTGGCGATTGTTGGGCCTCTAAACAAAGGAGAGACCTTCCGTCGGCCGCGCACTCCCACAAATTCGTTGTAATTGGACTGAGAGAAACTTGCAACAAACTGTACATAATTGCTGATGCAAAAACAACCGTCATCATCATCAACACGACAGTAACACACGCCATCGAAGTGGATCGTGGGAGTGAAACGGGAACCTTTGAATCAGCCACTGAGGAAACTAGTACCTACGTACTCACTATTTAGTCACAATAGCTGTCATTACGATGTTTCCACACTATGCGTAGTGCGATTGTTTCGAAATCGAGAGTACGTGGTCGAGCCTCGAGCTGGCCGTATTGTCACAGATTACTCTGTGGTATTATTGTTCAACACAGCTTATAGATAAGTACCTATTTCTTCGTAGATAAAAGTTAATATGTTAAGTAATTAGGGGGTAGCCAAAGCAGTATGTACCTACTTCTTTGGTAACCGAAAAGTTTACTTTTACTTTCTTATATTTTGCTGAATATACTCGAGAATTACTCTTTTTTAAATTCCAAGATCAGGATTTTTAATTTGTCGTCCCTAACTTTTTACCATCATTAACCAATTGTGCAGGACCACCGACAGCACAGGAAGCACTAAATTCCCGGACTTACGCAATGCGAACCCTATTATTTCTCACAATTCCCGGGAACTAACAGCTCATCCTATTATTTAATTCTGCGTATATGATCGTATACCGACAAAATTTAATGAGATAAAGTACGTTTGCGTAAAAGTTCAAATTAATAGTAATATCCTTAAATAATTCAGATACCTCAAATATAAATTACCACAAACAAAACAACTATAAATTATACTTAATATTGTAAGCATTTTTTTAACCCTTCTCGTCCTAGGAACTTTATTATTTTAGGGTTGTCCTTTGGTACTACATGTCTTTGCTTTTCGATATAGCTTCTTATACAGTTAATCCAGAGGAGAGGTCCTTTTGATAACTGTAATGTCAAATATAGTCAATTTATTGAGCAAAAATCTGCGTATTGCAAAGCTGTCTACTTGTGGACGCTACATCTCGCATTCTAAATTCAAATATGTTCAATATTAGGTATATATGTCCATGAAAAACGAAATGTTGTTTTATTATAATTAAAGTTGCTGTTTTTTTGCTGATCAAAATTTATTGTTTAAAACAATGTGGCCACGTATCATAAAAAGAATGATATAGAGTGCCACAAATTAATAACACAATATTTATAAAGTCATACGTTAGCCAACAAATTCTCCTGAATACAAACAACCTACGTAGGTTGGGCTCGGCAATATCTAGGTTCTGATTCTCACCCACATTGGACATTGTCGGTTGTTCCGTGGGTACCTATATTGCGAAAACCAGTTGACTTGTTCGTTTTTGTCAAACCACAGACGTATATTTTGCAATAGCAATGCTGAGGATTTTCACTCAATATGCAGTATGTTAATTAACAAAGCCGATTCCTAAAAACTAGTGTTAATGTTTAAGAATAATGGTCTCAAAATTTTTCTTTACCTAGAAAAATTCTTTATAACCAAAAACAAAAAAACTATAAAAATATTTATACTCTGAGAACCTCTTAATAAATACTATCACTGCTTTTAAGACATGTATTTCGTTAAATATACTACTTATAATACTGTAGAGAATAACAAAAATAGACAAAGTATAATGAAATTCATGAAAATTATTCTATCAGCCGTCAACTGTCCACTGTCGAACATAGTCCTTCCCCCGTAAGAGGAGCTTTGACAGTAGTTGCGACGCTTGGCAGGTGGATTGGCAATCGCAGTTAGTCTTTGATGATATTTTGTAGTATATTAATTAATAGTACACCACTCGTAGCCCAGTGGTATACTAATTACTCCAACACAGACCTCAGAGATCATGAGTTCAAATATAGCTGACACTAATAATTTGTCAATTTTAATTTTCGACTAACTCTCCGGTGATGAAAAATACTTTTAATAAACCAAACTAATTAGTGGTTGGGATAAGCTTGCCTGGATTCTTGGAATCTAATATGTTTAACCATGACAAGTGTTACGTTCCTAACAAAGGTAACATAGATACTATATCGACAAATGTTTTTGATTACTTTAGTTAGATGCTCAGTACTGTCATTCTTGA